TGAATCCAAGTCATACTGCTTTAGGGTCATCTCTGATTGGTTCTTTCTCAGCACCACTCCTGCTTGCTTCATCAGGTGAGGGCTGAGCCTCTAGTACTCGGCTTCCTCTGCTGATCCATAGATTCCAGTATGAGGTTGGCAGGTTGCTAAGTGAGACTCAGCTTTGAGATAGCCAAATTGCTACAGAATGGAACAAGGGTGCTGAGTATGAAAATGTACTTCAGATAGATAAAGCCATATACACAGCTCATTTCAGAGTGATAGATAGTGATCAGGGCATTAGTTGTATCATCTTTAGCAGCTGGTATGCTGGGGGTCTGCTGACTGAGTCTTCCAGATAGTTCTTGGTATACTGTTGTGCAGCATAGTCAGTGGCTGCATGTCTGAGGATCTCTACTCATTCATTAGATTCAGAATGAATATATAATTGTCCTATAGGTGATGCCAACCAGTTGGCATCATCCCATAAAAACTTTACTCCTCTCTGGTATAGCTCTTGATACTCTTGTACTCTGCTGTGCTGAATCTCTTCCTCCAATGCTTCTTTGTCAGTGTTCTCTGTGAGCCTGTAGGCTAATTCTCCTCCAGCATGAGATAGTCTGCTACTTTCAGTCTCCTTGTTGTCCTCATCCTTGTTGTCCCCTTCCTCCTTGAGAAGGAAAATGGTGAGCAGATCATAGAAACTCTCCATATTCTCAGACTGTCATACTGTCTTTGTTGATCTACTGCTGGGTATTTGAGCCAGCAGTGGGGTCTGAGAAATCAGATGTGTTGAGATAGGTGGAAGCAGGCTGACTTCTGATATCAGAGTCATACTGATTTCCTTCTGTCACTCACAATAGAGCTGGACATTTCACTGATATCTGTTGTTAAGAAGCTGCCTGACTATCTGACTCCCAAGGAAATCTCAGAGGGCTCAGGTGAGAATGTAGGCAGTTCCAGAGACTTGTAGTCTGTAGTGTCTGAGAATGGACTCATCATCCTCAAATGTGATGTCAGCACTGGAGGTTCATTGGAGAGAGGGATACTGTGAAGTTGGAGGGTGCTGAGAGAGTCCTGAGACATCATTCTGAGTTAGAGGAGAGACTCTATCATCTCATTGTCTTGCTTTGTCAGCTGTGAGGACTTGAGCATTTGCCTAGTTCCTCAGGGCCCAGAGGTCAGATCTTGATGTACTGGATTCTCTAAAGACTGGGATAGAGAGGGACTGGTCAGCTCATACTGATGTGAGGACAGACATGACCTCTGGTCAGAGTCTATACCAGTTTAAGATGTCAGCTCTTGCCAGTCAGGCTCTCTTGACTTGTCTCTGCTCTTCCCAGTGTTGGCAATCATACTCCTCAGCCTCTCTTGTGGCTCTTCTCTGTCTCCTCTCCATAAGGAGCTGCTCCTTCAGCTCACTCTGAATAGACTGTAGGGTATCTCACTGTCTTTGCTCTTCTTGATGGAGAGTAGCACTATAGTCAAATGGGACATTAAGGTCTCATGCTGGGAATAACTAATGGATGATCTCATTTCAGTTTTCCTGGGCCTGTCACTCATTGTCAAGCCTATCCAAAAGGCTCCTCCCCATCCTGCCATTAGTTCCAACAGAGTGGTGGGAGGGGAAGCTTAGAGACTGGCTTTCAAAGAGTGGGCAGCAGGGTCTTAAAGCTATCTGAGCAGTATCAAGGGAATCTTAGGCACAGTCAGCAATCCCACTGGTTTGAGAGAGGCTGGAATAGAGAGAGGTTGGCTGAGTGAGCTCCTCTGGGACATTATCATTCCTGGGTGAGACTTAGGAGTTTTGAAATCCTGCATCTCGAGACTAATGCAATTTAGGTCAAAGCAGATAGATATGTCTTTCTTCTTCTTGATTGCCTCTCTGATACAAGCTGCTAGGCCCAGCTTCAGGTAGGAGGCTGGTCAGAGGCTGATGGGATATTCATCAGGATTTAAAAATATCATGAAGAGGGAGGTCAGAGGTTATATTGCATAAAATTTGTCAGATGTGTTGAAACTCATTGTAGTATCTGATAGCCCAAGCAGTGATTGAGTGGCATCCTCAGCACAGCTGAATAACCATCAATAATCCTAATAAGATACCAACAATTAATGCAAGGAGTTCAAAAAACTTTTGGTTGAAGTTTGGGTCTGATGGAATAATTGAGGGCATTCGGTTTCCTTCACATTATAGTGCATGAGGAAAGGGAAGAGAAAGCTTTGAGCTAATTATTAGACTCAAGCATCATATGAACAGAAACACATGATAGACAGATGTCACTTCACACTTCAGATGATCAAATGAATCCACTGATGCATATTCTGATCGATGTGCCACAAGATCTGAAGGATCAGCTTGAGAGTAGAATGAGATGAATAAACTTTAGCTTAAAGCTGAGAATTACCAGCAAGAGCAAATGGTTTTAAATACTGTACAGAGTATTGCTAATAATATTACTGACTATTATGTGTGTCTGTATCCATGATGCCTATTGTCTTAGGGTATTGTCATTGTACACAAAAAGATGCTTGTATTGTTGTTGAGCAACACTGTTGCATTAAAAGACAATGACTGTTAAGCCCAAACTTCATGTGACTGACAACATGTGATAGACTAACAGAACCTCACACTTCAGGTTATACTGTTAGAATTCACTGATGCACTATCAGCTTTATGTGATCAAGGCGTTAAGTAGTCAGCTCGAGATAGGATGGTAGAGAATAAACTTTAGTTCGAGACTAGGGTACTACAGTGAGAACTGAGCTACTTAAATACTGTTCTGTTTATCTGGCTATTAATAACTGTTCACAAAAGATATTGTCTGTCATAGAGCTGTTACCCCTGCTGTTGCCAGGCTCTCCACAAAAGCTGTTGTCTTGCTGTTGTGCTGTTGTTGTTGCACTGCAAGTTGGAGATGAAAGAGGTATTGTCTCCCCTTCACAGCACACAGCAATGCGATAGGAGAGTGACCAACTGGGTTGCTGAACTAAGCATTCCCACGGTCCTAAGCGCTGGCCTAAGTGCCCTGACTAAGCAAAGATAGGGGTCATTTCTAAGAAAAAAGAAAAGAAAATAGGAAAAATCATAACAATGACCAACTTGGCTAGTTGTGATGACTAAGCTTTATCTCATGATCTTAAGCACTCATTCTAGCACTCTGACTAAGCATAAATAGGGATTAATCAAGGAAAAGAATGAAAAAATCATAACACAGAAGTATTAGGTTCTCTGAAAGGGGAATAAATAAAATTAGTCTGAAGACTATATCAGGAGGGATTTCCAAAACCTCAGATGGCAGCTTTCAATTCTCATTGTCTTCTGTGATACTGAGCATCATATAGCTCATCATAATGTAAAGCCTCTCATCAGGCTTGTTCTTCTTTTGTCCAGTCAAAGTTCTGAAGGATCTCCCTTCCAGCTTCCTCAATTTCTTCTCTGGTAAAATCTCTGGCATCATACTCAAGTTAGTCAGTGACTGTCAGCCTCCAATACTCTTTTGGCCTTTCAGATCCTGGATAGAGGTTGGTATATTTCATAGATGATGGGCTAGACTCAGAGATCATATAGAGAGAGCTGTGCTCTGAGTATGTAGGCAAAATGGGTTTGGATCTTAAAGCCAATCTAAAAGCATCAAGAGAGTCTCTAGCATGGTCTTTAATGTCATATGCTGAGAGAGAGATTGTCAGACAGCATATTGTCAAAGAAGTTATTGGAGAGATCCTCATTCTTATAGTTTGGGACTGGAGAAAACTCTGGTAAAACTCATAGGTTTCTAAAGCTGATAGGTTATGGGCCTGCTCATCTTGACTGGAGTTGTAGAGGGTGCTGATGTCTTTCTTTTTGTGGAAGACCCCTCAAATTCATTCTCTTAGACTCAGTTTGGGGTATAACTCCTGCTGTGGGCTGATAGGAGGTTCAGGGAGAGGCTGGAATATTGTGGAGAGAGAGGTCAGAGATGACATTTTTGAGGATTTGGCAGATATGTTGAAATTCATAGTAGTGCCTGACTATCCAAGCAGTAATAGATTGGTGTCTCTAGCAGAGCTGAATGATCACCAATAATCCTAACAGTGTTTTGATGATAGAAGCAAGAAGTTTGAAGAACTCATAGTCAAAATTTGAGTTGGCTGTATTGATAGATAATATTTGGTTTCCTCCACACTATTGTATATGAGCAAAGAGAAGTAGAAGCTTCAAGCTAATTGTTAGACTCAAGCCACACATGATCAAAACACATAATAAACTAGTGTGTTTTCACATTTGAACCTTTCATTAGAGTTTACTTATTATGCTTTGTTGATCAGATGCTTTAAGGTCTTTTGCAGGTATAGCTTAAAAGTAGAATGAGATAGAATAAACTTTAGCTTGAAGCTGAAGTTATACTAGTGAGAGCTGTCTTATTTATATACTACAGAGGTTTTGGTTATAAATATGACTACCTGTTGTGTCATTGTCCATTGCAATGTCCTTTGTCCTTAGACATCATTACTATCTACAAAAAGTTCACTGTGCATTGTCAAGCATCACTGTTGCATCAAAAGACAATGACTGACTAGGCTTGTTGTGCTGACTAAGCTCATTCCATGGTCTTAAGTGCTGGTTTAAGTGCTCTGACTAAGCATAAATAGGGGTTAATATAAGAAAAAGATGGAAAAATCATAACAATTAGCATCTGCTGAGACTCAGCACTGAATCAGAGATGGCACATATATCTCATTCTTATGAATAAAGCATTATCTCATTGTGGCAGAGCCAGAAAGCATTTTGACACCCTTGAAATCTGCTTTTATGACAAACACATGAGAAAAATAAATAAGATTATTATATAAGTTAGATCTGAAAATCCATACAGTATATTTTCTACAATGATATCATTGATAGTGAATTAATTTTCTAATGCATAAAGGTGAATGAGGAGTCTGACACCAAGGTCCAACATCATACCAAAACACTCGGAGGTTAAAAACCATAATTTGGCCAGGCTCGTGCACAACTATTCTAGGACAGTAAAAGCAATAGCCCACCGCGAGGGTCGAACTCGCAGCCTTCAGATTCCAATTCTAAGTCAGATTATGAACTCCGCCGTAAAAGTCTGACGCTCTATCCGATTGAGCTAGGCGGGCACTGATCTTTGTTGTGATGCCTTTATATATCAAATATTTTATTCATCTTTCCGAATTGAGATCTCACATACTTTACCATTTCAGGTCCAGCGAATGAAATCTGGAAGGCCGCTCAAGACGAAATATCTGGATTTAAATACATGCCTCAAATACATACCCATATATGGTACATCACAGACAATGAAGGGATCAAGGCATTTAAGGGCAGGCTGTTCGAGGGCAAAATGCAGTCGTCCATGCCAATGCCAAGCGGTAACTACTGACTAAACCACACGCCAAATGACCGGCCCTAAAGCTCGTTACTGAGCCAAGCTCTCCAGCTTCAACTTGGTCATTCACCCCCATCATGTCTGGCTTTGACGCGAACAATGTTTACAATGTTTCCGTGCATGACCCACCACCACCGACCGCGCCAGAGTCGGCTTCCGATACGGAGAAGCTACTATTAGACTTTTTGCTGCAGTATCGTGTGGGAGGAGAGTTCATTTACAGGTGAGCCTGGCAGTCATGTTTTCCGATCTCTTTGGTGATCCACACTCGCACAGAGACATGTTGCGCGGGAATCTCCTTCTGAAGCAGAATGTTCTGGAAGTCGACCTTAGGCATGTCAGTCTCTACAACGACGAGCTGGCACACGCGATTCAGGATAGACCAGCGGATGTCCTGCCACTAGTACGTGTTATCTCTTTGTCTTTGACCTACACTGAACCTTTTTAGCTTGAAAACGCTGCTACTCGTGCCGCCAAAACCATCCTCTACCCTCTTGCTGGAACTGATGAAGCAGTTAATGCAGTCGCCGAGTCTATCGATAAAGTTCAAATAACGCTCCGTTCCGGCCTCAATCTCCTTCAGTTCCGTGATCTCACCGCTAACACCATTAACAAACTTGTACGGGTCCCAGGAATAGTCATTTCAGCTTCTGTCCTTTCATCCCGAGCAACAAAGCTCCACATCCAGTGTCGCGCGTGTCGTTCTGTCAAGACTCTATACCCACCAGGGGGGATTGGAGGCCTTGGGTACGGAACTGGATCTGGATTGCCTCGGAGATGCGAAGAGGCGCCGCTCGACGGACAGAAGAAAGACTGCCCACTGGATCCATATCTCATCATCCACTCAAAGTCCACCTTTGCTGACCAGCAGACACTAAAACTTCAAGAGGCACCGGACATGGTACCCGTTGGTGACCTACCGAAACATCTGCTTCTCTCGGCGGACAGATACCTGACGGGGCAAGTTGTGCCGGGTTCGAGAGTTATTGTGACCGGCATATACTCGACATTCCAAGCTGCACGGGATGTAGGTTGTTGATTCCTTGCATATACGTGACTGCTAACGTTATGCTAGAAATCTGCCGGCGCTGCGGCTACTCGCAAGCCATACCTCCGCGTCGTCCACCTAGAAATGTCTTCCCCCTCTGCCGCTGGTTCAGGCGGTTCCAACCCATTTGGTGTGCAGTTCACCCCAGAGGAGGAAGAGGAGTTCAATGAGATGGCACGGAGTGAAGGTTTCCACGAACGATTTGCTAAGAGCGTTGGACCCAGCATCTATGGGAGTCTTGGTATGTTGTAGCCTCCGGTCTTGAAAGGTCGTATATACTAATGTCATGGCAGACATTAAAAAGGCCATTACGTGTCTCTTATTTGGAGGGTCGAAGAAAGTCCTACCGGACGGCATGCGGCTCCGTGGTGACATAAATGTCTTGCTTCTTGGCGATCCTGGTACCGCCAAGAGCCAACTGCTCAAGTTCGTGGAAAAGGTGGCACCCATCGCTGTATATACGTCTGGAAAGGGTTCTAGCGCTGCTGGTCTGACGGCGTCGGTGCAGCGAGATACTGTTTCAGTGAGTACCTTCGTCCCATTCGTACTATTATCTTCTCAGGCTGATGGAGTCATGATTGTGTAGAGAGAATTCTATCTTGAAGGAGGTGCTATGGTTCTTGCCGACACAGGTGTCGTGTGTATAGATGAATTTGACAAGATGCGGGACGAGGATCGCGTTGCAATCCACGAAGCTATGGAACAACAAACCATATCTATTGCCAAAGCGGGAATCACCACAGTGCTGAACACGCGTACCAGTGTCCTTGCGGCAGCTAATCCGGTCTTTGGTCGCTATGACGAAGGACGAAGTCCAGGCGAAGTGTGTTTCTTTCCCGGGCGAGAGTTCAAGCTGAAGCTTTTCTTTGTAGAATATTGATTTCCAAACTACGATCCTTTCTCGATTCGATATGATCTTCATCGTGAAAGATGAGCATGACGAGACACGGGATAAGGTCAGCTTACATTGCGAAGCAATTTAACCAGTTCTCAATTACGAGTTCCACAGACGATTGCGAAACACGTCCTGAATGTTCATATGAACAGACCTAATCAGCTTACAGATGAGAATAGGGAAGGAGAATTACCTTTGGACAAAATGAAACGATACATTGCCTACTGCAAACAGTGAGATATTTTTCTGCCTATCTCTGTGTTATCGTTAAAATATTTACAGGAAATGTGCACCTCGGCTATCTCCTGAAGCCCAAGAGATGCTCAGCAGTCATTTCGTTAGTCTACGGAAACAAGTCCAGCAGGTGGAACAGGATAATGACGAGCGAAGCTCCATACCTATCACCGTTCGTCAACTCGAAGCGATAATCCGTATATCGGAGTCTTTGGCGAAGATGACCCTCACGCCTGTTGTGCAGAACCATCATGTAGAAGAGGCTATACGACTGTTCAAGTTTTCTACCATGGACGCCGTGTCTGCAGGGTCGGCCGATGGTCTTTCACGAGGAGGTCTAAACGAAGAGATGACGCGCATAGAGAAAGAGCTGAGAAGACGTCTACCCGTTGGGTGGCGAACAAGTTATCAGAGTCTCATCAAGGAGTTCGTCACGCAGCAGGGGTACTCTAGCCATGCACTTGAGAGAACGTTGTATATCCTAGAGAAGCGAGAGGTGATTCGGTTTTCTGGGCAGGTGGGTGTCGAACATTGCAGTTCCTATCACGTCTAACATATTTTGCATGTTCACAGAAAAAGGTTGTCCACAGGTGTGCGATACTACTCTATTTCAGTCCTTATGCTGATTTTCTTCCTGAAGAGTTGGAGTATAACCTAATACTTGACTGGATAGGATGTATGATTAATGTATTTCTTGCACACTGTTTGTGTTGTTTTACCGGCGCACTAATGTCACTGGTTGAATGCCCCTCTAAAGAACTAGTTGGTTGTCCCAGTCATTTAACTAGTATTTAACGACAATGATGTATAATATTTTCAAGCAACTATAACTCAAAACATAAACAAAATGTGCAAAATCAAAGATCAATCGTAGATTATCCGAGTCGCTGGAAGGGTTTTCGTTCAGGTAACTTACCTGACATGGACTATGCATGGACAGTATTTTGAGTATTATATTCACTATTATATACATATTGTAGTTACAAAGCAAGAGCATACATATCTTTTGCTTTTCCAGTAAATTACAGACTGAGAGATCAACGAGGTGTATAAAAACATGGTGACAGAGTCGAGAAAAAATCTGCCAGTGATTGGGCATGTGATACCATATCAAAAACCCCTTCGGGCAAAGGCCGGTATAAAACCGTAACTGCACACTGGTTAACGGGCACCCACACAAAAAACTTCTAGCCCAGCGCGAGGGTCGAACTCGCAGCCTTCAGATCCACCTAGATTAAGAAGAGTCTGACACTCTATCTGATTGAGCTAGACAAACTACATGAATTGCACGATATAATTGTATTAGAGATAGATGGCGGTCCGAAAAAAACAGTCACGCTTCTCAACTTTTCATTACCCATATCATTGACGACGATGAGTGCCATGGACACAGACGAAATCTCTGTGGTGCTCCCATCCACGACGACATCAGGCCTATCGATATCTTTGTAAAGGCGGCTTTGATCTACTCTTTCAATCATTGACCTTGTCTGTTAGGCATCCTTTACCGATTCTGAATGTTTCTGAACATTTGACGCGACGGAAACTGCAAACAAACACCTCTACTCCGTTCAGTGAGTCGTATGTCCTGTATAATGTGACGAAGAATATACTTGAACTTCGTTGCAGTTCTTGGAGCCCTGTTAGGCACTCAAAATGGAAGAGATGTGGAGATTGTAAATACGTTTGAATTAGCTGTGGAAGAGGATGGTGCTACAGTGGATCATTCTTTCTTGGTATCGCGGCGTGACCAGTGTACGTGAGCAACATTTAACGCGATGTATCCTTGACTGAATGAGTGTCGTTTTATAGACAAGCAAGTCTTTCCCTCCTTGGAATTCATTGGCTGGTACACGGTCGCTCCCCGTCCCTCTTCACGCCATATTGCACTTCATTCACAAGTATGTGGCTCAATACTTCTGCTTACACTGAACTTAGAAAGATAATAGTTTACAGGGTACTGCTCGACGCCTCTTCTCCTCCTGCTTCAATCTTCCAATAATGTTTCCACCGGCTCCGATGGCAATCAAACGCTTCCCTTCAAAGCCTATGAGCCGACCATCGAGATTAGGGACCGCCTCTCTCGTCCAGTCTTCGTTGAGGCGTCGTACAATGTAGAGACAGGTGAAGCAGAGCGGATCGCTGTTGACTGGACTGCACGCGGTGGCGGTAGTGGCACGAGTTGTATGTATCTATCCCTATGGGGGGGTCTTCCGATATTGACGTTTTCTATAGTGGAGTCACATCTACAAACGCAACGAGCCGCTGTCAAAATGCTCCATGACAGAATCGTCATATTGGTTCACTATGTCACAAAGGCTTTGGCAGGTATGGTGGTGCTCATCAACATTTCTTCTTATTGAGTGCGTGTCCTTACCAGGCAAGACGCCCAAGGACCAAGCTATTCTTCGATCCATCTCAGCTCTGGTAGCGTCACTTCCTGCCACTGAAAACAAAGCTTTCCGCGAGGAATTCGATACGGTTGGAGTTTTCCTATGTTCCGTTTCAACATAACTGATGTTAGGTTTGGAATAGGAGTACGAAGATGTTCAGATCACTGCTTTCTTGTCTTCCCTGACCAAATCAACTAGCATTTTGAATGATGTGCGCCCATTCGCGCTCCACCGATCCCACTCTGAATGACCTTTTGATTCTAGCTCGTTGATAAACACCTCATAGTCACAGCCAACCGAGATGATAAGATGGGGCCTCGTCGAAGACCTATGGGAAGAATGCCGATGGGAGATTGGCACTGAGTTATGTATGACTCATAGAAACCTGTGTCATGGTTATCTTGTGTTTTCTGTTACGACTTCTTCATTGCTGTGTATCGTTGGTCGAGAGCGAGAAAACGAGTAATTCTGTATAAGATGTGCCATCACGTACTATATACGAAGGTTGCGAATGAATGACCATGGAGAGGTGTGACTCCCGAAAGGGCCCAATGAGAATCTCAACTTTTGCTACCGCGACGTTTGCACGGGTCAATGTAGCCTACTTCGAATTCATGATGTACAACGTTGTGAAACAGAAAGGAAACTGGGCGATATAGAGGGATGAAAATATGCTGAATTTGGAGGGATACCAATGTCGGGTTACTGTGTTGTTAAAACTGAGCCAAACCCAAAGGCTGGGATACAGTAAAACCGGTGTTTTTGCTCGATGAATAGACAGTACATATTAGAGCAAATAAACCACATTATAGGGGCCGCCTGGTGAAATGGCATCGCGTCTGACTACGATATGTCTTTAGGATTATATGTGATCGAATCAGGAGATTGCAGGTTCGACCCCTGCGGTGGTCATGTTTTTGCGAGTATGTGGTACCGGCGTAGGTATATGTTAAATGTTTCTTCAGGCTTTGATTCAGTGATTTATAGCTACTCACGAAGGGCGAAGTGGAGACCTTCTGGCTAAGATCAGTGCAAATACAAAAACATGAAAACGTGGCAATTGCAGATTTTTTTTAAATGTCCATCCAGCGGTATCTTACCGGTCCGGGACTCAGGGTTTTGTGATGAGTCAGTCATCACTGGAAAAGGGTATCGTTACATCTTTCACCATTACGACGACGATGCGTGAACGCCATTACGTCGAGCACAGTAGCACCGAGTATCGACACCATGGTGAGTTGATGATTTATGCGTCCAAAGATCCGTGAATGCTCACATCCGACCTGACGAACCTTTGTGCGTGCCAATACTCGACGTATTTACCTGCATGCTCAAAGAACACTTCCGCTCCAAGTCTCCGGAAAGAGAAAAGGAGAAACGACATCGTCAACGAGATGAAGGCAGTCAACGCAGACATTCTTTAGACAAGACACCCAACATTGACCATGGCATGAGAGGTCGAGAACGGTATTCCAAAGATATATCTGAGCGTTATAGAAACTCTTCCGTGAGCAAGTGCAAGCCCGTTTCTTTAGTGTGGATTCTAATGCTTCTTTGTCCAGCCGTCTAACCGAGCTGTGCGTCATTTTCCTGTCCCTTCACCTGAAAGGACATTGTTTTGACCTTCAAAGTGGATATTATTTTCACTGTTAGGAGCGGGAACATCGTCTGCGCAGTCGTTCGTCTGAATCATACTCGTCTTTCTCGAGTAAAGATCGCAGCCTTTCCAAGGGACGGAGGTGCAGTTCACGCTCTAGATCCCCTCGTCGAAGAAAAGATAACGATTCGCGAAGGCACAAGTACAACAACTATATAAAGGACAGAAAGAGAGGCAAAGGCAAAGAAAAGGATAGAAAGAAGGACAAGGACAAGGAAGGACGGAGAAGCGTCTTAACCGGCAAAAAGGTTTCTTCTTTATTGTCCCCAGTGCCATCCTATCTCACCGTTGTCTCTCAGATCAAACTGAAAGTCAAAAAAGACAAGGGAGATGACGAACGGGAAGCTAATAGGAAGGATCTTCTACAGTTCTTAAACTCGACATTCGAATGAACCATGCGCATATGTAATTAATGTTGGTATCTAAATATCTACAGTATCCATGTGGTGCAATGGATGAGATTCAGTCGTAATATTTCCAGCTAAGATTTTCCTGATAAAGGTATAGAAGCGTGAAAACGAAATCATGGCACGACGACAAACCTTTAGATGTTTTTGTGCCATTGTAATACGAAGATGGTCGTCTTATATTTGACTTCATCTTCTTCCAAAGCCCGCTTCGGGACGGAGAAGCAGATATGTCCGGTTTGGCCTTGACGGACACGGACACCGACGGCATGCGAGCGACGAGGCCACTCGGTGTCGGTATTTCTTTGACTGGCTGAGTAGTCTTCGGTTCCGCGTCCTCATGAATAGACGACGGCGACGTGAAAAGATCAATCTCGGGAGACGTACTGGTGCTGGTACTTTGGAATTCCGATCCGGAGGGTGAAGAAGATACGGAAGATGGCACCAAATCAGTTTCAGGTTCCGGTTCTTCTTCTACGGACACCGGCCGTTCTGGTTCGTTCCAGGATACCGCACTAGGGTGACTCGTGTTTTCGCTTCTTCTCCCGCTTTCTCGGTCCCACTCGATCTCCATTTCGAACACCACATCGTCTCCCTGCTCATCAAGTAGACGACGACGCTGAACGCTTGCAGGAGAATGGATGGTAGTGGCAAAATCCCAAGAATCAATCGAACGAAATGTTTGGTTACTTGCAACAACTCGACGTTCTTGCCGATAGGCCAGAGGTGGAAGATTCTCTAAAAGTATATGATCAGCGACATGTTGAACGACCAGAGGTGATAAACCCACTGAGAATATTGGCGATAAGGTAAGAAGGCTTCTTCGCTCCCTTGAAAAACTGTGTTTGAAGGAGTTGTTCTGCATTTGGCCTAGAAGGTAACCAGTGAATAAATAATGCCTTGGTAGCTTACAAACACACCGGTGCGACGGGTCTTTGACCAGACAGCTTTCCACCATTTCTTGAAAAGCACGCGAGTATTTGTACGTTCCGCCATCTCTATCTAATGTAGGAGATGCTTCTTGGATTCTATGCTCCCGCAACAATGAGAATACCAAAGAATGAAGTAGTATACACACACGTTTTCAGCAATACCTTTTGAGGTGACTCGCGAGATCTAGGCGGCCGGCCCTGTGTGAGTTCAAGAGCGGTGATACCAAAACTCCATATATCTGCAGAGGAGTCATAGTTTTTCCCCTGAATGAGCTCTGGCGCCATCCAACATGGCTAGTGAATCATGTAGCGCAGATATAGCCAAAAACATCATGCACTTACCGTACCAACGAAAGATTTCCGTTTTCCCATCTCTGGTCTTGAGTGTGCTGCGGTAGGTTCGACAAGCACGACACGTCTGGTGGAGCCATAAGGACTGTGTACTGACGTACTGCCTTGATTATCATGAGAACCATTTTGCTGAGGCGAAGAGGCGACGTAGCATGCGGAGACGGTTTTTGACTTCCAAGAAGGAAAGGAAGTGCTGGGAGAAGAGTCTTCCGCAAGGTTTGCGGCGACACCGAGATCACCTAGAAGGACCGTTCCGTCGTCGTCGATTAATAGGTTTGCTGCCTTGATGTCGCGATGAATGAAGCCATTGACGTGAAGATAGCTAAGACGATGAGTAAGTGATCTTAAGGGTGGCAATAAGTGGTGGAAGAGTACTTGAGACCCAGGAGAGCCTGGCGAAGGATGCAACGTATGACGTCTTCCTCCAAGCCTGCAGGCCAGCCATAGTGCATGACGTCGGCGGCACTACCTTTGTTCATGAGCCGCAACGCGATAAAGAGCTTGTGGCCATCCATCCATGAACCACGGACACGAAGAACGTTTGGATGCTTGGACAGGGACATCAGCGTCGTTTCCCGCTGCAAAAGCGATAGCGAATGGGGAGGAAGTGAATCGAGATCCAGAACTTTGAGGGCGCACGGAATTGCAGACGAAGAGCCTTGAGGCTTGTAAGATGCCGAGTAGACAATAGAGGATGCCCCAAATCCTATTGGAGAGCCAATGGTGTAGTCCTCAGAACGGTCACTACGAGCGAAATGAGCGAGGGTCAAGGCAAACGGGACGATATGCACACCTGTACATGTCCCAGCGGTCCTCAACGGCACCAATGAACTGCTTGGGCGCCATTTCCGGTCTCTTGGTTGTCGGCGACATTGCAAGAGAGAGGGCCGTCGATTATCGAGTCGTAGTAGAGAAGCAGCGAGCAGCACTGCTCTTACGGCTGACGCACGTGGTCACGACCGGCGACACGGTTCCGACGTGCGCGACTCTTTCGTCGCGTCCAAGGCACGATTACATATTTGTAAAAGAATTCAGTAATATTAAACAATTATGGTAACCATTGGGTGACTTCCCGCAGCATTTAGAAACATAGATTATTTTCTAAATCAGAGATGCCGAGCGATGCCGATATAACAAATTGGATGAGCGCCACAATTTGATGGGAAACACCCTCGTCTAGATTTTAGTCTAGACGACCCCTCCGACCCCCCCTTCTAAATCTAAATTATGTTTCTAAACCTTTGATAACCGCATTTGGAAATTCCATCAATCTCGATCTCTATTTGGACCTGTTAGTTTCCGAGGCGTCTTTCACTCACGTCGCCTCTCATGTACCTACCACTGTCCTGCCGCGCCTGTCTTCAGTCCAAAGCTCATTTTTGCTCTGCTAGCCTTGTATCCTTGTATTGAATCTTTGGTGGACCTAACAAATACTGTGAAGTGTCTATAAGGCTACTTCCCAGCTACTTTCTTGAGAACCGGCCATTTTTTTCCATCCCAACTACTGTCTTTTTCATACCCGACTCGGGTAACTTTCTGAAATTCACGGTAGTAACAAACTTGTAAGGTAGTCCACTTCGGATGTCTATCGAGGCCTATAAAGTCCAGGATTAAAGGAAAGTAACACCTATCTCGCCTTTGTCTCTCGTTTCGGCCTCAGTTAACCCTCACCGATCGCTGTTTGTGTTTCCAGACCTAAATTGGCTTACGGTTTAGAAATATAAATTCTAAATGATTTCAAATTGGGACTTTGATGGATTTAGAAAATAATCTGTGTTTCTAAATGCTGCGGGAAGTCACCCATTTTCACCCCTCGGCATCGCCGCCACTGGCCTAGGATGATGACGGCCATATGCTAGGTCTGCGATAAACCGGGCACGAGGATTACCCTGAGATAGAAGATACCGACTACAAAGATAACGCCCGATATCATTTTCTGCCAGCCAGCAGGGAGCTCAAAATACCTGGGATTGCAACCAGGATATCTTCTACAAAATGATACCAGTAGTACTGTAATTTATCTATTTTATTTTGCCGGAAGCAGGATACTCCCGTGGCAGTGCTTACCGGAAAATGCCGCCAATCAGAGACCTTCAGTTCCGAGAATACGCCACCGCTCAACCTCTTCCTCCACCCATCTCACTGAACCTCTCGTCCCTCGTTTCTCCAGGTTTCCCTCTGCGTTTTGCGGATGGCACCACAGCAGTCTCCTGCCAAATACTCATATGTCGTTACTTCGGTTGGCCCAAGAATCCTGCCCGTGGAGGAGCCCCCGTGCAAGGACGAGGAGAGTCCAGCAGATTACAACGCAGGAGGATATCTACCTGTCAAGCTCAACGACACTTTCAAGAATAATAGATACAGGGTCATAAGGAAACTTGGGTGCGTCGTTATTTACACCTACTCCCTGACAGCTTTCCTAATCTTGCGCAATCGGCAGCTGGGGTCATTTCTCGACTGTATGGCTCGTCAAAGACGCCCAGTAAGTATCTGTGTTTTTTCTTGTTCGCCCTTTTGTCATCATTCTACTTTTCAGCCTTCAACGTCACTCTGCTCTCAAGGTTGTCAAGTCTGCTGCACGATATGCGGAAACCGCGAGAGACGAGATTAAACTTCTTTCTCAGGTCGCATCGTTTTCACCAACCCATCCAGGCCGCCAGCACCTTGTCTCCTTTCTTGACTCATTCTCCCACCAAGGACCAGAGGCCTCCCATATATGCATCGTATTCGAGCCTCTTGGTGAGAACCTCTTGGCGTTGATAGAACGTAACAAGAAGCACGGAGTATCGCGCGCGCTCGTCAAGGTCATCACCAGGCAAATTCTTCTCGGCCTCCAGTATCTCCATGACGAATGCGACTTGGTTCACACCGACATCAAACCAGAGAATATTCGTAAGTAACTTGACCTCCGAGTCACCGAAAACTGATTTATATCCCTGTAGTAATTTCCATTCCTGACATTGAAACCCACATCTCCACCGAGTTATCACAGTCGCCTTCACCGACTTCCCGCCGGGTCGGTGTCCCTCTACCGTCTAATATCCGCTCAGGTCTTGTTATACGGAATCAACGATCTACTCGTCGCTCCGTTCAGATATTTGACTCTCAGCCCCTCTCAAGTCCCTCAAGGAGCGTTGGCATCCATGGATTGAGCATGAGCTTTGGAGCACTAAATGGCTGTCAAGGTGGCAGTGGGAGCGGCCTCAATAGTGCCAACGGAAGTTTCGCCGGGCCGTCACCACTGGCACAACGATCTGCTGATCTACGCAACGGTGCTGGTCTCACGAACAGCGCTCCGAAAGTCCCTAGTGGGCTATCCACATCTGTACCACCGAACGATTCTCCTGATGATCCGGACGGAAGCAAATCGACCGCCGTATCCTCCCAGAAGCCTAATCCTCTGCCTAATTCCCCATCTACATCGTCATCGTCATCGTCATCATCAATGGCATCAACTTCTGCCTCGGGTTCGACTGATGCAGTGTCCTGCAGTATTATCAGTACACCCCCAACTTCCTTGTCACATTCTATTGGTGCTGTTGCCCTTGGGCTTCTAGGACAGAAACATCGTGTCAAGGTCGACGTTTCTCCTTCAGAAGACAGCGATGGTGAATGTCAGGACATTGTTAATGGTGTCCCTATCGCGGCATGCGAGCACAAGGATGCCACAAATGCTGCCGACATCCCTTTGTCGTCATGGAAAGACAAACTGGGTACGTATGGTTCATGGAAGGAGAAGGCGTCTTGCTCGTTCTTGTCATCATACAAATCATCAATAGCGTCTGGACTCGGCCATTCACGGCCGAATTCAGGCTTGTCTGTCTCTGGATCCTGGAAAGATCCCGGGCTGTCATCTCCTGCTCCTGCTGTTGTTGTATCAACTTCAGTCATGGCGAACGGGAAAGAGGAACGAGGAGAATATTTCCATCTGTCATCACCAAACAGCACAAGTTGGGGAGCACTGAGCACCAAGTCCTGTAGTTCTTCCAACACAGCTACCGTTGCTCGACCTTCACCGACTGGCACGATACATGCTGACGAATGTAAACTATCTCTTGTCTCTTCTGATTCGGGAGCATCTTCGACTCATTTACCGTACCCTGCTGTTGTTTCTCATGACAGTGACTCCTCCTCAACCTTACTTTGGCCTGTTGGCAACAAAACCTCTGGCCCCTCCCTTCTTTCCCAGACTGCTCCACGTCGCAGTAAAGTTGCTTCATCTTCCATACCGCCCCGATCTGTTGACTTTCATCATGCGCCATCAATAAAGAAATCATCACCTCCACCTATCTCAATATCGTTCACAGACATCACGCCCCTGGCTTCTCCTGCTGTGCCTCCCCCGACACCCAGTTCTCCGACGGCCCTTTCTACTCAGATTCCTTCACCACTACCTCGAATAGAAACATCACAGGCTCCTCAGCCTATGGACATCCCTTCAGTACACTCAGCAGAGGCTTCTCTTCTGCCGCCATTATCAATAAAGATTGCGGATTTAGGAAATGCAACACCGTCCAAGAAGCACTTTACGGAGGATATACAGACACGGCAATATAGAGCACCTGAGGCAATTTTTGGACGGAAAGATTGGGATGTTACTGCTGATATATGGAGCGTAGCTTGTGTGGTCAGTCTTCTTAACCTTTTTTGACTATGCAAACTGACTGTAGATGCAGGTGTTTGAGCTTTTGACGGCTGAATATCTCTTTGATCCCCAGGGTCAAGGCGAGTTGTTTACCAAAGACGACGATCATATGGCTCAAATTATTGAGCTCCTTGGCGATTTTTCGATGGAGGCGAAGATGGGTGGCAAGTATAGTCGTGAGTTGTTTGATCATACAGGTATGTTTTTCAGGCCTTACAAATTTCATTGCAAAAGATTAATGGTGGTATCAGGTGCATTACGATATATCAGGTCTTTGAAACCATGGCCATTAAAGCGTGTTATGGTGGAGAAATACCTTTACACAGATCAGGACGCCACGATCCTGTGTGACTTCCTTGAGCCTATGCTTGTCATTGACATGAAGCAGCGTAGTCATGCCAGGGATATGATAGACCATCGGTGGTTAGATGTTGTAGAGGGTGATGAGGTTGCTGGGTCTTGGTGAGGGTTGCAAGGGATTGCATGTTAGGTTTAGATTGGTTGCATTCATCAACGGTGTGCTTTATCTTATACTCTTATCTTCTGTTCCTCTCGTTCTCTTATTTCTTAATTGTTATATGTGCTGCTTTTGGTGTTCGGATATCTCATTACTCGTCTTTTTACCCTTCTCTTATACCATACCATTCTAGACAATATTGCCCTTTACTGTTACTTTTTGTTTCTATTGTGTAAGCCTTGGACTACCTTATGTCTTTTTACTGGGTTGTGAGAGTTCCTTTAGTACGGCTTGTAACTATCATTCTAGTGCAGACTTGTATCATGCAGTCTCTAGATCTGCCTTGTGATTTGAAGCCGGAGATAGATGAAAGGCAGTATTATTTAAATAATGTTTAGGAAATATTGATAGTGCCTCCTCCAGGTTATCATTCAAGTCATATCCGACTTAGGATCCAGGGAATAACAAGTCAATAATGAATCCTGTGCATGTTCCCATTCCCTCTCCTGCCAGCCATTTCCACCAGGAAGATCCTATATCATATCATATCAAGAAAATAGCAAGTGCTGGTGCTTCAGTTCAGAAACAAGGATCAGTGAGGAGCGTGTCTGATGGAAAGCTCTTGTGAAGGCTTGATTGCCTTTGGATTCAAAAGTCAAGGGCATTTGCCAAGGTAGGACACGGTGACGAGAACACCTGCTCTGGAAGTCTAGCCGGGACACCAGGCCTTTAGGCGATGCCGACGAAAACCCGTCAGGATCAACAGTTGCGGCACCACTGGTAGTGACGTGGCCGCGACTGAACTGGCGGAACGTAATGGAAATGGCGCTCCCCGCCTCGGTCTAACCGAATGGGCTGCTCAACGCAATCATTAAGGCTAATACCACGGACGACGACCGTCAAAAAGAAAGATATCTTTTTTAGTCGAAAAAAATAGGCATTTGCAAGTGACCTTTGCCATTCAGCACGGCCGTTGCCGGTAACACTGGTAACATCCCCCATAGTTATAATTTCAATGGGCTGTAGTATTCATCAGTGTCAGTAATTACCGCCTCCATAATAGGACCATTATACCACTAACTCCTTACACCTTCTGTTTTTTACGGGGCTTCTCGAGGTCAATCTCCTCAGCATCATCATCATCGTCTGAATCATCGTCAGAGTCGTCTGAATCGATGTCGTCGTCATTGCCTTGGTCCAAGAAGTAGTTGACAGCTTCGGGAAACACCTCGTTAGCAATTGTAAGCCCGATCTGAAGGACAGAGATGAGTATTGGAACAGCTTAGTTACCAAGGTGGACTGACTTCATAGGGATCCGACTTGAGCTCGAAGAAGTTGAAGAAACTGCCCGGGTCAACGGGGTCGTCGTCAGGCTCTGGGCCTGGCTCTCGAGGGTACAGCTTGGTCAGTGCTCTGGCAGGGTCCTTCCAGTTAATTTTCATCGTCTAACACGAGTAAGCATACATAAGACTAACACAAAGCAGACCGCTCATACCGATGGCTCAATGTCACGTTCCCATGAAAAGTCGAGCATGGTCTCAGTGATACCATTTTCGTCTGGCTTTTCATCCGCTGCGCCAGGGGGGGTTATGTATTTATACTCCTTCTTGAGCACCTTGTCCGTGAAGTGAGGGTTTTCCTTGAAGAACTGCAAGACAACAGGTCAAGTTATTTGGCAACGGCTCAGTAGGAGACGGGCACTTACGAATTCGAGAGTGAAGGAACGATGCTCCTTCGTATCCCGTGTAAGCCAGACGTCCTCGAGATAAGTGAGAGCAAGCTGGTCCGAGTTGTGCTGGACGTGGATGCCGAATCCAACGTGGTTCATCAAAGCCACTGGCCAGAATTTTGGGATAGACTTGAGAGTCTCGCGACGTTTCTCCCAGAGAGGCAGCTGTTTTTTTGCCGTTTCACGTTCTGCATCGAAATAATGAGAAAACGAAGACCTGAACGACATGCAGGCCAGACTCACCGACCCAGATCTCTATCCGCTGCGTATCCTTTTGGATGTCGTTCAATTTTTGGGCATCTTCTTCGCTGAGCTCGATGCCTTGCAGGGGGTTCTCCTTCTCTTCAGTAGCACCGGGCGAGGCGCGTTTGGTTCCTTTGGACATGGTGGCGAGTGAAAGAGAGAGATGGCAGCTGCTACGAAGAGAAAATTTGCAACCGAGAAATTTGCAACTCCGCGGCGGTGATGATCAGCCTTCTCGATTAGGACTACCCTTTCAGATCACCAGCAAAGCAACATAGTATTACTCGCCCACCGTCCCTTCCAGTCTACCGGTAAATAAAATCCAAACAATACACGATATCTATCGTCAGTCAACCCGCTTCTTGATTTCCCCATCTTCCAAGCTCACCGTTCCTCTCCGTGTCCTCCCACCATTCAACCATTTCGTGGTTTTCCCCAAGCTGGTCTTCATGTCCTTGCCACCACTGAGTCCCATACCACTGCGCGCTGAGCGGAAGCCAGGACCATTATAGTAAATAATGTCGGTGGGAGGCATCAACTTTGGCCACGACACGAAATCAATGCCGTTAACGATCATGTAAGCGGCCGCCACGGTCAACAATGTAACCCAAAGCAGGAAATAATAGAACAGCGAATACTCTGAGAAGGGATGATTAGTGAGAAATTTTTTTATCATGATGTACTGAGCAAACCAGAAGTTCGAGGCAATGTTAACCCTGCACATATCATAAAACCGGAGAAAGATGCAATCACAGGCATCTGTCAAGGAAAGTGATGAGATACGCACAGAAATGGTCAAACCAAGCGACTTACAGAACGTGTTATCAAAGGGCGTGCATCGGTGACCAGAAATAAGGATGATGAGGGATTCTTTCTGGGAATCCATGTCCCTGTCACTAAATCAAAAGCGTCCTAGGAGACCGTCAACGCTATGCAGCTATATGTCTCTTATCTTACCTGTCTGGCACCGTCAAAGTAGTTGTTTTTGAGGTACCGGACCACAGACTTGACACCATCTTCAAGCACGCCCTTCTTAGTTCGTTGAGCTGTCCTTGTAAAATCAGACTTCAGTGCACCCGATCCACCATATGCCTTGGCGATAGCATCAGCATGGTCTGCCCACACTGGTGTCAAGTTAGATAACCACATACGAAGATAAGAACGGGTGACAACTCACTCTCCCGGAAATCGGCACTAAGCGCTGGGTATTCATCGATAGAGCCACCAGGAGAAAGGATTCCCAATGATATCAACTGTTGATTCAACGTCCATTTTGCTAATGCAGCTTGGACGACGTTGGTCCGGTCGAGATTGTCCATACAATTGGTGCGTACAGTACCCGATTGAAGTTTTTGTGGCTGGCTTTCACTTGCGTTGACGTGGAAGTACCTAGCATATCTATTAAGCGGAGCATAGCCAAAGGTATATACACTGACGATTGACGCTCAAGGTCATCTTCCACCTTTTCAATGAGCACACTGATGCGGTCCCAACGCATATGCTTGCACTCATTATGAAAATCAAAATATTCATAACGAACTTGAGGAAGATTGATCTAAAACATTTTAAAAGGTGCACATCAGTTCTGGGATTGAGATTACCTGAGCGACATAACGTTCATAAGCCTCTTTTACAGGCTTCTCGTGACCCTTGTGATTTACGAGATTGACCAGGGTCTGGTCTCCGTAGAGAGAGATTTGTTCCAACAGGTGCATCTTCATAACCTTGGGCTACACAGAGCATCCCATCAGTGAACGTCCATCATAGCTCGATCAACCTACAGTATCCTCTAAATCCATAATTTGCAAGTCGGGTTTATACCGCAGGGTGTTGACCTCCGCCCAAAACACGGGCACGCTACCTCGAATTTGCACAAAGCTGAGTTGCGCAGCGAATTCATCAGCGGAACGGGGTATTGTCGCAGAGTCTGGGGCTTCAACGAGGAGAATTTGTTCCGTCTCATTAAAATTGGCGACGTGCCCTTCATTATCGACGCCGCGACGGAAATAACGTGTACCCGCACGAAAACGGGACCGTCTACTTATGAGTGCGAGCTGCATGTGTCGTCCCTGCACGAAGGCAGGCCGAATGTCAAACGCTAGGGAGAAATTAAGCTGCGGCCCTCGTCTAGGAAAGTCACTCACATCCATATAGGACTGGAAGGATGAAAGGACTGAGCTGATGTTCACAGATTATTAACAAGACTGGAAAGGTAATGAAGAAGAGACTTACGTCTTGCTTGGCGTTGGCGTCTATGAGACGTGTTTGAAGGAATCTATACGTCATTCAGGACACTTGCGCCGTGTACACAGACATTACGCACCTATTCCAAAAAAATCTATCGTCTGCCTGAGTCGTCTTTCAATGAGAAGAAAGCCCCATAAACAATGTAAAGACGCACCACTTCCCAAAATGCCTTGTTGGTATCGTGCTCTCGGCGCTCCCATTGAAGTTGCAACCTCCTCGTCAAATCCCAGCCATAGCTGAAAAGAAATACACCGCCATACAGATGAGATCGTAGAAGAGCTAACAGATGTCCTTCAACTGGATGTGGCGGGTGCTGGACAGTGATGTTCGGGTTCAGTGGAAGCATGTCGAAATCGGTTGCTCGGTAAACATCTTGACCAGCGATTCGCCCGCGCGGTTCCCGGCCTGTGATGATAACCACATACTCGGCTGATGCAAAGTGAGCCAGAACATAGGACAGTGAAAGAAACCGCATACACATGGACAAGGCTATCAAGCCCAAGATACCATATATTGGTTTGCCTGACCGATGAGCCATAGGAGGTACAGCAGTATTCGGTGCTACACCTCATGAGACAAGCTATTGTGCACAATGACCAATGTAAAGCTCACGATTGAGTAACATCTCTCCAGTAGCACGGTCAATGGTCAGCGACTGTACGTTCGCAGATTCTCCAATGGGCAGAAAAGTGTAGGCATCGCTGCCTTCAAGGTAGCTGCAGAGAGTCAGAACGGAGGAAGACAGAAAAGAAGAAAATAACGGACAGCTGCAGACGCTGGTGAAGGGCCTTCATGGTGGTGGAAAGAAGAGGCAAGCCCCTTTTGCATCCAAATCGAGCGTGGCAAACAGACGCGTTCCTGCCTCTTTCGCTCTCCGTCACCATGAAGCTAACTCCCGAGCTCCTTGCCCAGGCATCGTCGGCTCTGAATCCCTGCAAGGAACGTCAGCTCGACCTACGTGGTACGGCCCTCTTCTATGCCCTCTCTTTTCCTGCTCAGCTCTCTGTACAGGATATAAAATTCCAGCCATTGAAAATCTGGGTATAACGCGGGTACGTGTCGTTAGACTTTTGTTCGCCTCTTTCACCATGTAAGACCGTATGTAGGACCAGCACGATGCTATCGACATGACAGACAACTCCGTCGTCACTCTGGGCAACTTTCCTCTGCTCAAGCGCCTGCACACACTCCTTATGTCCAACAACAGAGTGGCCGCCATTTCGCCCTCTATCCACTTATCTATTCCTCATTTGACGACCCTCGTACTCACAAACAACAACATTGCCGAACTGGGTGACCTTGAGCCGCTCAAGGAACTAAAAAACCTCAAATATCTCTCCCTGCTCGGTAACCCCGTGCGAGAAAAAAAATGGTATCGCGAATGGCTTGCCTGGAGAATACCTGGGCTAAGAGTTTTGGATTTTCAGAGAATTCGAGACAAGGTGCGCGTCTCAACCGTCCGAGCCATTCAGCCTTGTTCACGCATACGTAGGAGCGAAAAGCTGGCAAGTCTTTGTTCGTGACAGCAGAAAATTTGCCTACAGCACTTGCGACCACCATCTCGACGACGGTTTCGAACACGCAGGCTACCAAAGCTGCGTTGATGATGGACGAGCCCCGCCAGGCTGCACCAACAATTAAGGCTGGACGACTCATGTCCAAGGAGGATGCGGAGAAGGTCAAGGCCGCCATTGCAAAAGCTTCAAGCATAGATGAGATTCGGAAGCTGGAGAGGAGTCTTAGGGAGGGATACATGCCAGAGATAGAGTCTGTAGGTGCATAATTACAGTGGGCAGTATCAACATTGTATTTATCCATCATGTGTTTTAATGACTGTTATCATTGCTTTCCATTTCAAAAGGTGGCCTTGATACCGGTACCAGCTGCTCCAATCCACAATCCATGAAAGCCCAAGGCAATCACGGCATAAAGATTTGCAAGGGATGAAATCCCGTGCAAGTAACCAAACCGCCTATTCAACGTTTTCATGTCCTCAGACACCTACAGACACAATATTCAGCACGAATCAACACTTGCATCGTACTAACGCACTCCGGGTTCATTGTACACCTTTCCTTCTTGTTTTTCCAGCTTATGACGCTGGAACATAGTCCTGGGTAACGCATCGAAACTACGCCAAGAGATCCTGTATCATTTCACTCACTTGCTGGTCAGAGGACCCACAACAAAATAGTTGAATCCTTGCGCCAACGAGATAGATGCTAGAGTATACGCCTGTGCGACATCCACCACAAGGGGGTGTCTAATGTATGTGATGACATCAGGATGGGAATTGGTCCAAGACGCCAATAGACCCGAAGATAACAAGATAGAAACGACAAAATAGATCGGGAATGTCTTATGCTGTAGAGCGCCAAATTGCTGTCGCGCTGGTACCGCAAAGAGAGATTAGAAAATAAGGACGTCCTATGACTCAGGCGTGCTCACGCAAGGCCTTGAAGGCAATCACACCTTATCGTGGTTGAGCTTCAGATTCGATTCTTGCAGCACGTACTTACCACCAAAGAAAGAAACCCAGATTGCTGTAAAATCGGTAAGCACGGTTGACGGAAGAAGTGACTACAACTTCACTAACACATTCCAAACAGCCAGGCATATCCTACGAGATATAATCCACTTGGAGAAGCCAGTTTCAAGACGGAATGGAATGTCAGAATCTCTACTTCTGCCATGATGGTTGTTGGTTAGTGAGTAAGTAATGATCCGGCACATATATATATTCTTGACCGGGCCCGGGTCTCGCTTAGTTTGTCAGGTGCTACTACAAGTACAAAAAGCTTTCCATAAGCAAAATTACAAGAGTTCGTACTTCGCGGCGCCGTCCTTCACATACCCAATCCACCGAAAACAATCAGCTTCGTATTCATATACTCATCTATTCCGTGCGGTCCCCCTTCTCTTCCAAGACCACTTTCCTTGATACCACCAAATGGAATGACGGCTTGGCTTATGAGACCGGTATTCGCACCAACCATCCCCACTTGCAGCTTTTCGGCAACTCGCCACACTCGGCCCACGTCTCGCGAAAAGAAGTAACCAGCAAGTCCGACATCCGTCGAATTCGCTAGCCTTACCACTTCCTCTTCGGTCTCAAATTGTTGTAGCGCCGCTAAAGGACCGAACGTTTCTTCACTATTCAGCATGGCGTTGGCGGGCACTTCAGATAGGACTGTGGGGAGGTAGAACGAGGTATCGGGAATGCCCTTGCCGCCTATTAGAACCTGGGCGCCTAATGACACAGCATCATTGACGTGACGAGCGACTTTCTCCGCGGCCCGAGCATGAATAAGTGGACCGTGAGTGCTGTAAATGAGAATTAGGGTTGGAGTCATGGGCTCTTGAGGGAAACTCACGTCTGCTCATCCAGGCCATTTCCGACTTTGAAAGCAGCCACCTTTTCTGTCAGACGTGATGCAAACTCTGCATAGGCGTTCGATTGGACGTAGATCCGATTCGCACAGACACACGTTTGGCCACTGCCGCGGAACTTGCAAAGAATTGCAGCTGGATGAAAGTGAGAACCAAATTTTAAAGCGGAAACGGAGTAATATTACCATCGACAGCTTCTTCGATGTTAGCGTCGTCAAACACAATGAATGGCGCATTTCCTCCTGCTTCCAGGGAGATTCTGAAGATATGTCAGTGCGTCAAAACATGGATGAAAAGCTTTTGCTACTTCTTCAATGTCGATGCAGCTAGCCCGTAGAGCAGTTTTGCAACAGGCGTTGACCCAGTGAAAGAAACTTTTTTGATAGCCTGGGACAACGTTCAGTTAGGAAGCGAGATAACCAAGTCAAATACATGTAGTACCTTATTCTCGCATAGCTCCCTTCCAACGGTAACAACGTTTTTTTCAGTAGTGACCATATTGACAACACCATCAGGAATACCGGCACGACGACACAGCTACATACCACCTTAGAGACCCTAAGTAAACAGCCAGAACTGTATATTCACCTCTGCGATAGCGAGTGCTGAAAAGGGGGTTTCTGGTGGGGGCTTGATCACAGCCGTGCAACCAGCAGCTAGGGCAGCACCCAGTTTCCGTGTAATCATAGCAGAAGGAAAGTTCCATGGTGTAAGAATGGAACTACAACGTTCGTCAACGTATAAACGATCTTAATCGTCAAATTACATACACAACACCTGTTACCAGGTTTCAGAAGGCCCCATTAGCAGAAGTGATAGATAATAAAACTCACCGATTGGTTGCTTGATTACGAGGTTTCTGATATTACTGTTAGCAGAAGGAATCTGTTCTGGTTCGAATGCAAAAATGTTGAGTTCAGATCTAACAATAGGTCTGTAGTTACCTCCGTATGCCCTCACGGCTTCTTCGGCTATTGAAGGCTTGAATCACTGAAAGAATTAGGAACTTGATAGAATGCCTACCATACCACTACGGATGAAATAGTCAATATGACCGATGTGAAAATATGTAAACAATGACAGACCTCGATGAATGAAGCACTGTAGGCGTTCTCACCCTAACAAATGACATCAGCATGATGCTATTTGAGACCGCAAACTTGCCATGCCCTCCTTGAGCGGTTTCCCGTTTTCGAGGGTCTGTTGACATGCGTAAGAAACTCGGAAGTCTGATATAGGACGCTCATACAATTATCCTGGACAAGTCGTCGTGATTCTCTTGCATGAGGGCGAAGAGTTTCATTAGTATGTCGTGTCGGTGCTGATGAAGGATTGCATGAGTGGGTAAGCGAGGATAAGGCGTATTGCCAACCTTGGCGGTCGTTCTACTCCATGCGGGAAATGCCTTGGAGGCTGCATCTATAGCTTCCATTGTTTCAGATAGACCCATCTCAGGGACTGTCCCGAGCTCTTCGAGAGTAGCGGGATCTAGGCGAGCTATATTAAAAGTTCTCGACGCGTACTGGAAGACACTCACTAGTCACACTGATAGTTGCTCCGTCTTTTGCATCACTCCATTTTCCGTCCACAAATCCTTGCATTTTAATGAGGCTTGAGTCCTTGAGACCAAACTGCAGGCAGATAGCGCGTCAGTCATCTTTTGCAGTTGGAATGCATCGCTCTTCGCACCGCAGAGACCTGGGTGCTCGCCATCCTGAATTTGTGTCGGGACGTGGATGTGGTAGCACGAATGCTGAGAAGAGTTCGTGGTTGAATGGCGATGAACGCCGTCAATCGAGAATGGGAAAGCATTGAATAAAGCGCCCTCGTCTGTCTCAAAAAGCAAATTATGACCTTCCTGATGACCTGCCGGCTTATTCCGGGCCGGTCCAATTCCCACCGGCATTTGACCGGCATGCAAGGATAGAATTCATCCCACAAAAATTAAACTTTCTTGTCCTTCTCGTCCCGGAGTCTTCAGATAAGCTTCAGAATCCCAGACGTAAGATGAAAGATTGTCCTTGAAGTGGCCAGCTTTCGCAGGCCTTGTTGTCAACAGAGAGGGCACCAGATTGTCTGTTTTCCATGAAACCCTTGGCAACAAGATGCCCAGAGATATAAGATTGGCAGTATTGTATATCCTGATGGATGGGCATGGATTCATCAAGAATGACACTATGATAACGCAAAATGATCTTCTATTATTCTTTTCCTAAGCGCTAAGTAATCACGATAAGGCCCGTTGTGAGCAATCTTGACCTCGCCTGGCCACCGAGGAAGGATCGAGGAGAGTCAAAGTATCAGCGCTCAAAAAAAAACAATAGGATCTTGTTATGGTACTTAACCTTACATTTTTTCATCTTCTGTCAAGAGATTCACGCTAAGCGTTTGGATATAGATGTTCGGGAGGCAATAAATACAGCCTTTTGATCTATTGAACACATCTATCCGATAACAAGTTTGCCTTCCGCTTCATTAAATTCGTAGGCGGGAATTTCCAGGTTGAGCTAAGGAGAATGAGAGACGTGAAATAGTTGTCGATGTGAGTACTCACAGGGGCAGGGCCTTTACGGGCACGGCCAGCTGGAGGAAAATGAGTTAGCCAAGCATTAGTTACGGGAAGAAAACATACAGATATCATAATGGGAACCATGGCAAGGGCAGAACCTGGTAGTGGGGTAAAAATGCATCAAGCAAGGCGAATTAGATCATACGCACCATCCTCCGTAATCACCCGCTTCACCGATAGGTACACAACCTAGATGAGTGCAAACGCCCAGCATGACCAGCCATTCAGGCTTTTTCGCACGGCTCTCGTCGCTCTCGGGGTCCCTAAAGCTCTTCCAGTCTTCCCTTCTGGCCTCCTCAATTTCTGCCTGTGTTCGATGCCTGATGAATACGGGCTTGCCACGCCACTTGATGATCACGTTCTTGCCCTCGGGTATGTTGCCAAGCTCTACCTCAACTTTGGCGAGCGCAAGAACATCGGCGGAGGCAGACATTGTGACGAGGAACTCGGAGACACTGGACTTTGCAACAGATGCGGAGAGAACACCGAGGGACCCGACCATGAAATAAGAAAAGGCGCGGTTCATGTCCGTATTGGGTGCACGGTACTGAGAGAAATCAGGGACTTCAGGTGCATCTTTGACGATGGCAGAGGTATGAAGGAGGCGCGGTCGGAAAGTGGTAGTGGGTGGAACTGCATAACTTGCTTGTAAAGAATACTTTTCTTCGGAAAAAATGCTGCTTACTGTTGAAAAAAGTCTTAGAGATGAGACCAGACGAAGACCTTGAAATACCGCCAGCCCATTTCTGAGGAGTGTCAGAACGGGCGGTTTCACCATGCCCATGTCCATCAGCGGGAGCCCTGGTAGTAAGGTTGACCAAAGGCGCCAAAGGGACGCCAGAAGGGCGGGCGCGCACAGTGGGCGCGACGTTGAGGACTTTTTTCACAGCGAAGGAAGCCATGAGAGACGGAATAGCACGTTGACAATGACAACGACAGAGGAGGGTTGCTCTCCACGGGGTTTGCCGCACCTATCCGCGCGTTCCGTTTTGTCCCGCTAAATGTGACGTCAGGTGACGCCGATAATTATTATTTTAGGCATAAAACTATAATCATTGACGTTTCGTTGTAATCTAGTATGTAGTTTGGATATGTCGAGCCAGACACTGAAATACCTTATCCCGAGGAAACCCAGGTAGCACTTCATATCCCTGCTGTTCAAAAAACCGTTTCATGGCAGATGTGTAGTCAGTGATTACTCCATCCACACCCCATTCCAACAGTTGCTGAGCGATGTTCAACCGGTTAACCTGTCTTCATTTAGCTTACAATCATAAGGAACTTGAACTGGGCTCACTGTCCAAGGTTTGACCTCCCTACCAAGTGAATGGGATGTCGCGATCATTTTTTCGGTCGTAAAATATATGAAACCATCCTTGCTTGGGTCTTCCACAGGCGAGTCGTCAGAAGCATCACATGGCGAAAGAATGTCAGCGTCGATGGCATCAGCGGCCCTTGCAACCCTTTCACCCTGTGTCGCACCTTCAAAGGAGTCCAGATTCAAGCCCGCTAACCACGCAGATGTATTGTTATCTGCTCCAACCGCTGTCCCTCTACGGGTTCATCAGCAATGATTCACATATTGAGACAGAGATATTTACGAAGAGATAAGAGCAGCAGTTCTCACTGTCGAGTCCTTTGACTTCATGCCAATGAGTGTTCTCCAATCAAAACTCTGATACTAAAGCCGGAGTAGAAAAAAAAACTAAAAACATTGGATATCAGAGTACTCACTGTGATAGAGTAGAAATAGGGGCTATGGGCAAAAGCCGCGTGTTGATATTCCACAAAGTCGTCAACTGAACGTGTTCGGTAGGGGTAATCGGCATCGATCTTGGATTCGACATTAAAGAGCATTCCATGCTCCGTATCCACGCATTCAACAAAGTCAAACAACTCTTCCAGGGTAGACAATTTTGTTCCCGGATAAACGAGTTGTTGGGCTGCGCTGTGATAAGACTTCAGCTACAAAACCAGAAGAGCAACAGACTCACGGAAATCGTCGAGCCTCTGCGAGCCGCAGTCCAAGGTTTTGAGTTGTGCAAGCGTGAGATTGGCAATGTATTTCCCAACGTAAGGGTAGTCCGGATCGCCATCAAACTGAGAACAATGTCAGTGGTTTCATAGGTTGTTGAGCCTTAATTTTACCACCGGCGCAGTATCCAGGCACTTTTCTGCAGCGATGTTCTCATCGTGCCAGACAATAACCGCCCCATCCTAGACTAAGTCAGGACATAGATTGAAAGATACTCTAAATGTTCACATACCTTGGTAATGCCGTTGTCTAGCTCCAAGGTTTTGGCGCCATGGATGAGTCCCCTGCGAACTAATGATGAAGCAAAGGGCCTTTTACCGTTGGAGAAACTCACCAAGCAAAACTGGGAAGGATGCTTTCCACAGTTTCTCCTCTGCCACCACGGTGGGACTGCAACAAGTAATCAATTAACCACCAACGTGGTCTAAGTATCTCGAAATTTCTTGCCTGAAGATCAAATGCCTTGCAATTCTGATCCAGGAGAGACAACACGCAGAAACTGGTGCGAATGTTAAAGGCTAGAAGTAGTAAATTATTGAAGAACCACATAGCCTGACACTGCAAAGAAGAGGAGAAAGGAACCGAACGACCTCGTCGTACTACGAAGAGTAGTCTGGTCTCATAGCATGCCGCAGTAGGGGTGGACCTTAGACACATACGAACGTTCATGGCTTAAGGACCAGATTTGGGCCGAAATTGGAGCTATCGGACATTTGCAATACAGTATCGGCGTGGAAACATAGCGTTGCAACGGGGTTGTGGTTCGTGATGAAAGTAGGAATCATGTCGCCTAAAGCCCTCGACGTAGCTGAGTACACCGTGGACGAACTTGGCAGACAACTTTTTGAGAGAAGGGCCACCTTGCAAGCGGTCAAATCGCATTGAGTCGCTGTCTTCACAAGGCTACTTTTTAGTTGCTGACAATGCAGCAATGTCTGCACGGCGCCGTGACAATAAGTTGACGTCCGGTTACGCAACTCACGAACGTGCCCCAGCGGCGGTTGAAGTCCATCAGCATCCAATGTCACGAAGCTAGCTCATCGCTCATCTTTCATCGAAAGTATCAAAATCCAACAGTTGCCTAGCCTTGCGGGACAAGCAATGATGAGAATGTAAAATTCCGAGCGTACTCTATCAATGAGTCAGAATTCCGAGCATTGAGATATTCAGCTGTTAAACATGAAGATGCGTCATTTATTAGATACGGGATCAGAACTCTCTGTCGAAGGATGTCTGTCTGTCTTGGTGTTCGGCAATCCAAGATTTTTCCAATCGTCTCGGTCCATTAGTCCCCTGCAGAATATGTCAAACCGAGTCGCGTGACACGCGGATGCACAAGCTCACTTATCCATCCGACAATTCAAGTAATCCTTAGTCAAATCCCGGCAAGGTGTGGACTTGCTACCATTGCTCTTTAAGCATTGCATATAAAGAACCATCTTCTCCTTACATTCCCCTGTATTTTCGTTTGCCATTGTCAGTTGCAAGAAATTTGCTTTCTATTAAACCGACCATAGTGATCCAAAGGAAAAGATCCACGCTGGGGAGGTGTAGGCTTGAAGCCGAGGTCGAGAGATGGTGGTCGTCCAAATGACATTGATTCAGAGCGTGGGAACTTCCATCACCGGCATTTGCCAAATTCAGCTCCTTGGCCGGAACATCAGCATATACTATCCATCGAACAAATTCTTGGTAGAGTATGGGATTAATAGGTACTTCCACAAGTAAGACGTCCGACAGCTTGCTTCTGGATACTTCAGCCCTGGGCTCCGTGTGAGTAAATAATATCTTCTCATAGTCCGTGAAGAAACTACAAATGACCCAATGTCGACGCCCCGGCTCGAATTGCTGTTATTCATCTCTTTCTTGCCTTGCCTTTCCCTTTCCCTTTTACCTTTGCACGTCCCTCACCAGTATACTCCGAGTCGGAAGAATCACCATTCGAGTCTGAATTCCTATCTTTCTCCTCAACGGAAGGCCCCTCCCCACTTGGACTCAACGTCGAAGCCCTGCCATGATCCCACATAGAAGAGGACACTGTGTCTGGTGTTAAATGCACGCCAGCTAGTCGACTCCCTTTCAACATGACAATTTCTTTCAGCCACCCATTCTCTCTCCTGAGGTCAGCGGCTTCTTTCTCTAGCTCTTCCGCGCGCCCAGCAAGGTCAGAAACTGATCTTTCTAGATTGAGTGTCTTCTGCTTCTTCTTGATCCTGAATCGAGCTGAAGGCAAAAAATCTTGGTTTTTGCGCCAAATAAGAGACCCATGTCCACTTTACCTGAAGCCGCTGTATTTCGTTTACGCTTGTCATCCGCACCACCTTCTGGAGAGTCTATATCTGGCGGCGAAGCCGTGGGAGGAGCAGGAGTCGATGTAGAGGCCACCGACTGTGTCGGTGCTCCCTGGGGAGGTGGTGCGTGGTAGTAACTTGACTGGGTCATTTGGTCGTAAAAATAGGGCAACATATGTGGAGGGAATCCTGCGTTTGGATGTTGATTAGGGAATAATCCACTGGAAGATGAGGATTGCTGTTGAGGCCACGGCACATTCGGGACGCCAGAAAACTGTTGTGCCTGACTTTGTTGAAGAGCTCCGAGTAAATGCAACGGTATCCCTGGAGGCAGGCCACCCTGAAGATTCAGTGGAGGATATCTTTGGCCTTGGACGACTTGCAAGGCCTGCAAGAGGGCAACAACGGACGGATCAAGTGGCCCGTTGACTTGCTGGGCATTGGAAGACGCAGCAAACTGAGCAAGAAGCACTGCGTCCTGAAGGTCCTGGATAGGATATTTTTTTAGCACTGTGGCAATCAAGGAATAGGCTGTTTTCGCTACCCTATTATTGTTGTCTCGTGAGCCAGACGCGCCCGGTGGAGAACGTGATCTTTGGGGCTTAGATGAAGAGGGATTAGAGGAGCTGCTGGAATTTTCCTCGTCCATATCGAAAGAAAATATCAAATTCTTCCAGCGGTCCAATTCAGTTTGAATGGAATCTAAGGCAGGGGAGTTCTCTGATGCGTCGGAGACCGGGCTTTTCAGGGAAAAGAGCATGGCCAGAAGTAGTACGTCAACGGGTGACCAGCATAGCAGAGTGGAAGAAGTTCTGCGTCCATTCGACCAATGTTTAGCGATTCGCAATAGATTCACAAGATTGCGACAGCCAAATAACGCAACCTCGCGAATAGCCGATTCGTGCTTTCTAGAAGGCATGGGGCGAAAACACACATATTGCGCATGTCCATAGAGAGGGGATGAATGGATATAGTCGAAAAAACGAGTATTCAATGCCACACGGACTTGTACTTCATATAAAGTAGGGAATTCCGAATACCTCTGGTGCCTTCGAAGGCGATCGCCGCATGGATATCCCCATTTGGAATGATTACGTGATCTGCACGTGTATTACGCGTCGATCTGGTGACAAGTCTTAGTAGGGACCACCATCTCATTGCTATTACTTCTTTCTCTGTCTTGATTTACCAATGGTATGGTCACCCTGATGCATCTGGAAATTTCACTTACGGTTTGTAGCTGCTCAGGATTCGTTCAAAAGATGGCAATTTTCGCTTCGAGTTTCCGCCTACGGCCGACATCACTGAATTGCTGAACAAGGTCAGTGCTTGGTTGCGCTTCCACACGATCTGACATCGTTTCTCCCCCTCTAGATACTGGAGACATCGCCTGATGCGGATCTACAAACTATCACCGTGTCGAATCAGCCTCGTGGCAACGAAATATCAATCCTGACTTTGAAAGGGCGGACTTTGAAGAGCATCGGCCTCAAGTGCGTACACGGTGCTCATCGTCTCAAGTTCATCTTTTTCACCACTTGTATTTAGTCACGGCGATCTCATCTTTGTGAATTACCAAGCCAAGGCGGCATCGAGTTCGGCTACGGAAACACCAATACAGAGCGCTCAAACCAGCCATCACCCGTCATCGAATGAGAAGAGGCCGTGGGAAACAGTTCAAGAAGACAATGTGGATGTCTATTGGCGCACTCACGACGGCAAAATTCCAAGGGGACGTGATGCTCAGTTTTGCAAGCATGGCGCCAGAGGAATGTGTGACTACTGTATGCCCCTAGAACCTTACGATGCGGCGTATCATAAGGAGCACGCTATCAAACATCTCTCCTATCATGCCTATCTGCAGAAAATCACCCCGAAAATAATGCCTTCTGCAGCTTCGTCTTTGCCGTCTCTCAGTCAGCTCTCTTACAAGGTGAAGACACTGTGCCCAACAGGTGCACATCTTCCATGGCCTGCTGGGATCTGTACCTATTGCCAGCCTTCGGCCATAACTCTTCAATCTCAGCCTTTTCGAATGGTTGATCATCTCGAGATTGCTTCTATGGATATTGTAGATAGATTCCTCGAAGCATGGCGAAGGACGGGGTTACAACGTTTCGGATGGATGATTGGCCGTTACGAACCATATGAGAAGGTACCTATGGGAATCAAGGCCGTTGTGGAAGCTATCTATGAACCGCCACAAGAAGGCGAGTTGGATGGTTTGACCCTCGGTGTGCCTTGGGAAGAAGAAGGCCGTATCAAAGAGCTCTCAGCTTCTGCGACAACTCCACTGACTGTTGTTGGATATATCTTCACCGACCTTGATCCAACGGAGGAGGATCGAACAAAGAATGTGTATAAGAGACATCCAGGCTCCTTTTACCTATCCTCATTAGAGGTAATATTCGCGGCCACGATGCAAAACTCCCATCAGATACCTTCTAAATCCTCGCCTACGGGTCAATTTTCGTCGCGTTTGGTTACGGCAATCTTGACTGGAACGGAAGATGGACAGGTGGACGTTTCCGCATATCAGGTCTCTGCACAAGCCGAGGCTATGGTTGAGGCAGATATGATCGAGGCTAGCGTCGATCCTGGTATTGTCAGAGTCAAGGAAGAGGATCGAAGCCAAGAAACAGCTCGATATGTTCCTGATGTCTTCTTTTCTTACAAAAATGAGTACGGTTTGGAGGTCAAAAAGAGTGCAAAGCCAGCCTTTCCCGTGGAATATCTCTTGGTAAATGTAAGTTTGTGTGTTTTTAATCCAGGACAATAATTAATGGCATGGAATTAGGTGACACATGGGTTCCCGCAAAATCCGTCACCGATGTTCCAATCGACTCAGTTTAACATTGAAAACCGACCTGGATTGGAAGATCAACGAATTGAACATGTTCTTTCCACCCTGCATTCATTAGGTGCTCCCGATATCCCGGATAGTCGACACCTACAACCGCGACGAGCCCGTAAGACGTTTGAGTTAGCCAAATGGCTAAGTGATTGGCATCTCATCGCTTTCTTGGGTACAACTCAGCTATTCTCACCAGTAAGTCGTGGGAGATTATCTCCCAACTTGTCTGACACGATTCAGGAGGACATGAAGATACTCATGCGAACTGTCACCTCATCCACTTTGCTGGAGGATGTCAGCCAATTGGACTCTTTATTGTCCACCGAGGGTTGGCATACTCTTATGATGTTTACACGGGAGAGCGCCCGTAAGTTGACAATGTGTTGTATACGAACGCAAATGCTCATGCCCTTTTCTAGCTCAGCCGAACACCGCTTCAACATCTGCCGCAATGGATGAAGACATTCCGCAGGAGGTATTGGACCAAATTGCGGCCGCAGATGTTGCTTCAAGGGGAAGCAATGGAGGAGGATCTGGGCATGCAAGCAACAGCACTAGAACCTGTCCCCATTGTACTTTTGAAAACGATCATGGAGGAACTGACTGTGAAGTCTGCGGATTACCATTATAAATGTATGATTATTTGTCACAATTGCTTGAATATAACACCACTGTTAGCGAATTTTGTCCCTTCAAGCTTCATCGTTTAGCTAGTTTTCTCGGAAAAGGATAACCATGTTCCCAGGATCCAGCGACAGCCTCGTGTAAACTGCGTTTCTCACTGATATTCATACTTGTTCTGCTCTCTATGGGCTCTTTCGATGATTATAATCGCCATGGGGGCTTTTATCGTCCTGTCAAAGATTTGATGAGGCCCTGGACGCCTTCACCCTTTAGGCCAGCTGTGCCTTTGCCTTCTGCCAGTGACCAACCACCCCAAACACCTGTAAAGATACCCCCAGTGCCGCCATATACTATCAAAACGCGTTACTATGACGTGAGAGCTCACGAGCGCAACAGGTTTGTTCGTCTGATCAGACGTCTTTTGCGTGAGTTCATGCACCCCTCACAAAGGAAGACAATGCTGATCAACTTGCGTTCTCGTAGGCCTCGACTACAAAGTCGTTAAGCGGAAGATCCCTATGTACCACCCTCTCGAGCTCGATCCACCAGCGCCAAAATATCCTTCTGTTCCTTTATCAGATTGGAAAGCATGGGGGTACTACGCGTGGCCTAGTGTTAACGGTGGTTTTGTCTGCAACCAATGTTCGTTCTCAGTTGGCTTCCTTATCTTCATACTTTCTTCTTATCAGTAGATGAAACAGCACCAGGTCCCAAAATATCTGTGGAAATCGATCCGGTAGAGATGTACAACGCGCTGCAGAGTCCAAGTGAGCAACTACGTTCGGAGTTTTCAACTTTCAAAGTGCTCACAGTTCTTCTCAAAGAGGGTGGGCACCATCCTGAGCGATGGATCCCAGGCCAACGACTTCCCGGGCTCCCTCCTCGACCGACAAGATGGAAACAGCCCCAACGAGGCGCACCACTTCCCTTTCCTTGGGAGTGCCAGCTCAATCCGTGGCTCATACACTCCAAGGAAGGGCTTATTCCTGTATTCTGGGATATCACTGCCGACGTCGAAATAATGATGCTTAATCTCGATAATAGCGTCATATTCCTTGGCAAGCCAGACAGAGCCCAGCCCGCGACATGGCCCTTTGTCACACACCTGCTCATAAATGCGATCATGATCAATGGCAAGTACTTGAATGGCTGGCCCATTATGATCATCAACTTGAACGGGATTTGTTGTGATGATGTCTTTGTCGGGATATATGATACCTTCCAGCAGTACGTATCTGGTGAAGAGTTTGATAGCTGGCCTGCAGAAGTACAGGCAGCGGCTGAAAGCATGCATCGGATTCGACGAGATAAAAATATTGAACAACACGAGGAAACGGCTCTGCGTCGATGTGACTACTTTGGACGCTACCACTTTTTCAACGGGCTGGAACTTAATCCCGACAGGCAGGGGTGGATTTTACACTTGATAAAGTCCCGTTTTGATAGGCTGCCATAATTCTTCGAAGTCGTATTTTTTTGTTATTATTTCTATGACCTTCCAAATCATCATTATCTTCAGGAACTGCCGTCTGCTTCACTTTTCTGTTGTATTTAATGCAGTCTTGCGCACAGACTGTACGTGTGCTGCACTCCAGAGTAAAAAAGAAAAGAAGACAAGAAGAAAGAAGTAACCATTAGTACCTTGCTACATGACGCTGAGTACTGGCTTCTATAGGGCTAAGCTTGATGCGTGCTTCAATCCGCTGTAATTGCATTATATATCCCGATCCAAGTTAGGATCACTCCGCGATCAGTTGACACTACATTCACTTCCACACCGGGGAAACAAAAGAAATAAAAATAATTGTCTAGGAAGTGAATATCCACCAACCAGCAAAGGCCAAGCCGAAAATGATACCAAGAGCCCGTGCAACGATAACAACGACGAGGGCCTTTCTAATAGCAGCATAGAATGTGCTCAATGCAGAGCCCGACCAGTTTATTCTAAGGAAGCGATAAGGTCAACTGACGACGAAAATAATGAGCCCCTTACCTCCTGTCATTGTTATTGCCGGATCGCACACTGGCCTCCCAGCCACGGATAACTTCACGATAGCGTTTACCAAATAGCCTGGGAAGAAGTTATGAGAACGCCGCTGGAGATAATATGTATGCGACGCACCAAATCCAGAAATTAACGTCAGGATACGAAAATCGGGGAAACACACTGGCCAGACTTGGAGCAACAACTTCGGTGCGCATGCCGGGAACATCGCTTTGATAAGGCAGGTACATGACAGGGGAAAGAGGAGAGGAGCGACCTTTCTCAATGTTTATTTCAGGGTCATGTGCGCTCTTCGAGGAAGGGGTGGGGAGGATCATGTATGACATCAAATCGAGTGTCATACCGAGGGATAGTCCCCAGAGTTTGAGAACATGAGGTGGATGGGGGGACGATGCCTGGCCTAAGACGATAGCTGGAAACTCCATGCTTCCAATCAAGACTCGAACAAGGAGGCGGAGTGCGGTTGAATGTTTTGGGGCGAGGCGAGAGGCAGCGTCGACAGTGACGGTGGACCACTTGGGCGGCGGATGAGCAGAGACGAGAGACGCTAGAGGTATCCAATGGAGGGTCGTAGACGGGGCGGGGTCTGGAGACGGGGAATGAGGGGAAACTTGAAGAAAGACAAAGGGCGAGAGAATCATTAACAATCGTTTTCCGAGGGAGGTCGTAATTTCACGGTCATCCAGTTGGCCGATGCAGATGTAGTCACGTTCAGCAAGATCTATGCCTATCTCTTCCCATGTTTGGCGAAGAGCTAAAGAGTGTCAGCTTTGCCGTGTGTCGAACGACAGTGTACGCACCAGTATAAGCCCCACCCTCGTCGTCTGGTTCTGTTCTACCTCCAGGGAATGCGACATGAGCCTCCTTGGGAGGCACAGTTCCGTCGTCGTTCACAGGATGATCTCTTCGTAAAAAGAGAATTTCTGGCTGGGCGTTGGGGTCATTTACCCAGTCTAGCTGGAAGAACTCAGATAGTTGGGGAGGGGCGGTGGAGGTCGTCGAAGCGCTGTAACTTGGGGCGGGAACGACACGAATGACAATGGCGACTGCAGCACGACGTGGCTCTACATAATGTGAGCAAGAGAGGGGAGTGACACGTAAAAGACGTACGAGTCGGCGGCGAGGCGATAATTCGGGGGGGCGTTGAGCGAATGCGATGAAGTGCTCGAGAAAGCAGAGGCACGACGGAGACAGGTTTATCTGTGAACGGTGAGCAGCAGAAATGAGGAGAGCAGCGAAGGAGTCTTACCAGACATGACGGCAGAGAGGAAGAACAGTCCCGTTAATTTCTTCCCCAACCGATCGTAAATTTTGTTGATGACGCAATTTCCCACGGTGAGCCTGGGCACATTCAGCCTGTATCTTGCTTCTCTCTATTTCTATTTCGCCTCCAAAGCAGAACGCGTTCCCGACTGGTCTCGACTGTCGCCGCGTGGCTTCATGCAGAAAACAAGGTTGAATTGCAATAATGGTACACAAATATAGTCCATATTAATCCACGGTCCAATTCCGTTTAATCGTGCTAACATACCTAAAATTGTGAAGTATAAAGGCTCAGTTGTATTTTGCTTATCTCAGTCGTCATTTTCACCTCCCGGCCGTCGTCCACGAATACTGAATCTCGACGGCGACGCTATTGACACTGTTCGATGCGTCACGTTTTCCCGAGATCCCATGGACGACCTTCCCGGCGGATTTTGGGTCGGATCATACTCCAGCCGTAGGCGCAAAAGGCCCTGTCCTTCACGTAATTCCAAAAACATTTCTGCAGCTGAAGCTTCTTCTGCTTTTATATGTCGCCAGATCTAAGCTCTCCATCAGTCATGGCATCCCATATATAGGCTAGACCTCACATCAATGTCGCCTTCACCTAGCAACTTATCCTTTCCAAGTGTCTTATGATCGTGTATCCAAACTCGGATTTTGGACAGATAAGGCCCAGCGGCAAAAACAAATGTTTCATCCCTGCAGAAATAAGAGATAATCCGTACATCCACAAAATCTTGGCTTACCACTCCGGGGTCGCGGTCTTTCCAGCATGCTTCGTTTTGAATTCCTTGTCGCCCAAGCGGATGGTTGCATACGCTTTGCTGTCAGTGCTTGACAAGTCTTTCGCATCCAGTACGGTCACCCGCAGCGTCCCCGGCTCGTGTGTTCCATCTAAAGATGTCTTGGACTTTGAGTCCGGGAGTATGTGACTGCCAAGTGTGCTGATAATGTCTGGTACGATAGGAACAGATGCCTGCCCTGCTGGCAGTTCGGGAATTGCCGGAACTTCGTCCGCATCCTTACTCTTGAACAGGCCGGTCACTCCGTGAATGACACCCTTGCCTGCGGATAAAGGTAGAACTCCGACCTGCGTCATTGCTCGCCCAGCGGTAGAAAATGTGGACGTGTTCTTGCGAGATTTGGCGATAATCTCAGGCTGGAACATCAGTCGAACATGCACGCGTCCCTTTGGGCCAAGCTTAGGTGAGGATAGAGAAAGCTCTAATTCAGAGGCTTCGAACGGCTCGAGATCCGCAAGATTTATCTTGGCTGATCCTAGACTTTTCGCTTGTTCTAGCTGATTCCAGTCAAATATTTCGACTTCGAAGTCGGCGGCGACACGAGAAGGCTACAAAACAGAAGCTGATCAGCACAACATTGATACTAGCACAATGTCTCAAACGTACCACAGAAACCACGAAGTTTTCGTTCCATTCGGGACTAAGAGTTTTCTTCTTGGTCTGAGACTTGAAGACCCTATGTTCATTGAGAGTGAAGACCGCATACGGGTCAGATTTGCCTAATGGTAGCCATTAGAGGTGAAGGTAGACAAGTGACTAGGACTTGCCTGATCTGTCTGCGGCAGGAATCTCACGACCGTCGATAAGATCGACACGAAGAACACCCTGATCTAAAGGGAATTCAGTCAGGCTAGAAACAAAGGTATCACCATCAACAATGTTTACGCACTGTTGATACTCTCTCGTGGTTCAAGTTTAACGGGGACCGGCACGTAGTGGGCCTCGACGGTTACACGTGAAGTGTCTCTTTCGGATTCGTCTCGAAGAGTGAAGGTCTGAGGACCAGCCTATAAAATAGATGTGAGACAATGAACATCAAACACCTATTCAGTCTTACGAGGGTTGACTGAAGGAATGATTTAGCGTCGCCCTTCCATTGAGCTATGATATCATCCTTATCCCCTTCGTCAGCCTCATTCAATCTCAACCACACCTGACCAAAGTCGAGTTCCTTGAGGAAACCTTCTCCAACATAATCCCACTGAACCTTGGTGCTTCGTGCTCTCGTAGTACTGAAGCAAGGCCAATATCCGTCATCCAAGAGTACTTCGACTCGCGCTTTCTTCGTCAATTGTCCCGAAATGACATTGAAAATAATGATACCAGACTCTGCAGCAAAAGAGAAAATTAGGCTCCTCAGAAAGAAAAAGAAACTTTGAACACACGATGCGTCATTAGATCGTCCATGGACATCTCAATTCCTTCTTCAACAGGAGATTGGGTTTCGGAAGTTGTGGCGGTTGTATCCGTAGATTTAGTGGCCCTTGTGTGCTTCTTGAGTGTTCCCTTAATAGTGACACCATCTGGCATGGCTTGTGCTTCCTCATCGGTTGACGAAATTGATGCTGCACCATCGGTCACAAGATCACTTTCTGAATCATTGTCACCAGCAGCAGCTTGATGTATCTTCTTGGAATGGCTGTCAAACTTGATACCCTTCAATTTCATGGCAGGAATGAATGAGGCCGTGTAATGCAGATCCCCTTTGAAAACGTTGGCTCCGTCCAGACGTAAGGGATCAGTAGCGGTCTTGACACCAGTGGATTGGAATGGGTACATCTTGTCATCGGATTCTTCCGCCAGCTCTGATACGCGCAACTCGACAGACCCGAGGGACCGATCCTAATAACATCCAGATTGATGTATACTGGAAGAAGCTACAACTTACTCGAGTCAGATGTTGATAATCCATGCATTCCAATAGTAAAGTCTGAACATAGGATAGTCAGAGATAGGTCTCAACCGATACGTGGTACGAACCTCCTTGAGTGAATGAACTGAAGATGATGAATGAGGAGAGAAAATAAATAAAATCAGCGGCAAGGCTTACCGGTGATATAGATAATCTGATCCCACACAGGGTTCAGATCTAGAAAACGAGCTCACAGTAGGTCAAGTTGTTGATGACAAGCCACTCACTGTTATTGACAACCTCCGTCCTACCCATAGTAACGTTGTTCACTTGTACCCGAGTATAAGGGTCACTCTGTATGAACGGATCAGGATATTTTCCTATGCAGTAAAGGTGAATCTTACTTTGCCACCCAGCGTAGCCTCGACGTTCTTCACATCCGTAGCGCGATCCAACAACAGCCTTACTACGCCTATAGGAGGACTGTACTGATCAACTCCATGGAGGCTTCCTGCCATACTTAAGGGCTTCCATTCGGCAGATATCCTCAATTTTCCGCTTTCGCAGTTGCTGAGAGGGAACCAGTCAATGTTCTCTTTTTTAGAGGCCAGCAAGTCCTCCAGGTTGATGGACATGTATCCAACAACGGGATCCTTGAGGAAATCGCGGTCATCGACAATCTTGACAGTGATGACAGATGTCGCCTTCTTGGCGCATAGAAACTCGTGCGACGATTCCCAGACAGGGTTGTTTGTATGCTTGAACGCTTTCGTAACATGAACAGGTGTTTTGGAACCGCTGAGGAAGACCTTTGCCAAAGGGTTGAGGTCACCTGATAGAGACTTCTTGGCGTCGAGCTCTTTCGCTTGATGTACAGTGAGACGAACGATTCCAATCGCTAAACAGAATGATCAAAACAGTCCGCGGATGGAACCAGCAGAAGCTTACAGGTATTCCTGGCATCGTTGTCATCCTCAAGATGCAAGACCGGGAAGAATGAGACATCGTATCGGAGCTCTCCTCTCTCCTTTCCATCCATCAGTAACTGAGTTTCCATGCCTTCCTGCGTCGCATCCTCTTGCAGCCGCGTCAGTTCGAATATCGACGAGCCTAACAAGGTGTTCTTCCTATGATCATTGTAATCGTAAAGGTTGAACACTAGGGACTCGGTGAGATTGTTGACCAAGATGAAGTTCGTCTCCATCCAGGTTGGGTTGTACCTGTCAGATGTTTTGTTTAATTTTAGAATTCTATGAATAAAAGTTGATAAACGTACGTGTTGTGCTTACATTTAGTGCGAGCCAGTTCGGCGCGGTTATTGATGGTAAAAGCAACAAAGGGGTCGGGAGTGCCGCCGCCAATTTTGCTTCCTTTAATGCCGCGGGCCGAGTGGACTGTGACTTGCAACACACCAATCGCCGAATCGCTCGGAGCACCGGAGAGGAGCTGTTCAAGATTGAGTGTGAAGACGTTGGGGTCGTACATCATCGGACCGAGTGTCGAATGTGTCATCTCACGAATGAAGGAGGAAAGGCCGGGAATCTGTAGGGGACAGACATCAAAAAAGAAACTTCCGACACAAGGTTATTCTAACACACATTTGCGATGTCGAAACCCAACGTTTCGCCGCCAATTGGCTTGAGGACGTAGTCGATAACAGGTTTCTCCAGAAAACATATATCAACGATTTGAACGTGTGGGAAGTTGGTCATCAACTTCATCCGAATCCGAATGTTGCCCTTGAAGGAGATATCCTCCAGAAGGATGGGCATGACGGCAGTTGCAAGGCCTTTTCCAACACGAACGGAGAGGACAATTTTGGGGTTGACCTTGCTCGCGACTTGTTTGGCCGTCATCTCCGAAATTTCGTTAGGAGTGAAGGAGACACCCCAGTCCATCATAACGATATCATCTGGGGTCTTTGGGAAAGTGCGGACATGGTCGATTCGAGGCGCCTTTGTCCCTAGGGTGAACGTGGAGAGCCGCATAGAATCCAAGAAGGCTGGAGTACTCGAACTAAGGACCTGATCCACGGAACTAACGATAGTCGCAGATAGAACAGGTTCGTATATGAGCCAGAAACGATCAAGGAAGTTGTTAATCCAGTCAGCTGACTCGGATTCGGAGGCCAGGCGCGTTTTGACTAGCTCTCTCTGAATATCATCTCGCGCTCGCCGGCGAACCCGGTGCATGGAAGTGGTGTAATACGTATTACATACGGCAAGGATGATGAACAACCAACCCCATCCAAAATGGAAGCGAGTGAGAAAGTGCGAAACAAACACGGCCTGCAGATGATGAGCATATAGTCCCAAGTTTGAGCTGACAACGTACAAAGACAATGACACCAGCGTTGTGATACCAACTGCCATAGTATTGGTCTGTGAAGAAGGTTTCCAAGACAGCCTTGTCCTTCTCTTCGCCCTCGCGAGGCGGTTGCTGATCTATACCGGATACTTGGCGCCACCCGACACGATACCAGTCAGGAATGGAAGGCGCAGCAGCCGCTGGCAGTGCACCAGGGAGTACCGCGGTATCTTCATCGACCTCTTTGACGCTCTCCACACATAGCTGAGGTTTCTCAGAGGCCACGTCCGCATCATGGACAGCAATTGTTGGAACAACGGCGGAGTTACCGCGGTCAACGGGAACTTCTGCAGGTTTGATGTCAGACAATGGGAGGAGCAAGTCTATTCCCTCGACGCACCCTGCTCTGGAGGGGCCTTTTGTAAGTTGAGGTCTTCATGAGCCTTGCCGGCGGCGGCGCCTTCTGCCTCTGGAGCAGCATCAGGGTCAAATGAGTGGACCGCAACGCGACTTTGGTCCGAGTCTTTCTGCAAATCCAGAGCAGCCTGACCATTGCCGTTGACGACGACGCCGTTAGTAGCCATGGGGCAGGAAAGTGAAAGGTGTGCGATGGAGGAAAGCGAAGAAGGGAACGTGTACTTAATTGAAGGGTAGGTAAGAGGGAGGCGGATGTGCGCCTGTGTCTGATCTCCGATGTCGTCAGAGGTCACATGGTGTCACATTTCCTGGAGCCATATCCCTGAAATCCAAGAAATCCAAGAACTGGCCAAAGAAACCATGATCCCTCGAGAAGTACCATTACTGTAGCAGGAATATTGATGGAAAAAAAATATGCAGGATACATTCTGCAGTGAGTCTCCAGTCGTACCAGGTCCACTGCATACATCTAGGCTGCCCCGCATAGGACTACATGCAACATAGGAGTCCGAATTCAGACTTGCCAAAATCAGAGACGCCTTTTTGGTATTTATGATCGATCCCGATCTAGTATTTGTGCTAGTTGTTCAAAGGCTTCCTGGGAGGATGCCGACGCCGACCAAGTTTTGTCAGAGTACACTTCCTCCATTGACGTCCAGCTCTGGTCGTGATTTTGCTCGACTCGCCCAGTACGAAACATTCATGACATGAACTCACCCTCATCTCTCCGAGACCTCTACAACGGCTCTTCATCTGCTTGGTCTTTTGTTCCACCACCATTGCCGCCCAGTGCCAATACCTCTTCTTCGGCATCTTCGAGCTCTTCGTTTCAATGGTCGACGCGCCCAACACCAAACTCTATCTTTGATCTTTCACCAGATTTGAATGATGCTAATGGCATCAATGCCGTTGATCTCTTCAAGACCCTCGCTGCGTCTGCAGTGTTGCAGTACGCAAGTAGTGCCATTGCCATGCCTTGGGAAGTCGGCAAGATGCTGCTCCAGGTGCAGTGGGTACCTAGAGATTCACACGACTACCATTCCGATGTTGGACCTGAGGACGATGACGATGCGGTTAGTTGTTCAGTCTTCGCGGGTCTTGAGTCCTGAAGAATTTATCTATAGCTGAGTGATTCTTCCAACGATAATGAATCCTATTTTGCGGACCCAGAAATCACACCGAGGATGCGCCACCCTGCCCAAGTGGACGAACACGGATATGTTATCCGTCGATCCGTTCTTGAAGAGGGTACACGTCCGGAGTACATCATTCCTGTCGGCAGTGCTAGCGGGGTCTGGGGCATGATTAAACGCGTCGGTCGTTTCAGAGGAGAGGGCTGGCTAGCATTGTGGAAAGGTATTCCTAACTATCTGAATGTTCTGGTTGCCAGTTCTCAAGTCTTCTAGGATTGCTCACTTCATGTTTCACGGAAGTTTTGTCTACAACTTTCCAGCCCCTCATTCACAATATTCTCCAATCTTTATTCCTTCCCACAACACCTCTTTTCCAACAGCCCCCCCTCTTACTCCCGATTGCTTCTCATATAATAACCGGGTTTCTACTCTCTCCATTGGATCTCGTTCGCACTCGACTGATTGTTCAATCGTTCGTTCCTCGATATCGCAGCTACAGTGGTCCCATCGATGCACTTTCCCAAATACTCAGAGACGAGGGTGGTTTCCAAGGAATTTACCTCCATCCCAATCTATTCATCCCTATGGTCATTGATACCGCGCTGCGGCCCGCTGTCTCATTGGCGCTACCGGGTCTACTTGTATCGTATCTTGGCACCCACATTACTGAGGATACCAGTCCTTTTGCCTGGGGATTTGCCGAATTGGCGGGTAGCTGTATAGGTCTTCTCATCACCTTGCCATTTGAGACAATCAGACGGCGATTACAAGTACAAGTCCGAGGAAGTGCAAGGCCAATCAGAGGTTGCGTTGAACTTCGACCAGCCCCTTACAATGGTGTCATAGACGCACTGTGGCATATTATTACAGAGGAGCGATCGGATCTTCCCATAGTTCGACGAACCAAGAAGAGACGGACGAGCAGAGGTTCTACCGAGAGGGATGGTGAGGCACAGAATAACTCAAGAGGAGAAGATAACTGGTCACACCGTACTGGAATAGGCCAGCTATATCGGGGTATGGGAATGAGATTGGGGGCAAGCGTTATAGTATTTTTGCTCGCGCTGATCACTGGCGGCGATAATTCAGACGGGGGTTGGGCGGAATTGTAATCATCGGGCAACTTTGAATTATACAGATCCAACACTTTCGCTCTCGTTTCAAGATGTACGCTGAAATCGTAGGATGAAAAGGTGTTCGGAACCGGCGCGGCGGTGGAGCACCGTCTAGGTAATTCATTAATAAAGATGCTCGAGATGCAAGAAGATTACAAACTTGGCTGCTGAGTCCAAATTTATCCTGCATTCTTCGTTGGATGTTCGGAATATCGTTCTGTTTGAGCGCAACCAAATAGAAGAGTCCTCGCGGCGATAGCAGTTCCTTTGTCGAAGTCAGAAGGAGATGTCAACGCAACTTCCTAGACCGACTTTTACGACATCGAGAAAACGGTCGGTAATATCCATGCCATCTTTCCCTCCAGCCCAGGATCCTTCTACGTATCTCTTACTTTGAGCATTCAGCGCCTCTTCTCGGTCGGTTGGCACGTAGGGTGGATTGAACAGTATAACGTCAATAGCATTCTTCAAGCGGTGATGAAACGGTCCCGCAAACGTAGTATTCACTACGTCCAAAAAAGTCTGAAAGGATAAAGGCTGCCTGTCAGCGGAGTAGAATGATAGTAAACACACTTTGTTTTGCAGTCCTGTCCTGAAGGAGCATATGCAGGCATGGGGATTTATATCGGTACATAGATAAACTGCGAAGGAAACCTTGACGATGTGGAAGACATATCAACGCGACGAAACGAACGTGCTGTGGACCCCAAGATGCTACCCAGAAAGCTTGAGACGCAGCCGGAGCCCGATCTGTCTGCAGTAAGCGATACCAAGTCGAGTGATACGCGTAAGACAGGACGTTACCCAACCTCCAGACATACAGTTGCATGCAATTCCCTTAAATGCTCCGCATCCTGTTCCAAGGCGTCCAAGAGAAGATAAGTGTCCTCTACAGGAAGTGAATTGAGAATTTCAAGGCAGTAGACGGGGCATACCAGCGGGTTCGTACACGCTATCGTAATCAGCAGAGGTGAGGTGGGAGAGATTAGGTGTTGGGATCATGAATGGTCGAGCGTCACAAACGTGACTAGGATTGCGTCACGAGCCCGTCACAGTCGGATTTCTGTCGAACCTGCGAGTTTCCTCGTTGCTGCCTGGCCGTGACTGCATGGGTCCCTGCTCTCCGCAGAATGCATCCAAGTCAAAGTCCGTCTTCGTACTAACCTTCATCTCTCATGACTCCTGGTGCGCTGGTAAGGCCATTACTCGTTGACCAATGGTATTAAAGTACTTAAATTTGTATACTTCCAATAGGTCCGCAAACTATGCCCTTGCTTTCTACCTGCAGTCGAACAAAACTCTGAGCTACCTACAAGCAACTCTGTCATTGGTGTCGCACGTGTAATCATTCAATCCGCTCATTTGAAGCATTCAAGCACCTTGCTGCTGCCGCCGAATCCATTCGTCGTCCTTACCACCCATGGCTTAAGGAATCCATCATTCACATCACACAGACATTTCACGTAGGTCTCCAATGCTATTTTTGGCCAATCCCTAAATCTCCATCTTCAGTTACGATCCCAACTGGATCATGCAGTCCCAGGAAATTCTCATCTTCTCAACGGACTCTGCCTTGTTTTTCGACGTGTTTGATCATTCCAAGTATTTCAAGAATACATTGATTGCCTCAGCCTCAATTTCCGTTGACGATCTGGTCCTCGACTCTGAACCAGTGGCCAAGCGATTGCCTCTGTCCAAAAATGGGGGGCTGAAGGGAGAGCTTTTGGCCTCCGTCTCATTTCATCCAATCTTGCCTTCAACCGCTGATTCAAGTACGTTCTCTTTTTCATATACACGCATTTTTTCCCTTATGAATCCGAGTCAGACGTGGGCGTTGTCCATCTATCTCTCGACGAGGCCAAGGATCTTAAATCTCCCGTTTCCTCCAGAGAGGCCAATCCCCGAGCGACAATTATGCTGGCTGTTGATGGAAAAGCAACGCGGATACATTCCACACCTCTGTGTAGGAGCACGAGTGAACCCAAGTGGCATTCGCGTCACACTTTCTTGTGCACAGACAAAGCGTCGAGTGTTATATTGGTTGACGTGTCTGACTGTGGGTTCAAGGAGACGAATTTGGGATACATGTATATTCCCCTTCGTGACCTGTTGGATAGGGACGAAACTCTTCCGCGTTGGTGGGCTCTCAGTGGCAGCCAAGCGGGCCAGTTGAAGATGGGGGCGGAGTGGAAGCCGTTAAAGGCAGACCTATTAGAGAATGTGTAGCTAATGCGCAAGAACAGGTATCTCTACTTTGACACATATATATAGGACTGCAGATTCAATGAATCAGATATTTATATATATTAATTGTCAAACTGATGAAAATCAACCTTGTGAGTTGAGCGAAGTTAGAATATTTTACTTACAGATATCACGGAGAAGACAATAGTGGTGCTGCCTTGACCCACTGCGGCCTGCTAGCACAAAGCTCCTTCACAACAAACGCAGCAAACCCTGCTCTTGACAACGAGAATCCCGTCTTCCTGTCCCCGATATAGCCAGCAACTACCTCCTTCTGATCCTTATTCGTCATCCTGGGAACCCTGACAATTGTCCAATCCAAATCGGCCCCCCTCAGGCGTATGATCTTCCCCGTTTCAACGACATCCCGGTAGCTCGTATGAGCAAGCGTAGCAACGCTACCAATCATGATGGACCAAGCCAAGCTAAATTTGTCGCGCGGATCTGACATGGAGGGTGTTCCGAGGGCGATGAGGCGTTTAACGCTATGAAAGTGCATCAAGTCAATGATACGCTCGTATACTTTCGCGATAGGCGTATCTGAGTGCTGAAACGGGTTCTCCCCCAAAGTAGCATTGTGACCTAACGTAGATAGCACTGCGTCGACACCTTCCATTGCCTTGGAGAGTTTGTCGTACTCGTCCAGCTCTCCCTGTATAGTAATCACAGATTTGTTGGAAGTGATGTCGGTCGGTAATTTGGAGGGGTTACGAGCGTAAAGGATGAGGGTGCATGATTGGAAGGCGTCAAGTGTTTCGCGGACGAGCAAGATGCCTGAGGGACCTGTTGGGCCAAAGATAAGGATTCGCATATCAAGGGAAATGGAGAAGTTGACGAAGAAATTTAAGATATTCCGCCTGAAAAGTTTAGCGTCGAAACGGTGGCCGCCTTCACTGGAGTCCACACCTTGTTCGGAAACAAGATCGCCCGATCAACCGATCGGCGCTTATTAGTGTTCTTTCTCCGCTTCTCCACTGTGTATCTCTCTGAACTTTCAATGAATTTGAGAAATGATTTCTATCTATTGTACCACTACCTGTGGCTTATTTCAATGCATAAGAAGTATGTGAAGTATATGATTCCAAAGAGGCGACAGTGCTTCACTACAGATATGGAATTCTGTGGGTACAATGTGGGTCCACCATTTTGACATCGAATTTCACGTTTACAACAAAAGAAAAACCTGTTGCCTGCCAGATAATTGCGATCTTCGGGGGGATCTCATCAATCAGGATCCACATCGTCCTGAGACTTACAACGGACCGCAAACCAACCGTCCCCCCCTCGGTGAAAAAAGCGTATCAACACGCAAAGGTCATTGAATAGTCACATGATAGCACGAGTCGACGGTAACACTGATTAGTACGGCTGCCAGTTGAAAGCCAACATAAACTATGAGGGGTAACTAAGCTACACTTAAATCAGAGATCGAAAGAAAACAAGAGAAATGTACCCATGTCCTTAAAGTTACGATGATATTGCAACATTTTTCTTCATCCACTGTGGCTCCAAGAGCTCCTTGACGGTGAAAGAAGCGAATGCCATCCTATCATGGAAGACGCCGGCCTGACCAATGGAACCCGCAAATGCATCCATCTTTTCTCCGTCTCGCAAATTAGGGACCCTGACTATGGTCCAATCTAATTCGTCCTGAGCGCGAACGAGATTGCCGAACGCAACGATGTCTTCGTACGCGGTCCGAGCAATGATCTTCACCAAGCAGACGATGAGGAAGAAGAGATTCATGGAGAACTTCTTGTTGGGATCAGAAATGGAAGCCGCTTTATTTTGAGCTCGTGCATAACCTGGAAAATGGTGGTGTATCCAACGGGTCAACCATGTCTGCAGGGTGACTCCGGGCGGAACCCGGCGCTGATAGGAAGGCGTCAGAGCCCTCCATGGCCTACTTTTCGGCGTCATTAAGCTGTCCTTGAATAACTTTGACTGATGAATTGGAGTACAAGTCTGGAGGCAGGTTCGATGGGTTGCGAGCGTAGACCACGACGAAGGGAGATGGCGGGAGCACCTGACGAATGAGAAGAATGCCTGAGGGGCAGAATGAGGAGGCGCATAGTTGTGGTAAAAGTCTGGGTCAATGAAATCTGTTAATGACTTGTGAGTTCGGGGGCCAAACGGTCGATTTGTACAAGATACTTGTCATTGCTGATAAACTACATAGGCGACGATTTCCAGTCACCAGCGTCGCGCCCTATCTGCTCCATGACTTTTATCTCGGTTGTAACAGGACCATCGCCACTCAAATCCAGCGGCACCATCTCGCGCTCGTACATTCTTCCAAAATGACTGACCAGTCCAGGAATCTCATCTTCCACCCTGATTTCCTTGTTCGTTGCTGACTCTATGCTGCCGGCCTTGACACCATCCAGTCCACAGGCAACGACCTGATCGAACCACGGTTCAGGCTCCCGGGTGATATTGATGGCAAAGCCGTGAGTTGTAAGACGATGTCGGACTTGGACGCCGATGCTGGCAATTTTTGTGTGGGCGTCGAGGAACACGCCGGTATGGTGTGAGGGGATGGGATCAAGACCGTGGGCCTCCCTGAGATGGATCTCGAGTGTCTTCTGCATGCGACAGATGTAATCTCGAATCCCCATCGCGGGGGAGGTTCGCCCTAGATCAAGCAGAGGATAACCTACTATTTGACCTGGCCCGTGGAACGTATACTCGCCTCCCCTTGCTGTCGACACAAAGTCGGCGCCCATGTTGGTAAGACGTCGGCGGTCGCCCTGGATACTGTCTGCATGTTGGCGACGACCAGCGGTGTACACTGGCCGATGCTGCAGGAGAAGGAGTAGGTCTGGATGATACGCATGGGACTTTGTGCTGTTCCGCGCGGCGAGCTGCAACACATGCAAGGTATCCTGTAGCACAAGGGTCGTGGAATAAGGTAGTGGCGAGTGAAAATAATGGTAGAAAATGGGAGGCAAATGCATAGTTGCGACCAAGTGCTGGCCGTGGCAGAAAAATCCAGGTCTTGTGACTCGTGGCAGTTCTGCCCGGTCCGTATTCCGACCCTCTTTCCAGATAGAATTATGGTACAAAAAGTATGTCTTGTGCAAGAATAGGTGAATTGTAGCCTGGTACCGCATTCCCCCCTCCCCCCGGGGCCACAGGGATACTCTCGGCGCCAAAGAAAAACGAAATTGTATGGTTGAATATTATAAACCATCTGGATTGCCCAGGTCTGATCGATGTCACATTGTTTTTATATTTTTAAACTATTTAAATGGTCCCCACTTGCTATGCATCTTAAATAACTGTCAGCTGCCTCTGCCGCCCTTGCCTTTCGTTTTCTTTGCAATGTCGCGCAGGTTCCAACTCGTACAACGCGGTACGCCCATTCTGCTTCCTCCTTTTCTTTCCCTTTTGACTCTCGATGCAGTCGATGCAATCGATGTTGGCCAGTCAGTGGATCTCTGGGATCAAACACGGTTTATGCTCATCCCTGCATACCAGTTACGATCGCGGCGACCTCTCGTTTATTATTGTTGCAGGTGCCATGGTCGCATTTATGGTCCCAGGACTAGGTTCGTTGTCCGTTCAAAACTTCTTCGTAAAGGCTCAACGTTCTCAAGCATTTCTATATTCTGGCTTGGCTCGTCGAAAAAGTGCCCGTACGTTCAATGTCGCATCCTTGGCCAATACGATTTACACCTTTGCTCAGTGTCTTTGATCTGGGTTGTCTCCGCGGCCAATGCCATCACTATTTTTCAGTGGTTCTTCTGGGGTTACTCGTTAGCCTTTTCGCCGACGGCTACCAATAGCTTTATTGGAAATCTCCACAATTTCGGCCTGCGAAAGGTCCTCGCCAATCCTTCCCCGGGATCACCTCTGATTCCCGACCTACTGTACAGTTTCTTTCAGATGGAATTCGCGTGTGTAACTGCTGGTATTCTTGTTGGAGGTGTTGCGGAGCGGGGGAGGGTGTTCCCCGTCATCATCTTCACTTTCATCTGGTTAACTCTTGTTTACTGTCCGTTGGCTTGCTGGGCATGGAGTTCCAGTGGCTGGGCATTCAAGTGGGGTGTCCTCGATTTCGCAGGTCAGTTGATTCTTAGCACGCTCCTGTGCGTATTCATTCCTTCGTTTTTACAGGTGGAGGACCGGTCGAAATCGGAAGCGGGGTCAGCGGACTCGCGTTTGCGTGGATCTTGGGCCGCCGTCAGGAAAAAGAACTCATCAACTTCCGACCACACAATGTATCGCTGGTCAACCTGGGAACTTTTATTCTATTTTTCGGCTGGCTTGGATTCAATGGCGGTAGTGCGTTCGGTGCCAATCTCCGTGCCATAATGGCCATATGGAACTCCATGCTTTCCGCCGCTTTTGGAGGATTAACCTGGTGCCTCATGGATTATCGCATCGAACGTCGTTGGAGTATGGTGGGTTTCTGCTCTGGTACGATTGCTGGACTCGTTGCCGCGACGCCATCGTCTGGCTATGTTCATCCTTGGGCTGCACTAATAGTTGGCGTGGTTTCCGCGTCTGTATGCAATCTTGCAACCAAAGGTCGATATCCCCGATTGGTTTTCACCGAGCCCACGTCTTAACAACCCTTTAGTAAAGTTCTTGCTGCGCATTGATGACGCGCTAGACCTTTTTGCTGAACATGCAGTCGGCGGAATGGTCGGCCTTATCCTTAATGCATTTTTCGGGGATTCGGAGATTATAGCTTTGGATGGCATCAACACCGTCACCAACGGTGGCTGGATGAATCGTAATTGGAAGCAGCTCTACATTCAATTCGCCTATGTCTGTGCTACCACGGCTTACAGCTTTGTTGTTACTGCGTTGATTGCAAAAGCAGTGGATATGATTCCAGGCCTCCAGCTGCGGAGCACTTCAGAGGGCGAAAGACTCGGCATGGACGAAGTCGAGGTGAATATCCATTTTCTGCTGCTGCTTGTATACTTACAGCGGAGATTAGATTGGCGAATTTGCTAGCGACTACATCGAGATTCGCCGTGACTATACTGATTTGATAGCTCCTTTCGACTCATCAAGTCCTACTGGACAAGCTCTGGCAGCTGGAGACAGATTTATGCGCCCTGACCTCGATACGCAGCGACAATCACAGGAAGTTGACATTCATTCTGTCCATTCACATGATATCGATATTGTGATGACTGAGCCGAAGGAAATGTCGGAGAAGAAGGATTCAGTGACCACAATCATTTGATATGATATTAAAAAGTATTGAAGTAAATAGATTGCATCATCCGCTCGTTCCAACCTGTTGTATAATTCATAACCGCACAACAGTTCCGGTGTTACTTTACAACCAATGTACACTGTACTAGAATACAGATCTTTAACAATCCCAACCCAAAACAAAGTCATCAGGATAGTGAGACGGGAAGTAGTATTCGCCTAGGGAGAGCTGTCTCTCTGATGATGCAGAGATTTTGGGTCCACATATACTTGAACTGAACTCTTCGTTCAGCATGAGGTCTACGACATTTCGAGAAGCAATTGTCTCGGTTTCCATCGTTGAAATAAACCTACTTGCCTGTTCAGATTAAGGAAGGACTTTGAATAATGTATGATACGCACGGTTCAAAGGCATTGACATAATAGAAACCGGCGTCTAGTTTTACGGGAGGGAAGGCCGTTGTAGGTGGCAAGACAGGGTAAGCGTCCCACTAGAACATGGTAGATAAGCAACCGCATGGATACCGCAAAAACGACCGACCTCCTTGCGGTGTATCCAGCCGACCTGACCACGGAACACCTTTTGCAGCCATTCATCCGACTTTCTGTCTTGGGAGAAGATTTTGACGACCCATTCATCGTCTGAAATTTTACCGTGATACGAAATGGAGTTAAATTCCGGTTCCTTGCCGCCATTCCGTGCACCCTCGTACGTGGTCAATAACATACTTGGGGGAGTAGCTGCGGGGAGTAAATTAAGGTACTCGGGATCGATCGAAGGCGACGTCGTCGAAAGTAGAGTAACGTGGAGATGAACGTAAGGTTGTTCAGGGACCTGAGCAGCTAGCGAAGGGGAAAGAGTAATTCCGGTCGAATGGAAAGGTGCAGCCAGAATCACGACTTTGTATGTCTTGCTTCCGTGATCGCTTTGTACAGTCCATGCCTGTGAGGCGGAGACATACGGCTTCCGAGTGATGGCCTTGACCTATCGTGGTTCGGATACGAAACGTTCTTAACAAGAAATGGCTTACAGTTGTATCAAGATAGACGGATGCGTTTGAAGCGTGTATGAACGACTCAAATATCTGATAGTTTCCGCCCTGGATGGAGGCCGCACCAGTGGCAGCCATGGAGCACGCACCTTCAAGAGCGTGAATCGCATCGACATTCTGCTCCGATGTGAACCTCAGAGAAATGGGTGGGTAGGACGGACGAACCTGTCCATAGTTCACTCTGGTCGATGCTTCTACTATTTCGCGGATATAATTCTTTCCAATGTGACGTGATTCCAAGAAATCTGCCGCATTCCGAGACACAAGTTCAGTCCAGCCGAGGGAGAAGGCCAAATCCGCTATGTTGTCCCACCGAGGTGACTCTGCAGTGTAGAATTTGAGAAACTGCTTCACCATTTGTTCAACACTTTATGAAAGAAAGAACGGTTTCATGCATGGTAAGGAAGAAGATGCTAATGGCTTACATGTTTTTGGTTCGCTTGGGAGACAATATGCCGTACCTCCATACCAGTTTGAGCGTATCCCACCAGCTTCCGCCAACCTGAATCACGTCGAAAAAGGAACGAAACGACCTCAACAAAAAACTCACAGAGACGAGCAGCTGTTTACCATCCCACACCCCCATACTTGCGTCGTCGTCCCCCAACTGCATCCTTGTAAGGTTGAATTCCTCGCTCGCTCTCCACAGGTTCCTGTTGGCGGCAACGAAGATGGATGCCCCAAGTTCAACGGGAGAATAACTGTTTGGGTCGTCATAGGGGTAGACCACGGTGCTGCCTAAGCACAAGATGAGATGCAGCAGCAGAGTGAAGCAGAGGTCGCAACGCACGGCCGCCGATGTAGGACGAGCTCTCGTACACATCAACTTCAAGATCAAGTCCGAAACGCTCCTTTGCCTTGGAGATCCAGAAGGCAGCAGAACTTCCACCAGCGCCAGCACCGATGATTGCTATCCTTGGAAGAGCGGTAGTGTCGTCGTCAAGTTTGTTTTTAAGGAACGGGACCTTGAATGGGATCTGGAAGGCGAGCACCACTGCTGGCGCAACGAGGAGACCTAGCAGCCGCATTCTTGAGACGATACCTTGGATATGCACGACGGCGAGATGGTCGTCAGAGACGAAGATGCGAAATAGATGATGCCCAGACTTCGAACAGGGAGATCAGGCCTGGGTCCGGGTAAGCAAGGGCCTAACCTTAACCTACACCATGTCATTCGCTGCTACCCTCTTTGCTGTCCCGCCGGAAATTATCCAGCATATTCTTGCTTTTTGTTACCCTTTAGAGGTCTCTGCATTCTCCAGAACATGTCGAGCAGCCTACTATGTTGTATATTCCCTCAGTGATCAGTATCTCTGGAGGGAGCTTATCATTCATCACTTCGACGACCCTCGCAAGTCCTTGCGATGCGCGACATCCTCAACGCCTCTTCGCTATGACTGGAAGGCGGAGCTGCAGCGACGCATGGTATCTGCGTCCATCGTATTGAATGCGCGTGATATCTCAGACGACCAGCTGAGATTTGCCCTAGAAACATTCATATCTATCATAGACGACGCTTCTCCCATACCACGAATCCAGGATATACAAGCGGTACCTTCATGCGGTCTGCTTTGGCTTACTCGTCTCCTTCATCGGTCCCAAATACTGTACCGACAGCCCCCGCAGCAGTTGCAACAGCTAGTCGCCAGGCTATCCGTTTATTTCCTCTTCTCAGATGTGGACGAAGATGAAGAGTGTGCGCTCATCACTTGGGGACAACGTACTGAAAGCAGATGTTTCACGTATGATCTCCGCAATTACAATATCGATAATAATTGGGGGCCGTATCTCGAAGATGGAAGTGTGAACTGGCTTCATATCCGACATCTCATGACCGTCATATGGGCCAACCTCGCTGATCTTCCTGAAAGATGGAAGATCGTGAGGCCTGCTGTTGGACTGGAGGCTACTCGGGCATTCTCCGCTCCAAACATATCTGGTCAGCGGGACTGGGCCGGAGTTGAGGGTGCGTGCTTTCTATATTACCCCTTCATCTCTGACAATGGCCGTTTCAGGTACTTGGAGGCGTTACGTCTGTTTCATGGACTACCGGTTTGTCATTCCATTTTGCTATGTATTTGGATCTTATGAAATACTGCCAGTGATTTGTTTTGTAAGTAACCCCCGTTTTCTGGTTCGTTGCAAAATACTTCATCCGTCACCTGCCTCATAGCTTTTAATGTATGTTTGCGAAGCACTGTTGAGATCCCTGTCGCTCAGTTTCCTCTAGTTCTCCAATGTGTTTCGTGGACCTAGAAATAAAGCGTACTTCACGGAAAATGTTCGCTTTCGAGAAGCAACTCGACTCATAGAAGTGAAGCTGAAGGTCGTTGCCCGTGATAAGCTGGAAGGTAGCAACACGGATGACGACTCTACAGCCCATAGCCCGCTGTATCCACCGTTGTACTTCAACGGAATTTCGCGTGGAGTGGACGGGAACAAATCTGTAATCGAAGGGATGGTCAAAATGGGCAATGACGGAATTGTCCGTTATAAATTTGTGAGCCCTCTGCTTATTTTCTTGTACACGATTCTTATCTATAGTGTGAAAAGGTTTCCATCCATGACGGCACGACGCAGTGGAGGTTGATGCGTCTGTTATTATCGTATCGTTTCTTGTCACTCACTCTCAGCGTAGTTCGGAAGGTGTTCAGGTTGGCAGTGTTGCGAGTGCCGCAGGTGTCGTCGGCGCTTGGACGACAACCGTTCATGACCAAGGTGCGTTCTGTTGCCTGTGGCTGAGTCGTCAGGAATGACGTTTCTTCAGGTGATCCCGTCGGTGAGACCATTAGTCCCAGTCTTTTCTCGTCGCCACTTATGCCGCCGGCCCTAGGCCCATTCTGGTTGTGGAAGGTCAGTGACGATTTTCCTACCGATGCTGTGGTGGATTATATTTGAACTCGGATGATACTCTTTTCCTCGCCGTTTGTTTTATAGTCACGACTTACCACATTTCTTGTGTATGATACTACATATATTTACACTTCTTAACTTTAGCTGCCTACTTCAAACCAGAGTGCGTCGGAAGAAAGTAGAAAGTCTTCCGTACACATCTTCAAATCTGACCAAAACCCATGAACACGGCTGACCTTAGTAATTGGCGACGAAATACGCTTACTCATTCTTATTTTCTTTATTTTTGAGATTGCTGCGAGCTGCGGCCCAACCGTGGAACCTGATAAGACCATCAGCTGAGTTCCCTGATGGAGGAAGGGGATTCTGAACACGAACATATTGTCGTAATTCTTGGCGTCATTTTTATCAGCGAATGATTTCTTGGATATTATATCGACAATTTTGCGGTACTGATGGGAAATAAGACACATATGAAGCTTTAACGTGGGCATGTACCTCGTCAACCGGCTCATCGTGAGATACATAAATCGCGAGAGGTACAGTCAACTTCTCAGCATCTTCGGTGGAGAGCATCCTACGGATAACAGTCAGATAAGACCTTAGGAAAATATCAGGAAGATTGATTACGCAGGATGGAGGAGAGATACTGCATGGAAGGGAGTAGCTTCTCCACCGGAAGCTATAGCTACCTTGCCACCTATCGTGAATGTAAACGCTATATACGAGACTGCATGAATGATACATACCCCAACACATCCCATAGACACCGACTCGTTTAGCACCCTTGTTCTTGAGCGCCTCACCAAATGCCTTGAGTTTGGCTATGGCGGCAGAAGGACTGGCGGTGCTTCCGAAGAACGCCTGAATCGCTGCTTTGTCCTCGTCGGTCTTTGGAGGATACTTGGAGATGTCAAAAGCGGAATTAGGCTCAAAGAAGTCAGGCATATAGACTATTGTGTTCAGAGCGGTAGCCAGGATGTCAGCACCCTGCTGGGTCTGGGGGAAGAATCTAACAATAATCAAAACAAAGTACCTGGATAATAGCATGATGGTCACCCAAAGATATCAAAGATAGCCACGATAGCATTCTCGCTGGTCAACGGGCCAGTGATATAGACATTCTGGAAGCCAGCATAAGGCTTGATAGCACCCTTGGGCTCGTATTCCGAGAGAACTGGAGGGATGGTACAGCATGCCTCGTTTGTGTTGTGGACCATGGTGGACATTCTTGCTCGACTGGAGTGATTGAGATGGACAAGGATAGATCGGAGACGAGACAACATATCGGAAACCGGCCCGGTAACTCCTGGATACTAATTTCGTAACTGAAATTTCCCACGGCAAACATTTTTCACCCAGCCATCGCTCTGCATGACTGCAGGGTAACTCTCCTTTCGATACATGGAGCCAGGGTATGGTTATGGTATATGGGCAGAAGAAACCATTTTATGGGCCCAATTAAGCCGGAGCGCATTCCAATTTCCCGTCCACCATCGGGAGTGGGATGCGCTTGACTATGCGGCCCAAACAGTTATACTTATAGCCTGTTGTGTAGACTGATTTATCTCAAATTTCCAAGTGGTGCTTGATATGATCCAAGATACTCGCATGGGGCTTCTTGGTTATGTACAGTCCGCAAGATCTAGCCATAACTTTGACTGGTTGATTGTTCATGTACTGTTTGCCAGCTTGGAGATTCTGCTATCCAACACAGATTTGGTTAGGATGTAACGATAAGCTGAGAAGTTGAAGTTCGTTTCACCGGTCTGTGACAGCTTATAGTCGCTTTCTGGCTTCAACTGGCGCACGGTCTGATATCTGGTACTGACTGGGAGACGCGTAATCATCCAATCGAGGCTACGCCAGTCTGATACTATATCTTTCTGACGAACTGGAACTACCAAGCATTCCATGCGATGTTATATGATGGTTGGTGTTAGTCGGTAAATGTTGTCATATATTCGATATAAGTACATGTACGTATCTTCCTTGCAGTACAGTAACGCGCCGTTAGACCGTAGCAATAATCATAAATGTGAAATACAGATGCGAGCGTTTCAATGACGTCTCCGGTGCAGCATGACAGCGGGTATGATGAACATAATAGCCGCCATATACTCCATAATGAGGCCCATTACCAGAAACAGTACCCAGTCCCCGGTAATGGGATTGAATTTGGCCAATGTGGGATTTGAAGATAGCTGGTCCCCGAAAACATCAGAAGCAGACCAAGCAGTTAAAATCTCGTAGGCGACTCGAACACCCATTAACAGAAGTGCGAAAGTGACCCCGGTAAGGAGCTGGTCGCAAGGTGTTAGCACGAGAAGAAAACAGATGATGAAAAACTTGCCCGTCTGCGATAACTCCTCATAAAGTATCGATGCGACCAGGAAACCATCGCAATGAAGACGAGGAAGAGGTAGAGCGCCCCATAAACGCCGGCCTCGACGCGTCTGACGATCATACCAGCGTTCGCGTCTGGATTGACATGTGTACCCAAAAGTCCTCCAGCAATGGCTAGTGCTAAAGCTATCAACGCGATAAATCCAGCGAATCTGAAAAGACGGGTCACTCGAGGTTCTTCACTGTATGTATGCTGGCCTCTGATCAACCAGGTTGGTATTAATGAACATGTAGAGAAGCTTGGAATACGATGACGCACGCTAGGCCCAAGAAACCAATTGTAGCGAGCATGAGGATAGAAAGACCAGCGTGGAACAGGAGATAGGCTGCAATGAACAAGTCGACATTGGGACTGGAGTCTACAGTGAGCTCTCCGGCAACAATGAGGGCTCCTCCTGCGATACGCACTTGAAAATATGCCAACTCAGAGTGGTGAACATCTCCCGAAGACAGAATACTCACTGAGAGTAAATGTCAGTAGAAAAAGCCAACCAGCATCGCGTCGAAAGAGATATCGAATAAAATAAAAAAAGGATACGGCAGCGAGGGGGACATAAAATGCAAGCTGTGCTGCAGCAATCTGACCTCGGGTGTTGAGTGAAGCCATTATTACTTCCAAGGAAGGAGCCTTTTCTCAACTGCAGTGCCGGCTGATTGCCAACGACCCGCCAAGTCCAACATTTGATGATCAGATCATGATCTAGAACCACGTGCGGGTGCTCCCTCAGATAAGATAAGATTTTTTTTTTCCTCTTCAATCACCAACATGCAACTACCCCGTCGCGTCCCTTGGACTTCGATCGCAGAACTGGACCAGATTTGCACTTGGATATACGAAGATGAGAACGATCTGGGCCCGAAAATACTTGCTGTCAACAAGGTATATTCGTCAGCCTGCGAAGATTTACTTAGTTTGAAATCTTGACTTCAGCTGACAGCATGGAAAGCGGTCACTGCTTTGCCTCATGCGATGGAATCTACTCTTGCATTCTTGGTTGTTGTCTTGGATGATTCTGTGCCAAGTAAAGCGGCTTTCTCGTTGTCTCTGCGGCAAAATTATGCGGCAGCAATCATTCGCCTCGTCAATGGTTTGGTGGATCCTTTACAACTCGGAGTCTACGCGAGATCTATAGCGTCAATATCCCATCAACTAGGTCTGCCATTATGGCTTGTTGAACTTCGGCATGCTTCTACACATGAAGATCTACCTTCTCTTGAATTACTGAGAGAGGGCGCTCGACAGGTACACATTACACCTCCTTCTCTTATCTGACCCATTAAACGTTTTAATTAGTCCATGACATGGCTCTTGCAAAACTATTGGTTACCCACAATAAATCCCTATATTGCACCCGTACCGCAGACCACCCTACGCTCCATAGTCCCGACTTTGAAGGAGTATAAAGCTTTACTCAAAGAGACCATACGTGACGAATCATTGAGGAGTCGCCACAAACTTGCTATCGCAAATGCCATTAAAGATGTTGAGAGATGGATCGCCGAAGCCAAGGTAGCACTAAATGTTTCCACTGGTGATTTAGGGTGGGAGAATGTGACGGCTGTTGACCAAGATGCTAAAGAGCGATATGTGCTGGAGAGGCTATCCGATGAGCTGTTGGCAAAGGGCATCCTGGTTCCACTATCAAAAAAGTTGGTGTTTTTTGGCACAAATTATGCTCAAACTGACATGTTGGGTAGGAAGCGCACATTTCCTTCAGACTCGTTTCTTCCACCTGAATTTTCAGTCCAGTTGTGGAAACCTCTTCTATTGCATTTGCAGACGACGCATCCCAATTTTGCAAGTGTCCTTGTCCATCGGATTTTGTCCTGTCTCTTGTCCGAATCGGATAGCGCTTCCGCTGGCTCGACAAACTCTTCATTTGACGCGTGCCTTGCTCGTTGGGCAAAGTGGGCAATTGATACCTGGGACAGCGATGATTCTGACATGGAGGTGAGTATAAGGAAAGAAGCGGCCGTGTCATTGATTACAGTGCTCGGACCTGGACTATCTTTCGCCAGAAAGAATGCGTAAAGTTTTCTTCCAGTATCTAAGCGTGATCATGTACTGACCAAAATCAAGACCTTCTGAACTTTTGCAAGTTCTCTGTGATAACGAAGATTTGGAGGCCGCAGTCAAATGGCTCCACTCCGATAACACTTCATCTTCGTCTGTGAGTCCCTAGTTTACTTGAAGCACGAGTGTACTTGCTAAATCAGAATGTAGCTTTGGAAGGATGACGATATACTTGTTATGACCCACCGACTAGAGACCCTCCTTGGCGCCATTCGCGAAGATACACGAAACCCTGCACTGACGTCTGATTCGGAGTCAGTCAACAATCTTGATTCCGCCGCTCTAGGATGGCGGTTATTGGATGAACGCTACGGCTGGAAACCGTGTCCGATTGGAGTGCACCAAGAAGCTTTGCTTTGACCTTTTACATTTGATATCCAAAGGTATCATTATCGTCAGGGTGTAGAACTGCATAGTTCATGTCGTAATACTTCTCCGAACCAGAGAATCTATTTGTTAAATCGGCGCGACATTAGAGAAAAATAAACAAACGTGATTGATACACGACATTGAAACAAACGGTTAAGGCCAAGTTGGTCATACCCACATCTTGACAATCCCGGTAAAAAACAGCGGAAACAAAATAACTATGGCGAAACCTGTGCTCGGGGCAGCTTCGCTGCCACCACTGCCGCTTGGCCCTTCACTTCGCACATCATCTTACAAGGAAGTTCCTGGTCCTCCTCGTTATTTCCTCGGAACGTTTCCCCCACCCTACGCCCCCCCTCAACTTCCTCCGCGTATGATAGACTATCACAGGTGCTCTTCCGCCGTCACAATGTACTTACTACATACACCTGACCAAACTGAACATGGGAGTCCCCGCTTCCAGCCTGCGATGGTGCTAGGGATTCATGAACAACAAAAGGTACAGCATGGTTATTCACAAATTCATCCATAGAAGTTGGCGATGTAGCCTCACGTAAGCACACGTCTTCGAGAGGCATAGAGAATGGTTTCACTTAATAGCTGCTTCCATCTTGGCCAATTGGCAGTATAGGCGGTGTCTGGTTGTAAAGAAATGGAGCTGTCACAGTGGGGCTATGTCTTATGCAATGAATCTTATCATATTTCCGACATGGATGTTGATGTAAGCAGGCAAGCAATATTCTGCAACATGTATGAAAATCTACCTTGTGTAAATATCAACATAAGTAGATAGACAGTGGTACATGATGAGATACGTTATAGATAATACAGTGTCCTTCATGACAGGTCCGTGGTATCAGCAGAAATAAGAGATCAAGGTGATTACTGAATAGAAGATAAAAAAGCTGCAGCGAATTAGTGATTTCAAAGTGCATTTGACTGTGAAGAGGACAAACCACTGATATGTAGATTCTGCTTGTAGTCGTCGAATTCCTTCTGCAGGCTCGCAAGTTCTTGCTGAGCGTCTAACCTTGTCTTTCTCTCCTCCTCGGCCCCTCGCTGAGCATCGCGCTTTGCCTGTTCAGCAATTATCAATGGCTCTTCCTTCTTCTACAATCTAAGAATCAGTATATGCAAGAGATCATGATGAATCACAAAAAGCACACCTCTTTCATGGCTTTGACTTCATTCAACCACTTTTCCCATCGTGCATGGTATGGCTGGATCAACGATTTACAGGCCATAGCTCCAGACATAAAGATATTCGAGGCATCGCCACCGACTATCCTTATGCTCCCATGCTTTCCCATATGTTTGTTGTCCTTCTCTGGTCTCTTTGTATATTTCCCCACCTGCATCTCAACGATGATGTTGAAGATTGTTTTTGCAAACCAGTAGCACTGGTAAGTGAGAGGCGAGTATTCGTTGGCAGCTTCGCTAGTGACTGTGGCAATCACCGCAACCTCATCAGCCAGGAAGGTGGAATCAGGATGGAATGTTAGAGTGGAGAGGACATTGGCATCCCAGGCGGGGGTGACTGGCATGGTGTAAACAGAAAAGATGTCGAGAGCCAGACCACAGGGCAAAGAGGGGGAAATTCAAGAGCTGGCATGAGCGACAGATTTAGAGGAAAGGAGATGGCTCTCCTTCAGGGGAGGTTCAAGTGAGGGTATCATCGAGGCATCGGACTTCGGAGACTCTGGTGAAGGCTGATTGGGATTGTCGTCGATGAAGTGCTCTACCCAGATAACAGTGTCCCTGCCAGGAATATTATGGCAGTCCTTAACGTAGAAGAGGAGATACTTATGGTTCAGGGCCCATGTGGACTTCATGAACTCTATCTTCTTAACGACCGCCTCTCCCGCTCCATCTGGACAGTGCAGAGCCACGAAGTTGAGATACGACCGAGCGGTCCACAGTTTTCTGTCTTGACGAGAGGTAAAATTGGGATCAAAGATATAACTGTTGTGAGAAGGGATAGTAGCAAAATCGTGCGGATGGTAGTGTGTCATGACAAAGTAGAAGAGATATTTCAACGTTCTCCAGCTTTTCGAGAGCATGGCGCTTGAAATATATGAATGGATCGAAATTGTAAGCCACACTCCTAACGAGGATCAACTCGGAGCATGCCAAACACGTGACCACACTGCTGTTTCCGATCGGCGATGCATCGGCCCTTCAGCGACATTTTGGGTACCTTCAACAGCTGCCGCAACTAGCCCTGACAAGACATTAACTTGACGTCGGATGATTCCAAACTGCTTCGGTACTTTGCTTAGGGAGGCCCTGACTGCATCATCCATGGGGCCTTTTCCAGTCCATAATGCTGTGTGCTCTATGTCCCACTCTATACTGTCACTGCATTACAGGAATACTACCGCGAAAAGGTCGTTCGTTGAGGGATGCTCTCTGCTGGGACAACGATCATATCTCCATGGCGCCTCGTGTATATCGAGTCTTATTGCCATGTTTGAAGGCTACTTAGGCAGTCCTAGTCCATCCACGGAAGCGGTTGTCCTCCTTTTCGGTCGTGTCGCACGCCATCTTGATCGCGCTGATCCACGCATCCCTAAAATTGTTGACAGACTTATCGAGGCACTCAAAACTCCGGCCGAACAAGTGCAGATAGCTGTTTCGGATTGCCTTTCACCTCTCGTCACCGTTTTTGGTTGACAGTCTCACCGAGGATTTGGTGAATGCTTCGAAATACGCAGCCCGTCGTGGTGCAGCATATGGTTCGACAGGTGTCATCAAGGGTACAGGGATTGCAGCAGCAGTGAAGGAGTTCAATGTGATCAATCATTTGCGGGCAGCTACAGAGGACAAGAAGAGATATGAGCCTCGCCAGGGTACGATGTTCGCCTTCGAAATGCTGTCCAGTTCATTGGGGTGGCTTTTTGAACTTTCGTCGGCAATGGTACGTCATGTCGACGTATATCCTCTAAAACCTTCCTGACAATAACCAGGTGGTTCCTATTCTCAAACGAGGTCTACGCGAGCATGGTGCGTCTACCAAGAAGAAAGCGGCACAGATCGTAGATAACCTGGCGTCGTTGACAGACTCGCGAGACTTCATCCCATATCTGTCCGAATTACTACTGATGGTGCATATTGTACTTGTAGACCCGTACCGGAAGCGAGAGCTACAGCTGCCAAAACGTTGGGAACGTTAGTAGAACAGCTGGGTGAGAGCCACTTGCCCGACCTCGTACCTGGACTTCTGCGGACTCTGAAAATGGATACATCTGGTGTGGGCCGACAAGGCGCCGCTCAAGGACTGAGTGAAGTTTTGTCCGGTCTCGGAATGGAGCGTCTCGAAGGATTACTTCCGGATATCATCGCGAACGCGCAACCTCCTAGAGCTACCATTCGAGAAGGCTTCATGTCGTTATTGGTGTACCGACCAGCCACTTTCGGAATGCGCTTCCAGCCTCATCTACCGAAGATCATTACTCCGATACTGAGCGGTCTGTCTGATGTAGATGATTTAGAGGTATACTCATTGCTCTTATGTAGTCCGAGAGATACTTCCCGAACTGATCAGTCAAACAATTGTTCTTATATCTAGTGATGGGTTTGAGCAACAAGAGGTATGTGGGTCTCTTTGTCTGCCGCAAGTTCGGTGAAAAGATCGTTCGCGCGAAATCATGGCTATTCTCAAAGTCAAGGGAAGGGAAGGCGTCTGCTTGAGTGAAATCATGTGAGTCACCCTCGATCCGAGAGGTAGACTGATTTTATTCGTTGTCCAGGGAAAATTCCATCGACGCTCAACGAGAAGACCACGAAGATGACATCGTATCCATGGTTCGCGTGTCCTTGGTCGACGACCAGGCTAACATTCGATCCGCGGCGGCTAAAGCGTGGCACCGCATTGCAGGCGCTTAAGGAGGTCATGAATGTCAGCAGTCTCCATTTCTCATTGTACGACAATCTAACATTTAATTACAGGTACGAGCGGCGACTGTGTTCCCGGTGATGAAGAGCTTTTATCTTCAGCGGATGAGGCGACTCGTGCATTGTTCAGGTCAATCAATGACAATGAAGGGTTGAACACTCATGATGGTGCTCTTGGGATGGTCGGTGTATCATCGGTATGTGTTAGTTCTAACGTTGTTACTTCAGGTCGAAGCACGATACCCCCAGACGGCGAAAGGGCGCATACAAGTTCTTCTCCATCTCCTGCGAAGAGACTAAACTGGATACTTCGCTATATCAGACAGCTTATCTCTACCATGGCAGACCATTACGAGGATGTTTACGGAAGACACTGCGATCAAACCATTTGTGCTATCTTTCATCGGCCCGCTGATTCGAGTGGCGACACAAGCAGTACGCCTAAACCTGTGGATGAGCGTTCTAGTATACAGTTGGGGTTTTCAAATAAAGGTCCTTCTTGTTTATTATTCAAATGTCAGATGCCTCTCGCATGTTTGAAGGAGCCGCGGCACTCACAACATAAAAATTGTCGTGGGATGCAATTAGAGACGATACCACTTCTTCAACTGATTTATGAAGTAGAAAACTTCCTTCTCCTCCCTCTCGTCCAGCACAGGAACCATTTGACTACCAATCGAGGTCTTGATAATCTCAGTTTCTAGGAGATACTGAAGGACGTCATAGACTTCTTGTCTATCATATACCCCTCGAAGTCGCCAGCGAAGTTCAGCCTAGACAGGCCAAAGTTAGAAATGTTCCCTTCAATATCATCACCGCCTACCTGGGAAATTCCTGGTCGGAAGACTATAACTCCTATAGCGGCTCTCAGAGCTGCTTCCCAAACCTCCACAAGCTTGGTGCCAGAAACGTCGATCCATCGTCGCGGGAAAATGTTCAAAAGGATCGCAGATGGTAACGTCACTGTCCACGTCTTGATGTGCGCTGCAGATACCAAGTATGCACAAGAGTAGCCGACCCAGTACAGCAACGGTAATGGACGTTCTACTAGTCGCTGGATAACCGGTAACAATGCATTCATACTAGTATTGGTACGTTCCTGAAATACCGGAATCGATGTCAGTGATGTGTATCCGTAATGGCGACAGACACTTACTGCTAGAGCAATCTTTGAAGACCCTTGACTCCCAGCTTGACCGACGATACTAAGGACCGAATGTGCTATGGCCATTTCCTTTGCACTGAAGGTCGGGCCGACACTAGCCCACTGCTCATCCAAACACCCAGTGCAATCAACTACGCCATTATCGGTCACTCTTCGACAGCACGCAGCTGATCCATCCACTGCTTGTCCGTGAACTGCATTGGAGGTGTGCAGCTCGTTACTGACCAAACAATCAATGTCCATGGACTGGATGACCGGCGTCGCCTGTGAGCTTGACGACTGCAACGACATATCGCGGAATTGAACATGAAGTGATGTTTCGATTTGATCATCATCTAGGAAGTCAACCTTTAACGACGAGCCGTTCGATTGTCTTGAAGAAACCTTATCTTACCCGCTTTCTTACTATTCCAGTCAAGCATTGGTCGTGCGGCTTGAGCATTAGTCGTATCTACTTTGAAATCGACCTAATCATCACAACATGTAACTGCTGAGCAAAGAATTGAGTATGATGTCCCACCTTATTGTCGGACACATGCTGGATTAGAGCTGCCGAGTCTCCGTCTGTCGCAGTTAAAGGCCACTCTCTCCATGTATCACTTTCTCCAGCCGTGAGATCTTCTTCGAGCCCTGCAGCATCCTGGAATAGATCACTACTGATAGATCCCCCCAAAGCTGCTAGATTCCTGTATCAGGTTAGCACGGAAACAATCATTCAGAATGAAATAATAGCTTACGCGTCAGAAATCTTCAGCTGTCTTCCGGGTTTTTGTCTATGATGATCTCGGACGAGCTTAGACAGGATGCCACGACTGACAAGACCTTTCGTGGCAGATGTGACTATATGTTCTTCTGCAGCACTTCGCAGAAGAGTCGACGCCCCTTCCGCATTGTAGTTTTCAAGAGGAGTACCAAGTGCCATCTTGAATACATTTAACAACGATCAAAGCAGTCACGACTATATTCTTACCTTCAGTGCAGATTCTGCTATCGCAAGCACGTCTTCGACTGGCGTTTCACTCAAATCGCTAAGTGAATCAAGGAACGCCAATGAGGTTAAGCGCTTTTCCCGACCCTCCTCAACAACACCATTCCACATGAAGTCCCACACTGGGCCAGTTGTTGCGGCTTCAATGACTTCGAAGCTGTATAAAAGATCATCCACGGTATCGGGTATGATCAACTCTGCATTTGAATTTCCTTGCGGTTGGGCATAACCGACTCGCCTATCACTAACATTAGTGACTGGTCTCAATGGTAGCAAATGATGTGCTCACAGAGCATTCTTGTCAATATGACTCCGCAGGAACTCGAGGTGATGAATCAGGTTGAAGTTTGTCACACTATTGAGATCGTCATCCGGCAGGATGGTTGTGCCTCGATGCTTCATCCAGAGATCATACCACCGGTCTTCGAGACGAGTAAGATATGCCTCATTGCCAGGCGATTCTCGGATGTGTGCGGTAGAGAACGTGGGAGTCCCCGCTTCCAGCCTGCGATGGTGCTAGGGATTTATGAACAACAAAGGGTACGGCGTGGTTATTCACAAATTCATCCATAGAAGTTGGCGATGTAGCCCCACGTAAGCGCACGTCTTCGAGAGGCATAGATAATGGTTTCACTTAATAGCTGCTTCCATCTTGGCCAATTGGCAGTATAGGCGGTGTCTGGTTGTAAAGAAATGGAGCTGTCACGGTGGGGCTAGGTCTTGTCCAATGAATCTTATCATATTTCCGACATGCATGATGCATCGTTGATGTAAGCAGGCAAGCGATATTCTGCAACACGTACGTATCCGAATACAAAATAAGCACAATACACGAAAATCTACCTTGTGTAAATATCGACATAAGTAGATAGACAGTGGTACATAATGAGATACATTATAGATAATACATGGTGTCCTTCATGACAGGTCCCGAAACGCCATTATTCCACAATCTCTGTGCCTCTTCCATAACAAGGTTTTCCGCATCGACATGATTTAGGTTGACGTTGGTGATGCCCTGGAGTAATTTATGGATGTAGCATCTTCCTCGCTCGCAAGCCATATCTGCATAATAGGCCGGAGACGCTAGACTGACTGCCTTCGTAGCGCGGGAATACAGATAACTGATATGGTTCGTTAGCGTCTGAAGCTCGTCCGCTTTAAATCCAATATCATCATAAACAACATAATAATGCGTTGGCCTCGTTGTCCCGTGAAGGCCAGCATGGGCTATGACGAAAAAAGTCAGCGAGCACTCTTTCAAATAGAATTGACTGTCTACCCTGCAAGAAAAAGTCAAAGTTGTACACTGCAGTCACACCACGGTCCACAACAGTTCCCGGTTTCGGATTACCATTACTGTCGGCGCCAGCTGCATCTGTAGGGTAGAAGCGCGTGTGATGTCGCTTCCCACAAACGACGATAGACAGCTTAGGAGAGTACTTCTGTTGGGGTGTGTCGAACTTCCGGAAAGCGGCCCGAATCGCAGGCATCTCTTCTTCAACGACAGTCATGAGTTGACCCTGACGAAAAGGTCAATCACATGATAAAAAAGATGAGCGTCTAAAAGTCGAGTGACATGCCTCAGATACCCCATCTCGATATACCAATACACGCTCAGGAAGTCTCCTGTTCCTAGAGCGAAACAGAGTTAACCGTTCAAACATCATCACCGCAAGATTTGTAACCATCTTAGAACCAAGCATAAGCCCAGGGTAATGATCGAGTTGTAAGAAAAAGGCTACCTCTTTCTTGGATTCTTGCAGCTGCATGCTAGCGGGAAACTGCGCAAAGTAGGAATCGACACTGGCGACAACCGCTGCAATGGAAGGTGTTCCTCTGACGCTGCCAGGGCCAGGATGGGTCACATCGATACCGACCAACATTGTTTGAGCAGCATGAAGCCACTTCATACCTTCCTTGTCCAAGGCGTGACTGTGAAAAGTCATAAGCTAACCAATAGTAGTTTATGATTGCAATACCCTACTTTGCGCCACCCGTTTTGATGTTAACCTTCAACGCGACATTTGCAAAATATTGCATTTGACCTATTGGAACATTGAGTTGTGTTGCCGAAAAAAAGGAAAACACGCTAACCTCTATCCTTCCGTATCTTCCCGGCGTGCACGCACACAGTAGGAACATCCAGATAAGCGTCGCAGAGATGCTTTAGTCCAGCATAAACATGCTTGTCACTGCTTGAGAGAATCACCAGGACGAAATTTGGCTTCTGGGGATGGCTGCGCAACGTAGCTCTTATCTTGTCTATCGCTTGAGATCTTATGGGATCGGCACGCTCCTTGACGGGGAGAGCGGCGGATAAACATGCCATCGGGGGCTCAACAGACATACCACTATTCTTGCACATATTTGTGAACCCATTGACTGTCTGTTTGAGCTCCGGGTCGTCCGGCCCGGAGAACTCTTCTCGGTGGTTCCCGTCAGCGATGAGTAGAACGAGCCAACGAGCAAGCTTTCCGCCCTTCAAGAATTTAACATTCCTCAAGTTCCAGCTGGCTTTATTGGCATCAACGTCTGGATGTCCGATGCTGTAAGTGATACCTGGGGTCGGGAGGATCCGCCCCGGGACAACGGTCATATCTGGTCCAATGCTGATACCAAATGCACCTAAAGGTGCTGCACCCTGACGGAATCCGAGTTCATTCAGACCCGCGTTCATGATCGCCGTCGCATTGATATTCGGTGGCTTGGCAGCAGCCTTGATCATCGCCGCCGTATTTTCATCGCTGAGCTTGCCTTTGAAAGGTTGGTTGGGCAAAATTTCACAGACTTCGGGTGGAAGCAGATTTGCTTTTTGACCGCCGACATCTATGAGTGGAAGCTGTGGATATCGGATTTTGTAACGATACTCTGAAGAAAGATAGAAAGAAACCGGACTCCTTAGCAAAGGTAAGCGGCCGGCACATAGTCACGCACTCTTTAGAAAGTACTGTTCGACGTTGACCTTTCCGCCCAATTCTTCACAGTCAAAAGTATGCTGTTTGGGTAACAGATTTGAAACACTCTTGACTGTCTTCTTGTAACCAAGATGCGTTGTCTTCACTCGGACGCCTTTGACAAATGCAGTATATCTAGCGCCGAAGCTAGCGTTGTTGAATGTCACCATGGCTTCCGCAAGGTTTCCCGGAACTTATGAGTAAATTATGAAATTTGGTGGCACCAATGCAGGGTGGAACTATGGCTTACCATAGAATGCAGTTGTACAAACTGAAAGGGACTATCAGTATAGAAACGCCTTCTGACGGAAGACACTAACCGTTGACATTGACCATCAATTGATTGTGGCTAGGACGCACAGAAGAATAGAATCCCCTCCACGCTTGAAGACCCCCGCCAAGAGGTACCGGGGGGGCAGCTGCTGTTGCGAAGAAAAACCTGTTTCTACCAACGAGGACACCTCCACCTTGCGATGTTCGGTTAGGATGTGCAGCTAAGACTATATTAAGGGCAGAGATGATGGGAAGTATGTCGTAGCCACGATATTGTGGCTGTCCGGCCAAATAGCTTTGAACCCATCAGGTCAGGAAGGTATTGTCATTTTTGTTAATCGACTCACTTTATCAAGTGAGAAGGATCAATATTCTGTATGAATGTTATTGCTAAAGTGTACTCTTTGCCATTGGAGCCAGGACGGGTCTCGTCCTCGTCGTAAAAGGGAACTCGAATCTCTATCGGCTGGGGAAGTTTCTTCGATGCAATGAGTTTGGACGCATGATCATGAGCAACAGTTCCTTGTAGCCCATATCTAGACCAGTCTGTCGATTGCTCTGCGAGTTGGAAAATTCGCCGTTTGACCCGGCGGTTTGCAGATCCAGCAGTCGGTGAGATTGCGACGTCATATTCGTACAAAAGGGTCTTTGGAACTTTGACAGGGAAGAAATTGGCACGCAACTTGACTTGCTTCCCTTCCTTCCCAAAGCCAGGTCGGAGTGGTAAATCATTTGCGTTTATTTTGAGAGAACGGAAGGAATCGACGAGAGCCTGATCGGACCCGTCCGTCAAACGAGGGTCAATGTTAGCCGGGCCAGGAGAAAATACGCTATATGCCAATGAGAAGAAAAAGACTGTATACTGGCGGTGTGACTCACCCTCCTCCCTGGTCTCGCTGACCAGCCCCAGTCCCAGCATAGCCACCACGCCCCCCGCCCCCGCGTCCTCCAGGCGGTCCTCCGCGACCACGACCTCGCTCTCCACCTCTGTAGTTCATCGTTCAACCAGGGGAAAGGGAATTGGTTTGGAAAGTAGTGATGATGACGGTCAAGTTGAGAAGGTTGGCGCCGGTTCCGAATCATGACTGTTGTCCCCAAAAGAAGATGCATGACAAGCGTGCCACGCGGATAGCGTCATACAAATAACATCACTGTCCTGCGGATACCCTGCTCTCTCTCTCTCGCACCTCCACCTCCTTCCCTGCTCCTTCATTGTTTCCTCTCCAATACATGAAGCTCAACAGGTCGGTTTTTAAATCCCGTAGATCGCGTCTCTTTAACCGTCTTGGCAGTCCCGTACCACAATCGCTGCCTAAAGAATGCGCCAAGGCTGCCAGCATATGTTCGTTTGTCTTCAGCCTGCGAAAGCACTGCTACCATTCACACTTTACAGTCAAATCTTTTGTGGACAGTGGGAATGATGGGCTTGATGGTGTCATTCCTCGCCGTGTCCTTGAGAACGCCAAAGGCTTTGCCATCTTCACCATCTTCAAAGCCGGCTTTCTTTTCAGCGCACGAGCAGGCAGCGGGATTGTCATTGCAAGACTGGATGACGGAAGTATGCACGATGACACCTTGGCTATATTATCGCCTATCTCAGCGCCTTTACAGCCTGGTCGTGTCCCAGTGCCATAGGCACCGCTGGCGTCGGTTTTGGCGGTCAAGCAGGAGCTGAGATGACCGACTTTCTCATTGTTTTGAATTCGCGATCGGTAAATAATATAACCTTCCTTGTTACTACCATTGTTTGATTACTAATGTGCGTTTCAAGGCACTTGTGAGTACAGCTCGTGTGTCTTGAACCGCGCAGAATATTTTGATCGTCTATAGAAATCGTTTATGGCAGCAGGATCATTAACTCTTGGTGGAAATATGAGGTTTGCCATAGATTCTTTCTCAGGTTCTTCTCGAGGTTTACAAACTCCTTTGAATACAGTCTAGCTGTCGGTCCTCTGGGAAGGAATGGTGAAGCCGGTAAGATCTTTGCCATAATCTTGAATCTACTTATTCAAGCAATCGATAAATTCAGTTGGTTCTTTGAACACAAGCGGAAAAGTTGCGGCCATGTATAGTTATTCCAAAACGCGAGGCCTATTTGGGGGCCTCTCCGTTGAAGGTGAGAAATCTCGCAAATCAGTGACTCTCCTAATTGAGTGGTTGCAAGGCTCCATAATCGTCGAACGGCAAGATGCCAACGTGCAAGCATACAATAATCCTAATGTTACCGCCAAGCTTTTGCTCAGTGGTGCCATATCCCAACCTCCATGGATAGCTCCCTTGATTCAGACCTTGGAAGCATGTACGGGTCTTCCAGGCAACAGACAATGGATCGAAGACAGTGTACAATCATCTGCTTATGCCTTCGGTGGAGTCGGCAGTACAGGAACGCAAACCCCGTCTTATCTGAAGAAAAAGAAAACGGATAAGCCTATTTTTCCTCCTGAATCTTGGGGTCAGGAGACGACCTCTGGGTCCTATTTTACCGAGTCTGATCCTCCAAGTAACCGATACAACTCAAGCAACTTTGCTTCAACACCAAATAGTACTCGGCAAAGGGGCGGCGATACATCGATGACTACTAGTTTTCCCACCCACTTCGATTCGGATTTCATGCCGGAGGACTCAAAGAGGCCGACTCACCGAATTAGTCAGTCACTGCCATACGCCACCAAAGCACAGGCCACGAACGATTGGTTCGACTCTCTGGATGAACCCAAGTACTCTGGATTGCCTGGTGGCATGTACCATGCTAGATCCATGAGTTTAGCTTCACCAACAAACTCTAAGCCATCTAGAACGTCGTATGACTCGTCAGCGTCCATCATCATATCACCTAAACCTGAGCTGAGCAAACCCTTGTTGGAAGGAGTCGCTCGCGCTATTGCTCTGTATAATTTTAATGCAGTTGAGGTGAGCCCGCACTGACGTCCTGACCAGGTATCTTATATCATTTGCCCTTTTTTAGCCTGGGGATCTATCATTTAACAAAGGCGATGTAATTGTCATCCTGCATAAGAGCAATAGTTCAGATGATTGGTATGTTTGCTGTTCGCTTCCATTTTAATCTTCTAATATTCCAACAGGTGGACAGGAAAGATAGGTGATCGGAAGGGTATATTCCCCGCCAACTTCGTCGAAGTTGTTTAATATACTATGGAATGATTTAATGCATGACATATATCCAATCCTCTGTATCTACGCTATAAGATAAATAAACGTTAATAGAGCTGTATCGTATAGCTTCGGCAACAAGACAAAGAATGAACAGACAATGCATTTATTGTGAATTATTAATAATCCATCACATCCAAAGGCTCGTCAATCTCGTGAGTACGTTGTTCCTGATGCCATTCTATTACGCGAGGGTGCGCAAGGACCCTCAAAGCAAATAACGTCAGAATTTTGAGCATGCAAGAATCTTGAGACTCACTTGGAGGGGTCGAAGTTAAGGACCTGTAGATGTTCCATTGTTGTCGCTCTCGACAGGGCTACGTACGCTGCGTGCACGGTCACTGGTGGATAAGATCTATCGGTGCCCATACAACGTACCTTGACCCTTCTCAAAAATGCGCTTGAGGTCAACTCTGACACGTTCAATGGTCTGACCCTGCGATTTGTGCACGCTAAGAGCCCAGGCTAGGATTAACGGTACCTGGCGTCAAGAATTAATCGACAGTGAAATTATTTTCGCAAGGTTGGCCTCCTCACTTGGTCTCTCTTTGCTTCGACGTCTCCGTTAGAGTTCTCCACGGTAAACTCCTGAGGGATGCACAATATTCGCCTTCCATTAGTGAAACGTACAACAGGCCATACTTGCTCTGCGGGGAACTTCTCGAGATGGGCAGCCCGTTGTCCATCTGTCTCGTCCTTACGCTCTACCTCTCCAATTTCGGTATCTTCGGAACCGAGTGCTTGATGTTGTGTTTCAAAGTCTACAACGCTTCCGACAGAACCGTTGACTAGGTGTCCTTGTTCAAGATTCTAGATTCATTAATTCAAAGTCGACTTAAACCATCATAAGACTGCGCCCACCTTGATCAGCATAACTTGGGCGCCAACCTGTATGAAAATGATAGACGATGAACCGTTTATGAAGGGTTGACGAATCTACCTTCAATTGTATCTGTTTCGGTGCGACGAGACGTTCCAGAAGTCGATCCATTTGCTGCAACGAGACGACTTTTCCTTCGACATCGACACCTGGGCGGTCCCGCGATTGGTAGGTGTGTGAGAAGCCCTTGAGATTATTCAAACGAGCAGAGTTCGCTCCATCCACCTCGCCTCGCAGAGCAAACCTAGAAATGAAAAATCAAGCGAAACGCAGGAAAGGATAAGACCAAAATAATTACAGCTCCGTCGGCTCTATACCGTCGTTGTAGGTGATACGTCGAGTAAGGGTGCGGAAAATTTCTGTAGTAGCTTTACTGAGCTCCCCAAAGCGCATGTCATTGAGGATATCCACAAAGGCTAAGGATATTAGCAGTGGGACATCAGATTTTTTACAGAAAAGCCGGACCTTGGTCTTTTTGTCGAAACACGCGAGTCAGAGTTACTGGAGGCCCGACGCAACGTTTCCAGCTCTCTGAATCGAAAGCAAAAGTCACCGGCATTATTTTTCCGTCCCTACGATCCGGAACTGGCGGTAACTGGCAGAAATCTCCAGAAAGGACGAGCTACAAAAATGAATATTAAAATCACAACCCCGAATTGCCAGTATAGGGCCACACCTGAATGCCACCAAAAGATATATCCATGGCATTACGAACGCGACGGCCAATGTATTCCTAATTACAGGTCAGACGTCGGCGCGAGAGCTGAGAACATCACCGACAAGTTTATCAAATAGTTTGCCATCAAGCATAGAAACTAGATATCATGAATTGTCTATTCAGTGATAGAAAATTTGCTTACTTTCGTCAATAATGAGGGTGTCAACAGTGCGCCAGCGTTTTAAGGTAGTCTCAAAGATCTTTTGATATATAAATTTGTCAGCATATTTCTTTGCTCCATCTTGACCAAGCCCAATACCGGCCCAGGAATGCAGTGTCGTGCCGCCTATGTTGACAGATGCAATTCCCGTACTGGCAGTTATAGCTGTTACATGCCCGGGTTTCTCACGGAGGGCCTTGATGATCTCACGAAGGAGAACAGACTTTCCGGTGCCTAGTTAGGTCGCGCTTCATCTCCCTGTGCGTAAAAACATCATGGAAAAACTCACCTGCGGAACCTGTGAAGAATACACTCCGGCCTTCTTTGACTAGGTTCATCACATGCTGTTGCTCCGGTGATAGACAAATGGTCGAAGGCCCTTCATTCGGTTCAGGAGGACCTTTGGACATTTTGCTGGAGAACGGCCCGCCTAGGAGCTGAATCTCGAGATCCGAATCATCGTCAAAATCTAGTTCAATATGGAGGCGCTTTCGTTTAGATGCAGGTTTCTTCGCAGAAGATGGCTTAGGCTTCTCCACGATTTGAACGTCAGAATCGGAGTCAGAGTCGATGTATATGATTTCAGGTTCAGTCAGCCGTGTTTTGGAACCTGCCTGCGACGACGATGCTCTGAGAAAAGGCGCTGCTTTGACTTCAATAAGCCAGAATTGTTGCAACAAAATTGAAACACACCAATGTATTCCTCGGCCAATGTCCTGGTAGCAAAGCCTTTTTGCTTCGCTTTTGGGTACCTGCTCACCTGTAGTGGCACACTTGTCTTCTAATAAAGAATGTGATGTCGATCCACTTACATTTTTCTCGCACTGAAAATGTTCCAGTAAAACAGGTCACGACATAATAGAAAGATACCCTCACCTCGTCCCAGGACGTATAGATCTTTGGCCCTTCCCTACCAACCCTAACAGCCCAGAACTTGGTTTTCGCGACCATCGTTATCCAAATTGAAGGACGTTGTCCCCGAAAGTGATGCAAGAAAATAAAGGAACACTGCAGGAGAATTACGACGAAAGGGTGACAAGAACAAGTGCGAATGCTAACAAGTCAGATTGGGTTCAAGTTGAAATGTGATGTTGCTCGACCACGTGATGAACGTACGCGGCTGAATCGCGCGTTCAATATTATATAGTATAATTTAACTGGCCGCATATACTCGCACAACTGATAACTATGAACAAACACGCGTATCAACGTCAACCCTCAGTGTAGCATGGCTTCTCAACGCAACTGACGCTCATTCTATAGCAGGACCTTTGTGATACGGGAACTAAGAATTATACGGTTACAAATTTGTTACATATATATATGAATGAACAGGTCAGTTATCAAAGCATTACTGTCCACACAAGGAACATCGAAAGAAGACCCAGCCCAATTGAATATATCTGAACAAAAAATAAAAACGACACCATCATGTCGCTGGCGCATCCTCACTCAATACCGGGTCGTTTCGTGGGTTTCCTGCACTGCGTACTGATTTCACGGATTTGGGGTGTCCAGGGGAGGAGGGCGAGGATCCAAGCTCCTCTGTTGATTCGTCTGTTTCGTAGACGGTCGAGGTGATGGACGGTGAAGATGGGACGACGACATTTGTTTCTTCTGCATAAGTGATGCTGTCTGGCCGCTGAGGCATGGGAGGAGTATCTAGCCGATCCTTAGTTGGCGACGCCTGCCCTGCTCGGAGAGATGGATGGATGCTACTGGTTGGACGAGGAGGTAGTGCGGGCGTGAAATCTGCTGTCGGTGAGAGAGACGATGGCGGTGCAAATTTAGTAGTTTTGGACCCATATGAATATTGAGGCGTGGGCTCTCCTAGTGGGGTCGGAGGCAAAGGAGGGGAATGATGTGCACCCTGCTCATCGAACAGAACGCCGGCATTCGTAATCAAATCCTCCATCAGGGAATCCTGGGAAGAATAGTGAGGACCTACACCTGAAGCCGTATGAGATGGTATGATCTCACCTTCCACGATTGAACGGTCAACAAATCGGCGCCTCTGGGGATCTCGTCTTCGCCGAAAATTACGCTCCCAAAAACTATGGCCACGTTTTTGGCATCCATCTTGTTCTTATCGCTCATTGCTACAATTCGGGCTAGATGTTCCACAATTGCTTTGAGAGTTGCTTGATGTACTGCAGGCAAACGACGCATTTTCGACCTAAGCAGCACGAAATTATTGGACTGATGTTCGGCTTTTGATGGAGATCAAGACACAAGCCATCAACTGAAGATAATAACAGACCTAATTCTTCTGAATGGTGAATGCGATCTTGAAGGGAAAATCGAAACACCGGCTCCGGAAGCTCACGTAGATATAGCTATAGGTACGGGATTCAGGCTGGTATAATCGCTCTTACTCTTGACCATACTGACCTTGAGAAGGGATGCAACGGCGTAGATATCGTGATGCGGTTTGAATTCGAAGGCCGATTCATCCTTTTCAATATCTCGCTGCAGCTGACAGAAGCATCAGACGGTTAGTGTTTCACGCTTGTGACTCAACGCACCGATTGGACGACAGCATGCCGACCAGAAACCTGAGAAGATATCAATCAACATCCAAAGCGATATCTGAACACTTACTCGATAGATACCTTCAGCTTCCGACCCTCTAGAATCAATTTCTGCAACACACATCTTGACTATCTTGGGAATATCTCCATCCGGCAAAAATTTCGAAGTCGCATAATCAACCAAGCTGAAGCCAAAAATCAAATCCTTGCATTCTCCAACGAGGCCATGCTGATATAAGATGGGTTCGGGTATTGCCGAGGCTAACGAACGCGGAATATAAGCCTTCACCCGCGCAACATCCTTCTCCGGCGAGATCCTGTCTACAGCTGAACGTGCATGGGCAGACAGTTGTGTTTGAGTGGTAGTTGTGGCCCTGTAAGATAGTCAGCTTGCATGCATAGCAGAAAAAGAGTTGACCAACATCATATTATCGGTGTACTTTTCAAGAGCCTTCTTCACTGCAGCTGACGACTCTTCGACAAACATTGACAGGCTCTGTGAATACATGAAGGTTGAAAAACCACGCCTGACTACAGCCAACGCACTTTATATCCACTTTCCAGTGTTTTTGTACGACGTAGTCGAAGTGTCTCTAACCAATGGACACCCTTTCGATACTCCTTGTCTGTATCACATAGTCAGATGGCAGCCTTTACTTTTCGTAACGAACAAACCGGCGTCTTCTAACTCCTTCTTTGTTCGAACGACACGAAGCGCGTGGTTTTCTTTACCGCCTAGTGAGTCCTTGACGGTGCCACTCTTGTCTAGAAAGCCAATCAAGGTATTCAACTGTCGTTTACCTAGAAGGCGTCAAAAAAATCAAAAGAGAGAAAAGAGACACCAGTATACCTTGATGCGCCAAATCTGAAAAGGCAGTGCCAGAAGACGGCGAACGATTGCGTCCAGGTGCACTACCAGATGGCCGACGGTCGATGGCTCTCAGAGGTTGAGGGGAAGTGACTGTCGGACGCGCTGTTCCCAAATGATTGGGTTTTGCCAGTGTAGTGGAGTGATGTGGATCAGAAGGCAGGGCCTGGGGTGAGGTTGGCGGCGACGACGCCGCTTTCTTAGACTCCTGAAAGGGGTGTTACGGAGTCGGCCATCATTAAAGCAAATGAGCGCACCTCGACTTCCGCAAATTTCTTGATATATTTCATCTTAAATTTGGGCAACGTCACTTCAACATATTCATTATAGGCTGATCCGGAATTCTTGAGATCTTCCTTGATCCGCTTCCTTGTCCGTTCTTGCGTTTCCTGAGTAATGCGAATAATGAGAATGTAATTGGGGATAGAACAGACTTACTTTGACTGCGGTCAAGGGATTAAGAACATCGACGGTCAAGGTGGACAGAAAGGCCTGCCGAGCTTGGGCCTCTGAAAAAGGAGCTTGGCATAAAATGGGCAATCGCGCATGGTAAGACTACGCACCCCTTTCAACGTTATCCCTTATTTCAGCCCAGGCGGTCCTCGAGTTACTGAGATCCGTCCGGTCATCCAGGAAGGAGTCAATACTTTTTATTTTCCGATGAAGCTTCAGGAGAGAATCAACGCTACAGCAGGCGAACCGTGAGCAAACGTCGCGACGGCCTCGGCGAATAAGCTCACTAAGACTCCTCAATACGTTTTCTGTGGCGAGAGCAATCGGAAAAATAGCACGCGAAGAGATAGGACAGACGTACCGTTCATGGAAAAAGCTAAGATATGAATCCGTCAAAAAGCGAAGGTGGGCATCGAAAAGGGGGATAGGACCATGAGCAGGCAGATGGGTATCCGATGCTGAGGGCCACGACGAAGGTAAGGAAGAATCCGTAGGATAGACTGCAGTCATGGATGCGGTCCTAGTGCAACATTAATGAGGACCTCTGCCACTGCCGCTAAGTAAATCACGTGCCACGCGTGTCCGTCGTAAAGGCGGATTCCAAGGGTAGGGAGCGTTTTCGCAGGCCTCTGCGTGACTCTCGAGGTTGTCACAATCTCTGTCGACACAGAGATACAGAGCTCCGCTCGTCCATGAAGAGGGATTGCCGGTGCCGTCTCTGTCTCAGTGCCGAGTCTCGGCTGATGCTGATTCATGAGAGACATCGGCGCCAGGTGTCTCTTCTTCATTCCTACTTTCATCCCGCATCCCTAAGTGAGATGAGCTCCGCTTTCTCACTGTCAATCTTTCCTGACCACCAATCCCAGGCTTCGAGGCTTCGCCTCCTCCTTCACCTGTCAGTAACTCCTGTTGCCTGGTGAGGCTCCGCCTCTTCATTTATCTCACAATTGGCTCACTCGAGTAGTCTTGGCTTCGCCAGACTTAACCAATCCTCATTCAGTATTACTGGACCATTATTGTACAAGTCGTCAAGTTTTTTGTCCCCCATCCACCTCTCCCTTGTATTACTAGATAGCCAGCCATTCACATGTTGCAATTGATTTGAGGACAGTCTCTGAGGCTCTCGTTATAGCCGGTTTCTCCTCGAGCGAGCAGCAGAGGACGTTGCCCTCTGCTAGGATTATGTAATTATTGATGCAGAGTCAGTACTAATATAAATATATAAATATAATGGACATTGGTCATGATGTTTATCTACATCACCTCTGTCTTTTAACAGTTCCTCTGACTCACCTTTTGCTTCCGAACTCCTGCATACCGTTTCCTGTTATCAGCCATGTCTGGCATTTTCGTGGAAATCGTTATTTCGGCTTCTCAGGTAACCCCAGACAAGCCAGATTTTTGGTCATTGGTGTTGAACGGTCAAAGTCCTGTGGCGTAAGTTTCAAAATTTATATTCTTTCTCTTCCCAACTGACGGTGTAAGACGGTGTTACAGTATTTACACCGACAATTTAATAGTACCTGTCTGCATCGCCACGGCGTCTGCTGCCATTCTCATATTTCATGCTCTACTCAGCTGGAGGCCGGTGAGACAGTTCATTTTGCGACTGTGGAACAGCAAGACATCGAGTCCTGAAAATAATGAGCAACTCCAACTAACAAATCAATCTCATGGCATCCTTGCCCAAGTCAGAGAACATGTCGCTTTTCATGGAGGGCCCTCCATCTTTTTTTACATGGTCTTCAGGCTTCTCGGCTCCTTAGCTCTGTTTGGGCTTTCGACTGTGGCTCTGGTGCCGGGTGAACGGGGCGGGACCCATGAAAAGAAAGAACACTCCCTTGCCTTCACGAACAAGGAATGGTTGCAAGTCTCTTCATGCTTGACATTCGTTTGTACAGTTATCTTCCACATTCCGCATATATTCTCACATGATCGTTGTGCAGCTATACACATCCCTCCTCGGTCTCATTGCTATAACGGCAAAACCAAGATGGAGTAGACTTGTCACCAGGCATTTCAATGCTGTGCTTCTGTCAGCCTTCGGAATCTACTTCTATCGCGATCTCTTTCCATTATTGACGTACACTTTGCCAATGCAAGATACAGAAAACTGTATCCTGTGGGCAAAGATCGTTCTTCTTGGCATCGTCGCTGTCTTGGTACCTTTAATTATCCCCCGTGCTTATATTCCTGTCGGTCCCGAGGTATTCCATTATGGCGTGTTTTATTCTCAAGTAATGCCAGTATTGATTCCTAGTACCAGAATCCAATGCCGCTACCAAGCCCAGAACAGACGGCCCCTCTGATATCTATGATGCTCCATAGCTACCTTGACCCTTTGGTGATGAAGGCCTATCGTATTCCCCACCTGCCATTTGATCAGCTTCCGCCCCTTGCGGATTACGACACCTCTCAAGTACTGAAAGCTCGAAGTTTCCCAGTTTGTACCGTTTCCCTTGTCCAATGTTTGCGAGTTTTTATATCATAGCATACAGCATCTGGATGTTTTCTCGGGAGCTAAAAAGCGACACATCTTTTTCGGTTTGATGCGTGTGTTCCGATGGGATTATACAGTTTTGGCTATCATGATTTTGGTGCACGTTTGCGGTACATTTGCCGGCCCCATTGGTATCAACAGATTACTTTAGTAGGTTACTGTTCACTATGTGTGCGTCCACTAACTTACGTATCTTACAGCTACATTGAACATCGAGATGACGGAGAGGCTTTTGTCAGACCTATTGTCTGGATATTATGGCTATTCTTTGGGCCTGTGGTTGCTTCAATCGCCATTCAGTGGTATATCTTTATTGCAGTAAGCTGAGGCCCGAAGTTTTGCTACACATCGATTTAACATCCTTTCAGACGAGGATTATGGTACGGGCCGAAGCCATTATGACTCAGCTGGTATTCGAGCATTCACTTCGTGTCCGTGTGAAAGCTTCGACGACGAATAGTTCCGGGCAAAGCACTGCTCCCACTCCTGATAACGCATCTTTCGTAGATGATGCACCGTCTACAGAGTCGATCGGGAGCAACACCTTACATGGAACCTCTGATGCAGTCTCTACCGACTCCAGGGATAAAAATGTCGACGCTAGTACTGAAAATGCCTCTTCGTCGAATAAAATAACGCAGGAGTCCCCATCAGGGCAAACTCCAGCAGCTTCTCAGTCAGATACAAGCAACCTGGTGGGCAAGATCAATAACTTGGTTACGACAGACCTGGGAAACATTATAGACGCGAGGGATTTTCTTCTTATTGGCGTCTATGTACCTGTGCAAATCACGCTTTGCATCTGCTTCCTTTACATAGTCTTAGGCTGGAGGCATGAATCTCTCCTTTACCTATGTATCGTGTTAATAGAGCCTTTTACAGTGCGTTTGTTGGTCTGGCATTTATCATAGTCATGCTCCCAATTCCTGGCTTCGTGGCTAAGTTCACTCAAACCGTCCAAGAGCAACGTCTGAAGAAAACGGATGGGAGAGTGCAAACGGTCACCGAAAGTAATCTCATCACTGCGTATTGGTGTCTCTCTCTCTCAACGTTTCCATTAGCCATGAACGTGCTTCGCATGATCAAGCTCTTCGGATGGGAGAAGAAGATGAATGACAAGATCGCTGAGCAGCGAGACGAAGAGCTGGTTTGGATCAAAAAGCGTAAGATATTGGATCTGCTTAACGGGACCATAAAGTAATCTTCTTGCCATTTATCTAAAAAAAATTTCTCTGATAGTGTTTTCTTCTAAGCTTCGTGATACCGATTATTACAATGGTTCTCACGTTCTCTTTTTAGTGAGTGGGACTTGGTCTTGACATGATGCTCATCTAACTAGTACGCAGCGTTCGTACTTTCTTCGTTTAGCTGTTTATTAGCCAGAAACTCACATAACGCAGACCATTGTTATGAAACAGCAGCTGAGCGCTTCCAAAGTTTTCTCCAGCATGTCGGTTTTTGACATGTTGAGAGATCAGCTTCACATGGTCTTCAATTCTATCACAGACACTATCACCGGTAAAGTTTCGCTTGATCGTATGACAGATTTCCTTCGGAATGTGCGTCATATGACCACTGACAAGGTCCGCTGTCATTGACCCCTTCGCAGACGGAACTTCTCGATTCTTACACGGAGAAAGACATTGCCATAGATCTGCGTGCTACAGGCAATCATGAGGTGGATGCGTCGCAGATTGGCTTCCGGAATGCGTCATTTGTCTGGTCTAGCGATGCCGATGGATCTTTCACTTCATCGAAGAGGAAGTTCCTACTCAAGATCGACAATGATCTGATATTCCAACGTGGTCATATAAATCTGGTTGTCGGACCTACGGGTTCTGGAAAGACGTCATTGCTTATGGCTTTATTAGGTTCGTGGTTAACAATCGGTAGCTTCATCTTCTTGATTCTTTTCTAGGCGAGATGCACTTCATTCCAGCTGGATCTGACGCATGGTTTAACCTTCCTCGAGATGGAGGCGTTGCATACGCCGCACAGGAATCATGGGTTCAAAATGAGACCATTAAAGTGCGTGATCTCAAGTGTTTGTCTCTTCATGCTAAGCGTTCTTGCTGAAGGCCAACATTCTCTTTGGATCACCTTATGATGAAGCAAGATACAAGAAAGTTATTTATCAGTGTGGGCTTGAACGAGATATTTCCCTGTTCGAAGCAGGCGATCTAGCCGAGGTGGGGGAGAAAGGTTTGACCCTCAGTGGGGGCCAAAAAGCCAGAGTCACACTTGCGCGCGCTATTTACTCCCGAGCGCAAATCATATTGTTGGACGATGTTCTGGCGGCTCTCGAGTAAGGTTGTTGTGGATAATGAGCAGAATGGTTACTAATCATCACCATAGCGTCCACACCGCCAAATGGATAGTAGACAAGTGCTTCACGGGCGATTTAACGAAGGGCCGAACAGTCATTCTAGTGGTAAGCGAACGCTTCATTCATCAATGCTCATCATTCATCGACTATTCATCAGACGCACAATGTTGCCATGGCCCGCCCGATAGCCAATTTTGTTGTTTCCATCAAGAATGGCAGAGTTGCAAGTCAAGGCTCTATCAGTGATGCGTTGGCGCACGATGCATTGCTGACAGACGAAACCGATCAATTTCAGAAAGCAATGGATAAAGTAGAAGAAGAAATAGATTCTCAGCCTCCCCCTGGCGCAAAGAAGTCTGACGGCAAGTTAATAGTGGCTGAAGAGATTGAAGAGGGACATATTGGTGTACCTGCACGTACGTTATTTTCATCATCACATCTCCACATTGAACTAAGTTAAATGTGTACTACGGTAGTTATATTCTTTTTTTCCTCTCTTGGAGGCAGTCATGTCTGGCTTTTCTTCGCGTCTTTCATCGGTGGACTTGCCATCACAGAAATATTAAATGCCGCGCAGACTTGGTGGTTGGGACACTGGGCCTCACAGTACGACGATCGAGAAACGTATCAAATCCCTGTCTTTTTGTGGGTGTTTCGAATTCTAGGTAGCCTTGTTTCACAACTGATATCCAATTTTTAGCTATATAAGTATCTACAGTGAGTGGGGTTGTCGTCAGCAAGAGGAGTAATAGTGCTCATTGAACTGTTTAGGCTCTTTCACTCTCTTTGCAGCATTGGTTTATGCTGCCACATTTATGTTATTTGTCGTTGCGACTCTGCGATCGTCTAGAACAATTCACAGGCAGCTCATCCAGTCAGTTCTAGGAACAACTTTAAGGTGCCCCCTATTCCTGCATCTAATTGCTGTTGCTCAAATCGAGTACTTAGGTGGCTCGACACTACTCCTACTTCGCGAGTTATCGCTAGGTGTACTCAAGATATCAGAGCACGTAGGTCTTTTCTCTCTGTCTTTTCCGTGCATAACTGTATATCCAGTTGACGGGCCGATCACGATGTGGTTCATGTATGTGGTGGAGATCTCTGTGACCATGCTCGTCAAATTTGTGGCTGTTGTCGTTGTGACTCCGCTTTTCTTATTCCCGTCAGTAATTGTTGCTCTTGCTGGAGCTTGGTGCGGTCAGATGTACATAAAGGCGCAGCTATCAGTCAAGCGCGAGATGTCGAACGCGAAGTCGCCGGTTCTTTCGCAGTATGTATACATGAAGATTACCTACTCGTGTGTTTCTTGTACTGACGGCATGAGCAGTTTCGGTGCAGCAATAGCTGGATTAAGTAAGTATTTGAAGATCTTCTGTCAAAATGGAATTAAGCTTACTTGAATTCAGCATCTATACGAGCATATGGCGTTCAGGAAGCTTTCGCACAGGAGTCTTTGTCTCGAATCAATCGTTATACGCGTACTGCACGAACATTTTACAATCTCAATCGCTGGGTGTGCATTCGGATTGACACCCTCGGAGGTCTCTTTGCAGCCACCCTCGCGGTATACTTAGTGTACTTCCAGGACCGCACAGCTTCAACCACTGGCTTCTCTTTGAACATGGCCAGTAAGTTCCTTTCATCCTCTGGCATGATATAGTATAAATCATGTCTGTCATTCAGTTGGCTTCAGCGGTTTAATACTTTGGTGGGTGAGGACACTGAACGAGTTCGAAGTCCAAGGTACGCTCTTAAACAGCTAACATGTCAGTACGAGCGTCTCTAATAAGGTTACAGGGAACAGGTCAATATTTCTCCCGTTGCATCCTACGTAGTTCCTGACACTTCTTGGTCATTAGCTTGGAGCGAATTCAAGGTTATGTTACTATAGAGCAAGAGCCTAAGCCCACTGCAGGGGGTGCACCTCCCGCTTACTGGCCAACCTCTGGAAAACTCGTTGTTGAAGATTTGACAGCCAGGTACTCGCCAGACGGTCCTGCAGTACTACATAACATTTCCTTCACCATTAATTCTGGCGAAAGAATTGGTGTTGGTAAGAAACCCTGTTCTTCCTGCTCTGCTGAAGTTCACTGACCCTCCGCTCAGTTGGCAGGACAGGAAGCGGGAAGAGTTCCTTGACCTTATCGCTTCTTAGGTGCATATATACTGACGGGAACATCTATTATGATGGGCTACCTACTTCATCAGTCAATCTTGATGCACTGCGTTCGAGCATAACCATCATTCCGCAAATGGTTAGTGCACTTTTCATCGTAACATCTAGTTAACTGAGAGCATATAGCCCGAACTTCTAAGTGGATCCCTAAGACAAAATCTGGATCCTTTTGATCAATACGACGACGCGACATTGAACGATGCCCTGGGAGCATCGGGTCTGTTCTCGCTACAGGATGTCGACCAAGAAGGTTTTCTAAATCTTGATAGCACCATTTCAAGTGGTGGTAGTAATCTCTCCGTCGGTCAACGCCAAATCATCGCTCTCGCGCGGGCGATCGTCCGGGATAGCAAACTATTGATTCTTGATGAAGGTCAGGCAATAATGTCTTGTATCCATGGGCCATCATCCTTACCTATCCTCTACAGCAACCTCTGCCATAGATTACAAAACAGACACAGTGATTCAGTCTTCCCTTAGGAATGAATTGAAAGGCGATGTCACGTTAATCACAGTCGCCCATCGACTTCAAACGATTATGGATGCTGACAGGATTGTACGTATTAGAGCAACTGCATAAACTTGGCTTGATTGGCTTTATCTTTTGCAGCTGGTCCTCGACGCTGGTAACATTGTAAGCCTTCTGTGTCCGACATTCGCTGCCCTGTTCAACATTCTAATATTCTGAAGGTCGAATACGACAGTCCCTCCGCGCTGTTGAAGAAAGAGAATGGGCATCTACGAGCGATGGTAGATGAGTCAAACGACAGGGATACACTGTATGCCATGGCAGAAGGCAAGAAAATTACGCTCTGAATGCCGTTTGATACCATCCATCTATACTTAATTGTATACCTAGTGGTATAAAGAGTTGAGAATAGAGTGAATATAGATAGACAATGCAGTACACGAGCATCATACAATGCCAAGTCATGCATGAAACAGCCGGGAGTGATCAACCAAGCTTCAAGTATTTCGAACGAGATTTTTATCTTCTGTAAACTTCGACGGCTTCACGACTACGAGGAGGATATTCCCTACGAGGAGGTGGGCCAGGAGGTGTAGCCGGATAGTTGCCGTCAGGTCCAGGAGCATACTCATAGGCACCAGAAGAACGGCCAGCAGGACTTTCAGAACGCCGCCTGTAAAACATTAGGAAAAAGCGAGGACAATAAGAAGGTATCCATACCTGAATCTGGCCTCAGGTGTTGCACCTCGAGGATAATCAGCAAAACGAGGCGGTGTCATTGGACGACCGCGGTAATCCGGATAGTCACTGGAAGATATTGGAACCAGAGTGACAGGATAGAGTATAAAATAACTCACCGAGGCATCCGATCGAAGTCTTCTCGATACCTGGGAGGCGTTCTAGGACGTCCACTTGGAGGAGGATACGTATACCGCTCTGCCTTTTTGTCATAGCGATCATAAGCATAGGCAGGCGGAGGAATAGGTCCACGGTAGGCAGCCTCGGGAGGATAGCGACCCCTGTCAAGATAGCGGTCGCGCTCAATCATTGGGGGAGGACGTCTGTAGTCGTCATATCGACTAGGTGGAGGTGGATATTCACGATAGTCCCGAACAGGAGATGGGGGCCGCCGAAAGTCACGCGGAGGAGGGGGGTAGTCATAGCGCGTGTCGCGGGGAACAGGCGCAGCATGGTCGCGTTGGATACGTTCAATCAAGGGGGGGTCGTTGGGGCGACGGGGAGGACTACAACAATATTAGGGTGAAGACGCAGGCTGCGAACAAACACTTACGGCCCTGCAATCGGACATTCCCTTGGTTTACAATACATCAGATGCAAACGGTCACGACGGAATGAATGGAAAGTTCACCTTGCCCAATGGCCCATTTGCCCACACCTAAAACAAGCTCCTGGGTCACTTGAGTACTTAGCCGTCCTGCCGCCGCCATGAGACAGCTCGACACGAATCTTGTTGCCCATGAAATAGCCCTCATTGTACTTTGCGACGCTTTCTTCGGCTGCCTCGCGGCTGTCAAATTCCTACAATGATTGAGTGGGAGGCGTGCCATACTCGGGGAAATGTCATACCACAAAACCATAGCCAATTCTACAGTGAAGGGCCGTCAGATAAGAACGTGATGAGCGATATAAACGCGCACTTGAGCTCAATGTTAACTATGTTACCGATTTTCCCGAAACATCCCTGCAAATCCTCTTGACGCGTGTTCTCGGGAAGACCTCCGATATAGACTTTGTTCGGCTACACAGCAGAAAGTAAACACCCAGTAGAGATATAGTGGAGGAAAAGTGCAGAGGGGGAACGTTGTCAAGCCCCGAGAAGAATAAGCCAAGAGCCTGCAATGAGAGTCAAGTAAAGCCAACTCAAGGTCACCCATTGAGCAAAGGAGAGACGCCAGGCTGCCAAACCAAACAGGGGGCCTTTTTCTTCTCATATCTTCCTTCTTTTTGGACTCTAACAAAGACGCACTGAAGCAATAGACAGGAAAGACCTAAGCACCTTCACTTGCTTTTCGCGGAACATAGGATCGCCCTTTATGCTAGAACCGGAGACGACGGGGTCTGCGCTGGAACCCCGCTTGTAGTCTGCAGCCTCCGGTCCCTGGCCAGGGTGATGATCATTGGGGAGAAGAGATCCACCGTTAGGTTCATCGCCAACTCTGGGAGGTACCATGGCCTTGTCGTCGGCAACACGCCAGTTTGCCTGAGCTTCGTCCACGACAGGAGATGCCATGATGATGGTAAGAGACAAGAAATTTTTACCGTTCCGAGACGAGATAGGAGACTTGCGGCAGCGGAGTTTGAAACAATAGGTCCGTGCGCGCAAACAAAACATTGTCTGTCGGGATCCTTTCTCACGGTCCGAATGAATTACTATCGTAAAAAATATTTGGTATAGAGTCCGTTGTAGAATGCACTACGGTATCAAGTCCAGAAGTGTTCCGAATACCCTTTACTTTTACTTCAAAGAATGGTCCAAATGCCGCTGATAACCCCAACAGCAACGAGGCCTAAGATACCAAACACAACGTTGCGGTCGGCAACAAGGTCGACCGCACCGTTCTTGCCACTACCACTGGAGCCTGAAGATCCGGAAGTAACGGAGGAAGAACCTCCATTGCTGCCGGCAAGAGTAGCAGGAGAAGAAGGAACAAAGGTGGCAGAGGGGTTAGACACACAGGAGGTTGCTGCGCTTGTTGCCACCGCGCTCGATGCACCGCTGTTGACGGTACCATTTCCAGAAAAGCTGCATGCCTGCACATTTCTGTTGTTGCGCTCGTAATATTCACTCATGACGTATGAAAGCTTAATTGCTGCAAAACACAGAATCAGAGCTGCACAAGGCGGAAAAAGCTGTGGGTCTTACTGGGATCACAGCCGGAAAGACGACCATATGTTCCATTTGCACCACTGCCACCAATATCGTCACACGACCCACCCGAAGAGCCTAAGAGACTGCATGCTGTGTTGATCAATTCACCCACGATCGCAGTGTAGTTCGAAGTATCCGGTGTGAATTGACAGTCAAGTGATCGGTACAGGCAATTGCAGGCATCTTCATTGGGCGTGGGAGGTAAGATGCTTGAAGCAGCAAAGGTATCGTTCGTCGTGGGGCACGCTGGGTATGTCGTGGTAGCAGACGACTGAGAAGGACTGTTTGGAGGGCTGATCTGGCCATATTCCGTCTTCAGGCGGGCAAAATCATCGCCGGTGGTGACGCTGCTCCCATCGGAAGAGATGTTGACCATGCCGAATTGACCTTGAACACTCGAAGCAGGGAAATACGAAAAGGCAATTCCTCCGGACCAAACATCGGACATCTCGGAGCTAAACAAGGCTTGAGTTTCCGTCCATAAACGTGGCCCGCCCGTTATACAACCGAATTCACTAAAATACGCCACGACGTTGTATCCCGCATAATCGGCCTCGATATTGGCGTAAGAGGCTGCAAAAGTGGAATTTCCACACCACGCACTTGGGCAGCGCTATTAGTGAATTGTTAGGATTCAGATGGCTTTGACATACTATTCATTTAGACCATAAACGTCGATGGCCGTTGCACCCGAGTTGTCGCCAGAGGGGTCACAAGAGAAAAAGTTTGCAAGTGGAAGGCGGAAACTTGTATCGCCATCAATGGACGAGTAACCGACCAGGGCAGACGACGACTTGGATTGCCTGCGGGTTTGTTGACGGATGAGATATGAGAAAAGACTTAGAAAGTGCTTACAGGTAAGCCTTGATGTCGCGAGCCGCTGCCTTTACATAAGGGGCCACCGATGTACCATTTGCTATGACGACCTCGTTGCCGACATTGTAAGCGAGGACATTGTCGTATTGATTAAACACATCAATGGTCCGGAGGTATTGGTCCAAGAGATTGGTTGACCAAGAAGGGGAGGTGCGATCAATGGAGCCATTCAAAGGGAGCGCAAGATCGATTCTGATGGGAAATACGAATGAGAGAAGAGTGTGAAAATGCTGTTATTCACTCACATCGTGTAAATGCCGGCGTCGCTGAACGTCTTCATGCAAGCGTCGTGGTTCAAACTCGAATTGACGCTGTACACGCGAATGGTATTGACGCCGAGCTGCTGAAGGTAAGGCAAGTCACGGCTGCAGGCAGAGCCAGAGCTGAGAGGATCAATGAAAGTCGAGGGCTCTCCGAAAGCATTGTCGGAACTCGCCACGACGGTGCCTAAATCCCCCTTGACGTTAAGTCGTGCATGAGAAGCAATTGAAACGGCGCTTACCCTGCTCTTGGTATGCTATGCCTTTGATGTAGAACCTATTGCCCCCTTCGTCGTAAAGGTATCTGCCGCTCCTATTAACTTTGGAAATTGCACATACCGAACCGACGAAAGAGGAAGCAACTGCGAAAAGCGCAGTCGCTGTGCCTGTTTTGCTCAACATGACGACGTATCAACGCCGGGAAAACGCGTACAACAGCAAGAAAGAGAGAAGGCAGGAAAAAGGTAGAGAGTGGGGCTGTGAGTTGAGGCTTTTATATTTCAGTCCCCGCCTGAAACTCGGCTGACATGCTGAAACTCTTCACTTTCCGTCAGCTGGTCCCACAAGGCCTAACAGTTTGTCTACAACATAATGTTTGGCATAACATATTCTACATAGCCCGCCTAGCTCAATCGGATAGAGCGTCAGACTCTTACCGATTCTAGGCGGATCTGAAGGCTGCGAGTTCGACCCTCGCGGTGGGCTATGTTTTTGTCCAGATAGTATGTGAAATCGTGATCGGGGTCCGGTCCGCCCGGATCCCGGCTTGTAGTAAATAAACACACTGCGATACGTTATTCTTCATGTTGCCCATAGTACCTGACGATGAAACGATCCAATCAGTAATATCAATCGTACAGCCGTCTCTTCCAGGACTAGATACCAATAAATTGCATGACGCGGTCATCGATGCGTATCCGGAGTGGCAGGGCGTGGTCGGTGAGAAACGAGTACGGCGTGTAATGGCTAACTCAAAAAAGGACGAGGAGGCGGAGGGACCTATCAAGGACGACAATGCCTCTACTATTACGACACCAAAAACGAAAAAGAAGAAAAAAGCAAAGGCAAAGGCAAAGGCCTCATCACGAGAAACTTACCCTACCTCGTCTCTCCTTCCCGACTCCGTACTGACCCTGCCGCCGACTGTCGCCGTCCGGTATTTTGACAAGCAAAAGGGGAAAGGTCTTGTCGCACTCAGACGCATCGAGGAAGGCGAGACGTTATGGAAGGAGGATCCGTGGATTATCGCACCAGAGTGGGACATCTTTGACCTCCAGCAGCGCGCAGTCGCTTGTGCTCACTGTACTACACCGTTTTCACAATCATCTGCCCTTGTGGTCTCTTGCCAGCACTGTTCTGCGCGCTACTGCACCCGTCTCTGTTTCTCGCGATCAGTGTCTACCCATCCCCTTCTGTGTCCCGGCCAGAACGCTGCCAGTGTCCCGTTGCTCAAGCAGGCCAGATCACTGGCATGGATGGCCCTGCACGCAATCTCGCGCGTCACCGCTCGGGTTTTGCTGGGTGGCGAACAGGAGTGGGACGTTGTCAAGGCGATGGCAGAGCTTGGGATGGAAGAGCGGTTTCAAAAGATTCATCTGACGCCAGAGCGGGAGACTTGGAAACGAGTGTGGACATTGTACGTTGACGCATTCCGATCTCCTCAAGCCTTGAAAATCGTCGCAAAGTCGAAGAAACCGCTGGCAGAACAAACGGAGAAGGAGCTGTTTAGCTATGAAGGTTTCTTGCGAGGACTGGGAAGAATGAGCTTAAGTACGCGGCCCCTATCTTAATTTCAGCCTTGCATTCTGCTCACATATAGTATAGATCTCGAATCTCATGGAGGGCTGTACCTCCTCCACTCTCACTTGAACCATTCCTGTGATCCCAACCTGTCTATCAGGCATCTACAGCGGTCGTCTGCACTTGCACGCATAACCGTGATAGCTAAACGCGCCATTTTACCAGGCGAGGAGCTGATAATCACTTATGTTGACCCGTCTTTGGACATAGCACAAAGACGACAAGCATTGGGAGAGTGGGGTTTTGGCAACTGTACCTGTTCGCGATGCAATAGAGAAGCTGCGACAGTTGAAGATGAATCACAAGGCCAAGAGAAAAGGAGACATGAGAGCAGTCTAGATATGAAGGATTTGGAGCGCGAGTTGAAGGAAGGTTTGGGACTGTGGGGATGAGTGAATGCGTTCTCTCTCTCTTTTACACTTTCTCCGCGGAAGCGAAAATACAGTTCAGACCGATACTCTAATAATGTATCTACTCGAAACAGGGTAGACATGGAAAATACGGGGTAAATATAAATGACAGAACCCAGTCCATGAGTAAGCTATGATATGTAGCTATGCGTAGCGCCCACGATGATGACCAGCAATCATCGATCATCCACGGTATGTGCAACACCTTGAAGACAGGTTAGACGCAGTTGACGGATACAAGTGATGAATACACATACGTTATCATGTATGGTATTATGGAGGCGAAAACACAAGCAAACGCAGCCCAGAGTAAGTAGAGCACTGGGCCAACGGAAACATCAATGCCAACGGACACTGGATTGGAGGTGTCACCGATGAGCACATTATTAATAGTTGCAGACTTGTTGATCATGGCCGTCCATATCGCGGCCCCACAGAGAATAAATATGGTGCTTAGAGCGGCGAAGACGGTGGATATGAAAAAGGTGAACGCCTGTTTGACCACGCCACTAGAATAGAAAGATGAGATGAGTTTTGGTTACGAATAGCGGAAGGAAGGAAATACTGACGCGAGTAAGGCTACCGCGGTAGTAACTGTGCCAATGATGATCAAATAATACGCAGATTTGGTGGGTTGGGCAAGATAATTTGAATTTTGGAAAGTGGTATCACTGACAACAGCCTGGGTAATAGCGCTGTAGTTGGCGGTCATGTCTTTCGTGATGATATCGTAAGGTCGGTATTCGTAGGCGGCGGAGTGATTGGAGCAGATGCCTTCCTTGGCGGCAACATAACCACAGTGGGAGTAGAGCCCGAATTGATAGTACTGACGTAGGCCACGGGACTCGAGAAGGGGCTCAGAAGCATCGTTAGTGTAAAGCCCGTAGATGGGGTCGAGCAGGGCGGTTTGAAGGGATTGGCTGATACGACGTAAGTGAAGAGAACAGGAAGCTGAAAATAATATATGTACCCATACTGAGAGACATTGACTTTTGCCTGGAATTGAAATGCCCAGTCAGAAGACCGGTAGCTGATTGTGGGAAGATGAAGGGCATACCAAATATAATCCACGAGGAACTGCAGACGTGTTAATTTGGCCAACCTAAAGAATGAGAAACAGAAGACACAAGGAAGGATGGAACATACATTGACAAAAATTAGCAGGATCAGAGCAGCAAATCTGTAGAACAACATTGCTGAGCATTGCACGACGCAGCGCAGAACTATGCGATAAACGCACGATAGAAGGCTAGCAAAGCCGACAAATATTTCGCCGCGCATCGTTACAAAGAGAAGAAGAAGAGAAAGAGAAAAGAGAAGAGAAACCGTCGCGCCGTAACGCTGCCTCGACCAACCAACGACGTCAGTGGAAGAAAACACGACCTGAACGTGTGACGGCTTTTGCCGCGGTGCCGTGTCTTGCCGAATTAGCCTTTGCGTACCAATACTCGTCTCTTCTCTCGACGTCCACAGCCTCTTCTTCGCTGTGTGTCACGACAATCTCAATGGACAGGCTGCCGGCATTGCAGCCTATTCTGCATGATCCTGGCACTGCACCCGCCTTGATCACCTCGCCAGAAGCCCTCGGCTTTGCAGATTCTCCTGTTGCACAGAAGGAGTCCAAGGATTCGTCTAACAGTAGTCGCGTGAAACGTCTCTCGTCTGCTATGGAGAAGACTGTGGATAAGCTTGGAAGGAGTATCAGTGGCAAGTCTTCTGCAAGCCCATCGCCAGGAGGCCATCGACGGCTATTCAGTATCAGCCGCAAGGGAAAGGCCACTGACCGTTCGGATAGTACGTCTGTGTCTTTTTCCATGATTACCATCCAATTCAACACATGGGTTATAGGCATGCCGATCCCTTCTTCCACTACCACGCCACCGACCTCCCGACCGACCTCTCCCGTAAAGCCTGTGCGGCCCATACCGCCGATTCAGGATGACTCTCCTTTCATTACGCCTCCATCCCCTCGCCTATCGCCTATGCGGCCCAGCTTAGCATCATTTCGCGGAGATGGTTCCGTAAGTTTGTCGTTCAAATGATCACCTAGTCAGAAGACTCATATCATCTTACTGGAGTAGATGCGTGCGGGTACCCAAACTCTAATACAAGCCCTGCAGGCTCTACCCTGGACGAAGGATCCTGATAATGATGATGACTTCATGAATCACAACAATTTGACCCCCGCCACGGACTCTGACAGTGAAGACGACGACAAATCTAGCGAACGTAAGTTCTATACGCGCCGGCTTCATCCGGCTTCAACTTATTGCTCCTGAACTAGCTCTCGCCCACTTGGCGTCCTCAATACATACCATATATCGTCCTCTAGCTCGTTCCCGCAAATACAGTATCGGACCAAGCCAGCTGATTCGTCGATCGACGCTTCCCAGTCATTCCCCATCCAGCGAGGAGCCGTCCTTGAGCGAGTCGTCAGCCCCGTCGGATGAAGAAGGCATTGAAGAGGCTGACGATTTTGAGGAGACAACGCCTAGAATGCCTGGCGTTGAAGAACCTGCGGCACTGACCCCCATTATCTCGGCTTCCACGAGGCAAAGAATGAACGCTGAAAGCCTGGAGCAGTTGGGCATGGTGCGCACCGGTAGCACGGCTACGGTTCGCTTCCAGAGAAGAGCCATGCTGGCGGAAAAATTGAGGGAGGTCTTTGAACTTGAAGGCATCGAGGAAGTCCGGGCTGGTATGAGCTACTACCTTGAGCTCTCGTGTGCCACTTACACCGATTTTCAGAGATGCCTTGCTGGTTGCTCCGATCTATTTGTGAGTTATCATACATCCGCTGCACAGAAACGACGTTGAATCTTTTCAAAGTGCTCCAAGGTTACATGTACCTGACAAACGCGTACCTTTGCTTCTTTGCACACATGCCTTCCAAAGAGGTAAGCTCGTAAAGGGATCGTGTCGACTTCTAACTCATCCCGTGTTACCCGCATAGCATCAAGTTCTTAAATCGGGGTCCTTGACAAAGAAGGCGCAGCGTACCAAACGTTGGATTAAGCATTGGTTTGTGCTAAAGAACGACGCCCTAAGCTGGTATCAGTCTTCATCTGTGAGGCTCTCAAGGATAACTTAACATTGACTCTAATTCATGGGACAGGATCCCTATTTTCCTCATGGGATAGTGGATTTGCGTTATGCTATTTCCTGCGAGCCTGTTCGTGAGAAAGAATTCCGCGTACGAACAAATCAGAAGACTGTTCTCCTGTACGCAGATTCCGTTCCAAGCAGAGAAGAGTGGGTGAAAGCTATAAGGAAGGTCATCTTCAAGGCACAGAACATGGGTGATAGCGTTAAGGTATAGCTTTAAAATACCAGCATTAGACTCCGTTTTGACTGTATATCCACAGATTGCCATTCCATATTCTGCGATCCTTGATGTAGACAAATCATCTGCTATGGATTTCAGCGAAACGATCGAGATTAAAGTGTTCGATAAAGATTCCTCGGAACAGCCTTCTGTGGACTCGTATTTCTTCGCGTATTTTCACGATCTCTCGTCCGCTTTGGATCAAATCCGTGATGCGGCGCGTACGCACCGTGCGGTTGAACTTGGGGAGGGAAAGGCACAGTCACTCAAAGGCGTGCTGGATACAACCACCACTCGTCAGCCAGGTCCCTCAGTTGTGGACAGAGGCGCTAGTATGCCGACTGAAGGGAGCAAAGACAAGGCCACTGGGTCCGGTTTCAGAATATCCTCGTTTTTGCGGCCTTTCCAAGACTCTACAGCGCGTTCTTTAACAGCAACCCCCGATGCGGTATCGGACATCATGGAGGAGTTCACACATATTTCTCGCAGAACGAATTCATCATCGTTTGTCCCTGTCACTTCCACGGGGTCACCTAGTAAACAATTAGATCTCCCACGTACGGCTGACCACAGCAGCCAAGAAGCTTTCACAGACCTGACGCCTACACCTTCAAATATCAGGATTAATCACACGTACCCACCTTCCACTTCGTTGTCCTCCTCTATTGACCCTGATAATACTTCATTGATCCTTAGAGAGACCAACGGAAGCAATGCGAGCACTTGGAGCGTTGGTGTCCCCGGTTGGTTGAAAGTTGGACGGCCGAGTCGTTTCTTTGCGTCCAATGAGTCCCCACCCATTACCTTAAGTCCTCCTGTGGCCATAAAAGAAATGTACTCCTCAACAAGCAGCAGCATTCTGGGAAGCAGGTGGAGCGGTGCTGGTGATCTGGCCTTCAGCGTCCTCGACGCGCCTATCAGCAACATTGACAATGAAGTCGTCGAGAAATTCCGCACCTCTTTTGCCTACGATGAAAAAGAGACATTACTTGGATGTAAGTGGTCTTTATCGTAGGAAGCACTGACACTTCTCATACGTGCATAGATTTCCCGGGTTATATATTCCGACTCTTGCCCGTTTTTGGAAGGCTTTACATATCAACCAATTACTTCTGCTTCAAATCTACGGGTCCGCTGACTTCTCGTACCAGGGTGTGCACGTAATCTCCCATTGGATCTCCATTTTCTTAACTAGTCTTCAGATGGCGCTTCCGATCAGAGACATCTTGTCTACAGAAAATTCGAAAGCGACTAGGTTTGGCCACCATGGGCTCATAATCATTGTCAGGGGACATGAAGAGCTGTTTTTTGAGTTTGGTGCCGAAGATAAACGAAACGCGTTTGTGAAGCTGTTGGAACAACAGATGGAAGATGTTCGACGACGTCTTGCGGCTGGTGAAACATCCGTTCCTACGTCAGGCAAACGGGATGCACTCATACTGGAAGAATTTGAGGCCAGATCGTCTCGAAGCAGCCCTGAATCCGACCCAGCGCCCACTGCAGAGAGTCTGACTGATTCTTTGCCTGCCGTCATGTTTACTTCCGCTTCTTCGACGTTCTTGACATTCAAACCACAGAAAAGCCTGCACTTTACGTTCCTCACCATAGGATCCCGAGGGGACGTTCAGCCTTATATCGCATTGGCTAAGGGCCTCAAAGCCGACGGACATCGAGTCCGCATAGCGACACATCGCGAATTCAAGGAATGGATAGAGTCGGTAAGTCATTTCATTTTCTTTCGTTGACAGCGGACGTTACCCGACTATGCTATAGCATGGTATCGAGTTCGGCTACGTTGGGGGTGATCCTGCTGAGCTAATGCGAATTTGTGTGGAGAATGGTATGTTCACTTTGTCCTTCATGAAAGAGGGCTTGCAAAAGGTTAGTGTCGCCTTGTTATACATTTCTTAACTGACCTTTGTGTAGTTTCGAGGATGGTTGGACGACCTTTTAAAGACGTCCTGGGAGGCCTGTCAAGGCACGGATGTTCTAATAGAGAGCCCGAGTGCTATGGGAGGCTTACACATCGCTGAAGCGCTTGCAATTCCTTACTTTAGGGCATTCACTATGACTTGGACCCGTACGAGGTTGCTATCTATCCCTCTGTCTCAGCATCACAGACTGATTGGTCTATAGGGCATATCCTCACGCCTTTGCTGTGCCCGACAGAAAGGTAAGGATTTGTTTCCTTGGTAATTGTAATCATATGAAATTCCTCTCCGACAGATGGGGGGCAGCTACAATTATATGGTAATCCACTTCATTTACTTCGTACAACACTCGCATCTCATTGAAGAGCCATCAGTCTTATGTCATGTTCGATCAGGTCTTTTGGCGGGCAACGTCTGGACAAATCAATCGATGGCGAAGAAACGTGTTACATCTCAGTGGCACCAGCCTCGATAAGATGGAGCCTCATAAAATACCTTTCCTCTATAATTTTTCTCCGCATGTAGTACCCCCGCCCCTCGACTGGCCGGAATGGATTCGCGTGACTGGTACGAAACTGATAAATCAGGTTTCTTGGATACTGAGTTACTATAGGGTACTGGTTCCTCGATGACGCGGACGTTAGTGCCAAGAAATGGGTTCCTCCTGAAGGCCTAGTTGTTTTCATTGACAACGCGCACAAACTTGGCAAGAAAGTTGTATATATCGGCTTCGGTAGCATTGTGGTATCTGATCCCAGGGCGATGACCCGCTGCGTCATTGAGGCCGTTGTTCAAAGCGGGGTTTATGCAATCCTGTCGAAGGGATGGTCGGATCGCTTGCACATAAAGTCTGCGGACGCCTCTGAGCCCGAAGAGCCACTACCTAAGCAAATTTACTCCATTGCGTCCATCCCTCATGACTGGCTTTTCCAACGCATAGATGCTGCGTGTCATCATGGAGGCGCTGGCACTACTGGTGCAAGTCTACGTGGTAAACCCATATTTGATGATTACCACAATCTCCCTTGCTGATCCGCACTTAGCTGGTCTTCCAACAATTATCAAGCCCTTCTTTGGGGATCAATTTTTCTGGGCCGACCGCGTTGAAGCGCTGGGAGTCGGATCAGGTGTCAGAAAACTGACAATAGAAACATTAAAGGACGCCCTTCTCCTTGCCACGACCGACCAAAAACAAATACACCGTGCCAGATTAGTTGGAGAGCAAATCAAAGCGGTCAGTCCTTGAGCGCACTGTTGACTTAGTGGAAAACTCATCAGTACCGCAGGAGGATGGTGTTGTCACAGCTGTAGAATCTATCTACCGTGATCTTGAATATGCCCGTTCGCTGATCAAGCGAAGTCCTCCTGACATCGGTGAAGACGATGAAGGAATAGACCCTGAACATGCCACCATTCGTGATCGGCGTAGCTCTGCTCCTATGGATCCTTCATCTGGCTACAGTTCAAGTGGATCCGCTCGAGGTGGTGCTCCCAGTGAAGATTGGAGCGTCATTTCAGAACAAGACGAGCGAAGGTCTTCTTTCAGTTCCCGAATCAGCGACGGGAAACCGAACGTCGAGCGCTCTAATAATAAACGCAACAGTCTAGCGGCTGCCGTGTTATCGGTTTTACCTGACACATTGACCTCCTCTCCACGTCGTCGTACTATATCAGCTAGTTCTCGCACATAATCTCTCTATACTGTAGCCATACATACTGTACTCTGTCATGCATGAATGTCCCCGCTCTGTTTGATTATAATAGGCTTTTGTTTTCATAGGATTTACTGTGTACGTAGATTGAATTTATTATGACATGTAGAAATGCCTTTCAATCTGAATTTTTGTCGTAATGTTCATCGAACACGCCTCTACTGAATTGACCAAATGTTACCGATGGCGAGAGCAGCTTATCCGTGTCTGGCTGCATGAATAATGCGAAAGCCTCCCTGGATATTGTGCCGGAATCAGCGACCTCAGTCCCGACCCGCACACTTTTGCGGCCGTGAGCACGAAAATATAAAAACGAAGCAAGGACAGGACAAACCAGTGTGGAGTAGCGCGCAGCTTCCCGCCCGTAGCGATTTCCAGAGCTTCTCCAGTTTGAAAAGCGAGGTTATCTTCAGGAATCGATACTTTGGTCAGTTCCCCTCCTCGTGTACGTATATATAGCCCTGAGGATATCGAGGCCGACTGAACTACGGTTGGTTCAGAAAGATCACTTTCGCCTTCCGATAGATACATTGCCTTTCAATGCGTAAATGAAAAGGAAGACTGTGTACAATTTCACTCACAGAACACAAGCCTGTCAGAAGGGAATGATCAAGATGAAAGCCACACCAACTGTCCATAGGCCCATCTTCCGCTGGCAAAGAATTCTCTTGAGAAGGCGGAAAATAATGCAATAAGCGGGCCTTCGTAGTTTGCGAGGTGCTAATCAACTTCGGCAGGGACATCGAAACATCCGAAAACCGGGATAACGCTGGCGGCGATTTCGTTGACTGATCAGAAAAAGTCTTTGTCAAAATGGACATACCGAATGGCTGGCATGCTTCTGCAAGTGTACATCCGACGTCTGAGACGAATCTTCAACAGGATCCGGCAAAGTACAGTAGTAGTCCACAGCGTCGCTTACCTTCCCAAATCCTTGAAGGCTTCCTCGAATCCTTCGACACCCTTCTCGTCAGGCTTGGGCCATATATTCTGGGCGTAATATTCAGGCCATTCCTTTCTATGCTGGGGCGATACGGGTGGATTATCGATGAGAGGGTTTGCATAGTAGGACCCTTTCAGAACGTCTGTCGAAAGCTCGCATCGAGTCTGTTATCAAGGAGTTCTGGAATACCTGGTTTTCCGTTCATGATTTCCTAGAAGAAAGTGTGAGCCGTTAACGCAAGTGAGCGACATGATGACAACAGACCTTGCCATGCGACCATCCAAAGCTATCAATGGAAACGCATTCAAGTTAAGTTCAGTCTGGAGCGCAGCGTTGATGCTTGCCTGTAATTGCTGGAGGCATCTGTATACTGCTCTCTGACATTCTCATCCAGCTTGGCGAACTTGTAGGCGAGGGTAAGGAGCCTCTGCCGATAAGCAGCGTACGACGGTGGTAGATCTCTAACGATGATTATGCCCAAACACTCTGGGCCTGATCCGAATGCGCGTTCTGTTTTTTTTTTTGTGCGATTAATTAGCGTTCGGAGCTCGGTGCAAAGCTCCCCCACCTATTGAATCGCCCAGAGATTCTGGGGCGGATACAAGGGTGGTATATGAAACTGACACAGCGCCCTCAGGTGTGTAAGCGATTGGCTATAGTGGCTTGTCAGAATACCACCACAAAGACGAAGCAAAAAATCTTGCCTGTTTGGTCTCCATGAGGGAAGACCAGAAAGGGTATGTGGCAAATCGAAAAGTGACTTTGCAAGCTTAGCAGATATATAATGCGTAAAGATAATCCTAATTCGATTGCAAGATGGTTAACAATAAATATACACACCTACAACAAGTATACACATAAGTTACAAATTTCCAACAATCATTGCAATACCCCGTTCCTCACATCTAGGCTCCCCAAATTTGTTTGAGCCAAGGCATTCTGTAGCGCAACTCCCGAATCGTCAATCGAATGGAGGAACCGTAGAAGTTCTCGGCAAAGTTGCCAATCTTTCCCATCTACAGCCGCTTTTAGCAGACGCACGGCATCCTCATTATGTTCGTCAAGCTGTTCGAGGGTGTGAAGGACTATAAGATAAGAGCTCGCCGTTCTAAGCCGCCGCGACGAGAGACACATCTAGTCAGTGGTTAGCACTAAGGATTCCGCGTATTCAGAGCAGAGAATATACCTCGAATAAAGCTTTGGGGTTTCCAACGATACTGAAAAGCCTTCTCCACCTGATCATCTCTGTTTTCCTCGCGCACCTGACTACAACATCCAGTGCTTCATCAAAATAATCCAGGAACTCGATCACAATGGGCAGGACGGAAACAGCGGTTTCCGCGTCGCTAGAGGATTCTTCATCAAGACTGGCTTCAGACTCTACGACAGTGTGCAGAAGAATTTCCAAGGCATGAGCAAAATATACAAGATTTTGATAGTGAGATGCGAAAACGACGGCTTCTTGGACCTGCCGCGCTTCCAGATAGCAAAGCAGGATATGGTGCAGAAACAAATGGGACTGAAAACAGCTTAAAGACAGTGATTTAAAACCTGTCAGATGGACGTACACTCGTGGCATGTCTGAACATGACGAAAGGAAGATTCGATCGCGTGGCGGCTTCATGTTCAGCACCTATTATGATGCCTTTATCCATGAGTACGGCTACAGCTTAGAGTGAGAATCAGATGGTGAAAGAGGAAGGCCGGAAGACAAACATAAGGGATAAAAATCCAAATGAATATTAACGCTCTCTTTGACGCTTTTCTGAAGCATATCACCGGCAGAATCGTGCGGTGATGCCTCAATGGACAGAGCGTTGAGCCAAACTCTCATACTCTGTCCATCGTAGCCCCATAAAGAATTTTCAAGGGCGCCGATTCCGCGTAAGTGTATCCAACAAAATTCAATTCGGTCGGCAAATATTTGCATGTCATATTGAACTTCTTGGTCTGCGGACTATACGCAAGGTTTATATTAGTTTGTGACCTTGTATAATAGGACTGGGATATCGCACCTTCCGTGGACGAAGCAAAACAAGTTGCCCGCCTACAACCATCAGCACAGTGGCAACCGCTAGGTCCTCCACTGGATCACCGAGCTCTATGTCGGAGGGCATATGGTTCAGTCATAACCCTTTGAAAAAGAGTCCACCCACGTTTTTGGGCTGACGGTATCATCCAACTCAGCATCCTGACTGCTCCAGGAGCGGCAATGATGCCATTGAAAGTGATACTCCCGCACAAATGCAGTTTGATGGTGTCTTCAGTAGGGACTATGAGGTAATGAAAAAGTGCATTGTCGACAGTATACACCAGGAGAGAGTTGTCCACTAGTGAGAGGATTATCACGGGAGTCGAAAGTGTTTCTCGGTGAAGAACATTCTGATTACTGAGTTCAAGATCTCGTGAGTATAAACGAATCTATGTTTATGCGTTCGATCAGTAATTTCCCTGGATGCAGTATTTACTCACCTGATAAATTTTATTCACTTCAACAGCAGCGATTAGAACGTGATGAAACCATATCAGGCCTCCCCGCACAGCAAAGGCTTGCTCTTGCAGCTCATCTGTGAAGACCTTCCATCGGCCTGAAGATGAGCTGTAGTGTACAAGTCCTCTTCGACCAGCAATCGCAATCAACCGGCCATCATTGCTCAAAGCAGAGTATCGTATTGGCCAGTTAGTCGATAGATAGGCCAAAGGGATCTGTGAGACGGCTCGTCATAAATAAAACTGTATCCAAGATAAATTCATGTACCTTGACATGCTGCCAGACATCAGACTCTGGATTGATCACACTCATGTCAGGTTGATCAGCACCACGATAAACAAGCGCCCTGTCATCCATTTGCAGAAAAGCGTAACGAGCATTGTCCTGCAAAAAACTCAGCCCGAAAGAAAAGACAAAACGATTTGCTGTTAATCTCACCGGTGACTGTTGCCCTGTCGTGGCACTTTTGGCAAAGGGGACAGTAAAGAGCTGTCCATCGGCGTCTGCCACATTGTGAGTGTGATATATGTCGTGGAAACTACAGACTCTACCATACGAGACTCGTCGTGCCAATAAGACGAGCTCAAAATTGCCTGGGGTCCAGAACTATGAAGACAATAAGGTTACGAATTGAACAGAGAAAATTGACCTGCACTGACCAGGTCCAAGACTCCATGCATGAATGTATCTTGAAAGCTTTTTTCATCGGCGGACCCTTCTTCACCTGTACCTAATCCACCGCTTGCAAGACATCGACCGCCAACACTGAATAACGCCCATCCGTGCTTCCAGCCAACTGCAAGCACATAACCGTCCGAACTCCACTCCAGAGCACATACAGGACCTGTATCTTGGTTGTAGGGGTTCGGCACGGAGAGGGACGTGGATGATAGGGGACTAGTTTGAAATGGAGATGTTGGGAATGATGTCAACGCAACGCCTCCACTGAACGACAATGATTAGTTCACATCTAGCAAGCCGCGGGTACTCAGGACTCACCCCAACATTCCGACAGCGATGAGGGAAAACCTGCTATTCAAGGCCACGCAAACAGCCTGCTTCGGTTCCAGATACGCCATACGATTACGTTCGTGTAGAGGTTCATTTGGGTCTACACGGCGCTGCTTTTGCACCCATCGAGGAGTTGGGAAGTCATGTACACAGGTACCATGCCAATTACTTCCATCAGAAGGGGCAGGATGGAGGCGAGAAGCATCATCAAAGGAGGAGCGAGTATGAGGGCCCTAGAGTAAGCAGCATAAACGAAGACCTAAAAAAAACATGCAGCATGTGAAGATAACTCACACACCTGCTCATCTTCAACCAGTTCGGACGTACTGCTCTCTGCCTCGGAATCGGGTTCGTGAAGCTGGACAAAATAGGCACGACCGTCGGAGGTTATCCATGTCTCCACGGCGGTTGCACGAGAGTACGATATATGTGCAACAGTAACTTCAACACGGGCATGAATAAGTGGAGACGGTTGTTGAATGAATAACAGCGCTTTACCATCCGGTTCAACGAACCATTCAAACTCGTGATCATTGAATATCCAAGTGTTGTAGCTGCCAAAGCGCTTGCTTCTGCGGGGCTCCTGGCCTTCATGGTCGTTTAGTAGTTCATCCTCTTCGGAAGGCCAAGGAATTCTCTGGACTGCAGGTGGGTTCTTGGTGGAGAAAAGAAGGTAATGCCGACGAGGAGATGTGCTGGTTGGAATCACTCAGTGTCTTTTGGTGTTTTGTTTTATCGAACAAGAGTACCTGATAAGAGTTCCCTCCACACGAATCACGCCTTCAAAATGAAGACCAATGGGGTTCAAAGGAAGGCCTTCGCCTGGACCAGCAAGAAAGTTGCGCTGAGTGGTGGCGGTGAGTGTGGGAGGTTGATATACGGGGTCCGAGACATCGTATGTGACTGCTATTAGGACAAGATACGAAAGGGAAGTCTAGAACGACACCCTTGAGAGAGACGCGAACTAGAAGCGTAGGCACTGACCTGAATGACAATTCGTGATCCATCTGGTGCCCAGTATGCTTTGACGTTCTCGCCATGGTCAAAGATTGACGTCGGAGTTCGCGACAGGTGGGCGAGGACGGCGGTGGGCTATTGGTTGTTACGCTGAGGCCGTGTTGAGTGAAAAAATGTGGTTGACCTACGCGAACGCGCCAGATAGAAATACCGTTTCGAGTAAGCGTAGCAAAGAATGATTTTCGTGGACTCGGACAAAGGCCTACGACATGCTCGGGTGGGATGTTGGGAAGGGCTGGCACAGTCGATAATCGTCGGGCTGTCGAGGTCGGAAAGTACATCAAAGTTGGAATTACGTGGCGATAGGGTTAGGGGCTGGAGCGTAGTCCCGGTTAGGGTTGACTACTGCCTTCACGTGGGAGTCCATCTCGCTTTCACTCCCTTCATGTGCCAATGAAGTTCTATACTCAATCCTTCATTTACGAGTAAGCTGAGCTGTCATGCTAGGCCGTTCCATTTTCCTTTTACTGATATTCTTACTCACTTTTAGCGACCCGTGGTCCATCGTTTCTCTTGCTTACTTCCTTCGCTACCCGAATCCATATGCCTCCCACATCATCTCTTGCGATGTCATTTCTCGCACACAGACTCCTTCGGGCACCCTTCTTACCACCCGTCTGATATTGAAACGAGGCGCTTTGCCTCGTTGGGCTCCCAAGGGCATCATTTCCCGCTCAGAGTCTTGGGTTGTCGAAGAGAGCGAGGTGGATCCTATGGGCAGGACTGTTCGTTGTACTACCAAAAATCTGGAGTTTACAAAGGTCATGCAGGTGGAAGAGTCAGTATTTCTTCATCAGAATGATGAGGGGTACGTCTCAGTTCCGTCACTTCGTCTACCAGTGCTCACCCGTCCTCCCAACAGTAAAACAATGCAGATCAGTGAAGCTCGAATACGCTCCCGTTTTGGTTGGGGCCTTACAAAACGAATCGAGACATTCGGCATGAATCGATTCAAGACACATGTACAACGGGTAGCTCGTCGGGTCTAGATTTTAGCACCTCTTTCGCTGACTCATACCTGCTTATCTAGTCGAGGGATGGTATTTCGTTGATTTTAGGGATGTTGCGCCAATCCCGTCTTCAGACCTTGGGAGGGCCTGCTCCTTATTCTCCCATGTATTTTGCACGTGAAGAACCACACGAGCCTGCCCATAACGAAAACGGTTTCTCCGGAGTCGGACATCAAAACAGTGGCCCTTGGCGGAGGGTGATGGCATGGTTTTCGAAGGACTAATCTCACCAAGTACAAATATCGTAGTATAATGATTTCTTCGTCGGCCAGCATTGTCTCCTCTCATAGTTAGTCACTCATAGTTAGTCAGTTGTCGTCGTAAGGTATTTTTGATCCCTATGTATCAGTAGTCCAGTAGTATCAATTCATGAAAAAAACACCTCTCTATTACTGTCTTGTAAGTTATCATCGAATCCTCTACATGATAACATTATTTATTAGGTGACCATCAAGGTAGTCATTGTCAGTATGCGTTGTCCCAAACCGTTTTCTGATCGTTATCATCGCCCACCCATATCCGAAGACCATCGAATGCAGGTCGTAGCCAAGTGACTGTGTTCTCCCCGTCCTTCATGGTCATTTCCAACGCTCGCCGTTCCAAGTCAGTGCTTTCATCCAACCATTGACTCGGCTGCTGAGCCAGCGGCTTTCCAGAGCTAACCACTTCTGTGATCCTGACCCATTCTTCGTGTGATACTTCATGTGAGAAGCCGGTAAGATACGTGCGAAGTGCTCCAACCCGCCGAGCCGTATCAACAGCAGATACTACGCCGAAGTGAGACGTATGTGGCCGTAAATGTAGGCAATCAAGAATGAAGAGCGGTAGAGCGACTCCCGACCGTGAGTCATCTGTTGGCGAAGAGAGTATAATATCCATTGCATCATCCGGAATATAGGATGTGTCAGAAAGATATACAATATCTTCCTGGATCTTGAAGCCGAAACAGTAATAAGGTTGAATGATATCTTTGCCATTCAGCGATCTCCTTGAGGGAGAAACCGTTCCGCTAGAGAGCTTGTCAAGGGAGTCCTTCAGAGCCAGTTGGCTCATCTGGGACGTGGTGGGCGTCGAAGGTACTGTGGCCGGTGTAGACATAGTGGAAGGGCATGGGGGAGTGGAGAACACTCGTCCGTGGTGTACAGAAAAAGGCGTAACCAGTATTTCGGTATCTTCAATTTCAAAAGGAACCTTGTCCTCGATTATGTGCCATTTGAATTCAGGGACCTGGCAAAGAATAGTCGAAAGGAAGAGAATGATATATTGACTTATTACTTACATCTCCACCTCCAGATGCAAATTCCTTGGACACAAGGTATGGAAAGCATCTCTGAACTTCGGTGAAAGTGTTTTGCGAAACATAAACGTCGATGTGTTCTTGAATACGCTTGCCCAATGTCCACCCTGAACTCAAGAATGAGAGGAAGGACTCGTGTCAAAGAAAGGCCTTACCCCGTAGATCGTCCAAACCGTTCATTGCTGAAATGACGCTATGAGCACTCTCTTAACCCACATTCACGATAAATTTTACCATCGGCATGCGGATGTGTGATGAGTAAGGCGTCGATTTTCCGTAGTCCATACTTTGGAAACCATTCCACCGCGGCTGCTTGAAATGTCTTTCCAGCATCAATGACGATCGTTCTATCAGATGTATTAAGCACGAATGAACGGAGAAAGGTCGGCCCGGTGGGAAGAAAAGGGTCTTACACGTCCCGTCCGTCTTTTGGTGCAGCCATACGGATTACGGCACTGGTGTTCCGCCTTATATTTCTCTTTCCTTCAGGCGCCAAAGTAGATAAGCATGTTCTACACCGTCTTCCATCGGGGGGATTGGTAAGGCAGTCGACGTGGGGGATACTCGATGAGGTTCCTGTGCCGAGGAAAATGAGCTCGACTGGACGAGATATAGAGATAGAAAGCGACATGGTGGTTGCGATTTAAGAAAATTAGACACCTTATGCGTTATAAAGGTCCGGTTCGCAGTAGCTCCCAAGGAAATGCTTCTGGGGCTGCCGGGCTTTTTGAACGCTAAGATCACGAAAGAAAAGGCAACCCCGACACCTGACGGAATCCAATATATGTTTCACGTGAGGTCTTTATTAGGCGCGGATGCACTCATTTGATTTTAAAATTTGGAAGAAGATGGTAATAGCTGGTAATATAATAGGCGGTGTACAGTAAGTGTGCAGAAACGAAGAACAGTCTACAGGCCCGTCGCAATCTGTCTTCAAGTTCGAACGGTACAAACAAGAACTGTAGCAGGCCGCCTCAGAGGTCCGCAAGTATCGGTCTTCAAGGGTTCAACGTTGTACTTGTCAATTTGGAACGTCCGATCGGGCAGTATCATGGCCAAACATTACTCTTTCCCTATTCAGTACGTCAATTAATCTCGGGGACCCTTGAATACCGGTCGCTCCTATCACAACGGTGTTTAGAACATTCAATGCATTAATGCGGACATGGTTTCTGCAACCGCTAAGAGTTCTTGTTACTTTGTGAAAACTTCGGCATCATGTTATTCACCAGAAGTAGTAGCGAAAGTGACCACGTACTGGAAACGACGTCTTCATCTTGCACCGGGTGCGTAATACTGACCTTCTGCGCATGGGGGTTGAACTTGCTAGACTTACCCTGTGATAATCGATAGCATCGTATACTACAGAACAAAAATGACGGTCATACCCTTAGATACTCGACGTCAGTTGGATTTACACTCTGAATGGAGAGAACTTACCAAACCAACGCGTATCGGAAATTTGGTGCAAGTGACCGATGAACGCCGTTGCAAACACTCTAATAACATCCGGGATTAATCCTATTCATGTCACCCTCGTACAGGTCTGCGCACCTCGATTGTGGATCCCTTTCGCAAACATATGGGATCGTTGAGATCTGGATGGTCACCACGTTTTTTGGTGTATATCTTCACCATACCAAGTTCATCCCAAATTTTCTCAACCAGGAATGTTAAGCTACACCGAAATAAGTGGGGCACGGAGGAACGACGAAGATATTTACTTGAGATCCATCTCACAACTAATGACAACCGTGTGAGGCATTTGTGCAAGTTTCTCGACTTGTTCGAGACTGATGGAGTCAATTTTGTTATATACATCTTCAAGAGACGGTGATCAGACTGGTATCGCCGGATACTCATGTACGACCTACACAGGCACGGAATATATTTGCGTGTCCCTGCAATGACATGTAAACACACCGGAGAGCAGCTGAAAAAAATGCGAACCAATGAGAACGTCGATAAATTCATCGGTTGTTATCTATCGAACAGTCAGCAGCGGAAGACAGGTGAAGTGCTATGCATACATCTTCTCTGATCATGACATCACAATTGTGAAGTTTATCTGAAGATAATATTGTACCGAGTCATATCGGAAACTCTGGAAGATACATACATCCCGCAAGAATAGTTCGGATGGTCTTCTCGTCAGTTTTCGTCAGTTTGACGGTCGACGTAAACTATATTCGAGCTCAGATCGTGTTCCGCCTAGATAGAGTCATGCCACACCGTAATCTGTAGCGAGGATTTAGTAGAGATCTATTCTGAAGAAATTGACACAGTGCATACTCCGCCGGTTGTCCGTTTCTTGAATACAACATCAGGTCTCTTCTTATTGAGTCTTATTCCCACGGCGTCCAGCTCGATCTCTAGGAGCCTTCGCTGCTCCTCTGACTTGGTCGCGTCAAGCATGATTAAAATGAGATCTGCAGTCTTTGCAGCTGTGAGTTTGTCAGACATTGCAATGAAAGACACATAATTGTGGCACATACTTGACACAACCTGTCGTCCACGTCCCCTGCCTGTTGTCGTGAGGTCTATTATCATGCAGGCAAGGGTGATTCACTAACCTTGGCTAGCGCCTTCGACAATTCCTGGAAGATCAAGAAGCTGTATGCGCGCGCCCTTGTACTCAATTACACCAGGTATAGCCTATTTGTAGATGAGAACTGTAGAATATCGATAAAAACATGAACCGACCGTCAGGGTTGTGAACTCATATGCTGCTGTTTCTGATGCCGTATGTGTAAGTTTACTAAGGAGTGTGGACTGAAAGTGCATGAGGCAGAGGTGGAGCGTTCGAGACGATACGCACCTTTCCCACCGATGGAAAACCAATCAAGGCAACTCGAGCATCTCCAGACTTTTGAACGTCAAATCCTGTGCCAGCAGGCCCAGATTTCGAAGTGGGTTCCAGTAGCTGTGCACGGTAGCGAGCAAGTTTGGCTTTTAGCAGGCCCAAATGGTACTCCGTGGCCTACTTCGGTGTGTCGAGAGGTCAGAACGATGCACAGAAAGGCATTGACAGATTCACCTTATTCTTCTGCGCTGAACAGCAAATTAAACAATACTTGAGCCCGATTCCAAAGCAAAAGGGCACGTCTTACTTCTCGCCATCTCATCTGGGCCATGCTGAGTACAAAAGAGATAGATCAGCCTGATTGCTTACCCTCGATTTCCTTGATCTGAAGCAGGAAAACAATAAAAATAGACTGCAGAAGAAAATAACGAAAAATCAACCTTTTCAACGATACCCATGGTGACTGTATTTGAGCAAGACGGAGAATCAAGTGATAAGATAACAGTATTGTGGCGCTGGTCTTGTCTTTACTACCACCGCCAATGCCAATGAGACGGCATACGCCAACACTCTATTCTCACCCAGAGGACGATGTAGGCGATGGCGATGATGAGACTGCGTGGGGTCCCCTGCCCTCTGATTCAGCGTATTCTCCTTCTTTCGCAGCGTCCAGCTCTTCCGGCAGACTCAGATCTCATACCTCCCTGCCAGTCCCTCTCCAGCGCTCTCATTCTTCCTTCAGCTCCGTGCCATCTGCAACCAAATATCCAGATTTGTATGCACAGTTTCAACGTCGGTACCGAAACACGGAGCCCGTTGACCCCCGGGACGATCCAGACAGCCACTACAACTACTTTCAAAAAGATGTTGACAGCGACGATGAGGACGCACCTAGATTATTGGGTGCAGATGGTCGAGATAGGAAGCACCTATTGGGTGAGAACGATCCACAGATTCAGGCTTCGTCTGCAGAGGAGCAAGCCCGCCTCGAATGGCAGGTTCTTTTTGCTTCCGTTCTTGCTGGCGACGTCCTGAAATCGGAGAAGACTCGAATACAGCGAGTATTGGAGAGTTCCAGCGATAGACGCAACAACATCAAGCTCAACATATGGCTAGGACTTCGCTCTAGCTTCCATGGCACTACACTGGAGGAGGAGCGGAAAGCGGTGGAGGAAAGAAGACTACGGATAGTCGACCCAATCATTGACGAGGTCGTCAACTTTCGCTACAACCCTCACAATGATGACTCGGCACTGAAGCAGGTCAATGACCTTCTCGCCCGTCTCGATATTGCTCAGTCTCTATATCCCAATCTGAAACATTTCCTCAACGACAAGCCCATCACCAAAGAAGCTACTTTTCAAGAGCGGTGGGACGCCCTGAACACCTATTCAACCATCCTGACACGTCTTCGTGATCAGATATCACTCCTCCAGCGCTGGACAGGAAGCGAAAATCTCGATGTTACGCAACCCAATACTTCAGCTGAACAGCCTATCGGTACCAACGTCAAATCCTCTTCTGGTGCGACAGAAATCGCCGACAGTTCCAGTTTCGTAGAACGGGTGCTGAAAGAGGAGTCAATGCAGACCACGTTTGAGAAAGGCTTCCTTGGAAGCGTTCACGAATTTATCGGAGGTGTGCGAGCTGCACAAGTCACCTTTGCTTCCTCCTTCGAAACCATGAGCCTTCCAACCTTTGAGACGGAGGTTAGGCCCTTGATTGCATTTCCGACGAAGCTTGCTCAGGCCTGCCTGCATCTCCGCATGGAGTATACACAGAGCCTAAGAAATCCCGAGGTTATGATTATCGATCAAATGACAGAGGACCTTCGCCTTAGTATCGGTCTTGCTTGTACGCTAAAGCGGCAGTACGAAGCGTTTCTCGCACCGGACCCTAGTGGGAGTTGGAATCTTTCTCAGTGTATTAGTGGAGATTATGAGGACAGCATCCTACAGGCTGTAACCTTGTTCTTTAAACTGATACACTTGAAGCTGAAGAGTGGGGTAAAGGGAATCAACGAGACGGACATTCTGGAGGCTCAATGGCCTACGATGATCGACGTTAGTCTGACCGTTACCGGTGGTTCTGCTCGAGTTGCTGAGCAACTATGGTGTGTATTCAAGGCCTCATGGTCTCTCGTATTGATCCATAAAACTTCTATAGCTCTACTACTAACCGCCTTATGGTGCGAATGATTAACTACTTCGATACACAAGTGCGCGTCCCCACGGGTGAAAATACCCAAGAACATCGTCACAAGCATTCAGAGTATATGTCCAATCCAATGGAATCGAATGCATCGACCAAGTCCAGAGATCACAGTCCTGGGCATTCAGACACATTCAGAGTCTCCTCCGATGAGCAAAAAGTTAACTGGTATAACAAACTCCTGGAAAGCGTTCGACTACGATATCGCAAACTTCAACGTTATGCACGGTAGGTCTATCCCACATAGGTTTTTCTGTGTAGGCTAATATCATGAACAGAATGCTTAACCAACGTTTTACCAACGCTGCCGAATATAGTCTTGACGACATCATCATTGACGACTTCTTTGACTATCTTTCATCATCCGGGTTTGTCCTTGTCTACACGTATCAATTTGAAGAAGAAGGATTCTATGTCCTTGCGTCCCCAAACCTCATACACAAAGAGGCAACGATAGCTCGCATCATGCAAGACGCGTATAATCCCTCTGAGATCCTCAGTGAGGATAGGCACATGGTTTATGGAGACGAGGAAGAGATATCAGGGAAGGATAAAAGAAAGGGCGAAAAAGACTTTCCTGCTCAGTATCTGCTTGTCCTTTCACCCCGCGCATGGTTTGTGTGGCGCGGCCAAATTGCTAAAGTGCCTGATATACCCAAGATGGACCTTGCGCTTGCAGATAACAGGATGCGGCTTATTGCAGATGGAGGTCTCCGACGGCTTACTCTCGCGAAAGAAGCATTTGCCCAGACCTTTGCGTTGGATGAAACGGGCGAGATGATTGAGCATCCTGTCATACCCATGACATGTATTGCAGACTGGCAAGCCCATTATTCCAGTGTAGATCGAGAGCTGCAGAGAATGAATAGATCTACGATGCGACTTGCAGAGTCCATCGTCGACTCAGTTCACCACGTTCGCAGCACGATGACGATATCCATGGGTTGTCACGAGCTAATGGAGAGCTGGTATCTCTTCGCAGCGGAACATGGCCAACATGCACAAAGACATCTCGAAAAGTCCTCGTCTACAGGTTTCAATCGGTTGATGATTAAGCTCGCCATATCTTGGCTAAACTTCATATGCAATGATTGTAACCCTGACGACCAAAAGACATTTCGATGGGCGGTGAATGCTCTTGAATTTACCTTCCAATCCACTGTCCGGAATATCCTGAACCTTCCAGATAAGCAGTTCCAGGTTCTTCGCAGTGGCGTCGCAATGTGCATGATGCTGCTTACCGGGCACTTTGACATCCTCGGTGCTAGGTCTAACATTCTGGAGAAGGAGAAGCAGGAGCAGCTAGCCAAGCAAAAGATAGCGGTGACGCCGCTTGACGACTTCCACAAGGTCTTTTCTCAGGATAATGGGCTAGGCACCATTGACGTGAGTGCTCGTAAGTACTGGGAAAAGGCGGTTCGCTCGCTGCAGCGTGTCGATGAAGAGCGTGAACGCATAGGGACGGGATTCCACACCATTGGGCGCGTTTTGGACGATGAAAAGCCCGAAGATCGTTCACTTGTATATTTGGCCAATTCCAGTTCCAACATTGCGATACGCTGGCAACAAGGCAAATTTATTGGGGCTGGCGCCTTTGGATCTGTTTATGTTGCCGTCAACTTGGATTCAGGTTCTTTGATGGCTGTGAAGGAGATTAAAAACCAAGAAGTTGGCGTACGCGATCTCTACGCTGAGATCAAGGACGAGCTGAGCGTGATGGAGATGTTGCAGCACCCAAACATTGTTGAGTACTATGGGATAGAGGTACATCGAGACAAGGTTTACATCTTCGAGGAGTATTGCCAAGGGGGTAGTCTCGCCGCATGGCTTGAACACGGGAGGATCGAAGATGAACTCCTGATCCAGGTGTATACTATACAAATGCTAGATGGGCTTGCCTATCTTCATTCTCAAGGTATAGTTCATCGGGACATAAAACCTGATAGTAAGTCGAGATCTTTTGATTCGTGCTTCATCTTAGGCTTCTCTTGCAGATATTCTCCTCGACCATATGGGCGTCATCAAGTTCGTCGACTTCGGTGCTGCAAAGATTGTTGCCAAGAAAAGCGCTACGCGACGCTCGTCCGAGCACCTAAGTGCTGCGGTTCCAGACGGTGCAGGGAAGTTCAACAATAGCCTTACGGGTACTCCCATGTACATGTCACCCGAAATCATTAAGAACGATAAACGTGGTCGACATGGTGCCATGGATATATGGTCTCTTGGATGTGTCGTACTCGAATTTGCTACAGGGAAGAAGCCATGGAGTAACCTGGATAATGAATGGTATGTTCAGGCTTACACGTCGATCTGAGTCACCGCGTTCACCGCGTTTGCGCTAGGGCAATCATGTTCCACATCGGTGTGGCAACTCAGCACCCACCACTTCCAGAACCCGGCCAACTCAGCGAGCTGGGCATCGATTTTATCAAGCAATGTTTGACCATTGATGCGATGAAGCGGCCGACTGCCCTGGAGCTGAGGGAGCATCCTTGGATGCTTGACTTCCGAAACTCCCTCCTTCAAGAGCAGGAACTGGAAGTGTCACCAGATGAGAACGGGGCAGTGGCAAGACAAGCATTGCTAATGCAGGAGAAGCAGGCGGAAATTCTGAAGATGGCATCGCCCGAGGCAACGCCGGAGTCGATCCTGGACGTACCGGGCCTACTCACGCCAGTCGATTCTTCATCAGAAGTGGACTTTTGAAGAACGTTGTATCACGGTATTTATTACTCTTACCGACCTTACTTTGCAATCACACATGTACTATACACGGTTCCGTTTTGCTTTTGTTGGTTGTCACATTGTATGTCGTCAAATCAGGAAATATAGGAATGCATTGCAAGCAAGCAAAGACAGAAGAATACATGTAAGTATCAAAACGAAAACAGATCAACTGAAGAGCTCGAAGACCGGCATGTGTGTCTATTCTATTTCCCACCGCTTTCCTAGCATGTTATGTGAGGAATCACTGCGTGAATGGTCACCGTGCAGAGAAAGATTGTAATAGTAGCTGTCCACTGAGGTACCAAAACTTTTACCGCTGGAATGAGTGTCGCTTCGTCCAAGATCGATACTAGAATCGAAGGATGCCGCCCGGGTCATAGCTGGTGGAGGTACAGTGACAACAGATTGGCTGCTTGGTGTCTCAAATGGCTGAGCGGAACGATTGAAGAATCTGGGGCCCAATCGCGATGGGAACATCAATCTAGGCGGGGGAACTTCACTACCGGATCCAAATGATGCTGAAAAGGTCGGGATGGGCTTCTCGTTGGACGGGAAGTGCACCTTTTCTACGTCTGAAGTATACACTGACGTAAAGTCCTCCCCAGGGAGCGGTTCTTGTGCGTCCACTGCAGAAAAAAAATCAAGGTTAATTGAGATGCAATTACTTGGAGTGACTCACGATAGAGGGGCAAGCCCTTGCCGAAGTTGAACCGACACATGATCCCAAGTATGAATGCCGTAAGAGTTAAAAGGACAGAAGCTGTGGCCATAACACTAAAAAAGCGCCAGGTCACAAATGTCCACCGAAAGGTCGTAGACAAAAACATGAGGCTCCATCCTGCTAAATATAGAATGGAAAGGACGAGGAATATGAACATTAGAAGCCTCAATTCCTTGCGTACAGCGACCCAGCCCTAAAATGAAACCTAAGACCGAGATCAAAATATAGTTCACATAATCTTACGGTAACGATCCACGGGATTAGGAACTGTATTCGACAGATCAGTGTTGTGATGTTCTAATGTCAAATATAGACGTACAATCTCCGTTACGAAAGAGGTAGCTTTGTAGAATGCCACATACCACGCCACTTGAGCGGCGACCCCGTTGAATAGGTTATCTATCCAGAGAGATATGGTGGCACCCATAAAGAAGAATGACAGCTGGAGCGTAATCGACAAGAGTAGGACAAGTTTGTAAATGTGATTCATCGTCATAGAGGCACCGACTCGTTTGAATGTTTGCCACCCGAACAACTGCAAGCATTTGCATTAGCAACGAATCAGCACAACATGATACAAAACCTACTTTGATCAAGTGCCATGTCAAGAACGCCGAGACCAAAAGGGCAACGACATTCAGGGCCAACGTTGGATACTCCGCCATTGCACGCTCAGTCCAGTATTTAGGCAACAAAGGAACTCCGCATGTACCATCGGTGATTACACGGTTGAAGTTTGAACGGAAATTTGCAGTGTTGATGATCTGGAAGATAGACCAGGCAGTCGCCAATGTATGCGTAGCCAACGACGCAAAGATGTGGGGAATGGACTCGTTCAGAAGGGCTACAATGGACATGCCCAAGACCCACTATAGTGACATCTATGAGTCCTGCTCGTAGGACGGTTCAAGTGACTTACAATCTGGAACGCAATGATTACAATGTCTTCCCGTTTGGTATTGTCGAGTCTAAAGAAACGTGTTTCCATAAGCGAAAAAGGATTGCACATTCGTTTGCTTACGTCACTACAGGCCAGTTAAGAGACCAAAGGCAGGTTTTCGAGAGATTGGCTGCTAGGGTTGGGGAATCGGCTGAGCGACGACTGTTGCTATCGAACTGAAAACGCGTATGAAGGACCTGTTTCTCGTGGTTAAACAGAAATTGTATAAGAGAGGAATCGCATACATTGTCTTCGCTGTCAACAGCGGATGATGTGACTGCAGGGGTAGCCACAACAAAGACGGTAGTCGTGGTCTCCAGAATCTTTGAGGTAGCGGCATTGAGGACGGGTTTAGTAGAAAGAGCGGAATATGTTGCAGTCACAACCGAAGACTCTGAAGACATTGGGGTGAATGTCGACGATTCTTTAGCTGAAAATGAACTCCCTGAGGTGTTGGCGGGAAGAGCAGTTTCAGTGGCATTCCAGATAACTTGGCATAAGGAAGCGTCGGCAGGGACATCGTTACACAGGCGAAGATAACCAGGCTGCAAGTCAGGGACTGCATGGGTACCATTCAACGAGGTGGTATTGGCTTGATAGGCGAGATCCCAGAGAGACGCAGCAGCATTTGCATTGATAGTGAAGACTCTAACCTGGAGAGCCACCTGTATGATGCAATGGCACAGCGAGAAGATGAAATATGTGGTTGTGAGATGAGAGAATGTGAGACGGGCCCACTAGCTGCAAAGTTAGCCTGTAAGGGATTCACCAACGGTATAGCACGCACAATAAGCTTGATCTTTGCAGGGAGAGGGATGACCTCCCAGATTTGCTTGACACGCATAAGAATCTGTAGATGCCTTGAATGCGCGCCTGGATAGATAGCCTTACACACACACCTAAAGAATGGAAAAGGCCACTAGGGCGTTGGCGAGCTTGCGCGACGGCGTTGAAACCGGACCTGCCGGAGAAAAAAAGGCAAGGAAGTGAAGGTAAGAAAGCAAAAAAGAAGTGGGAGGAGCCAAGAAGCAGCTTCCCTTGGCACGTGCACCGAGTTGCTATGTCTACTGTTTGGAGGCAAATATTCGCAAGTATGTACATGTATTCATTCTCTATGAAATGATGTAGTATGTGGTGACAATCATCCAAAATACAAGGATATCGGGTCATAGAATCAGATAAATAATTGGATGATGGCTGCTAGTTGCAACCATTAGATCTGGGTATCCATTCTCATCGCGTTCTCCAAGTCTTCCCTCACGCCATGCGTGATCTCGAATGCTTGCCTCAGCTGCTCCGCTGGACCAATCTCAGCCGCCTGTTCCGTCATTCTTTCTACTTCTCCACCTCCTTCCCGCATTGTTTTAGATCGAGACAGCAGCTGCGCAACAGCCCAGTTCAAATACCCCGACTTGCTCGTCTCCCACTGTCGCTTGCCAGAATCTGTCTCTTGGAACTGGGCAAGCGCCGCAATGGTCTCCGGATCCATTGGTGGTAGATCCGACACCGCAGAATACATTGCCATCAGTTTACGCGGTAGTCCAGCAGACACATTCAACGCAGGCGTGTCAAGGAATGAAAGCCGTTCCAGACGTTTCACTGACCGCCGTTGTCGGTTCGTTATTGCGTGAAGCGCTTTGATCTGCATTCGTTTCAGTTGCTTTTGCTATGTAAAACACGTCAGTACCAAGTTAGCGACGACTTGAAGGCAAATCGCACCTCATTCAGCCGACGCCGTAGTTCAGCATTCTCATCCATCAGCTCCTGCTCCCTTTCTGGACGAAGAGTAAGATCCAATCCCTCCTGATGTGGCAGGACAAGAGGAAGATCTGGAGGCACAGCGAAGATATTTCGGAGCGACCATGCCTCGAAAAAGTCGAAGGCAAGGTCGGTATGATATTCCAGGAGGGTCTGGAACGCGACAAGTCCCTGCTCCATCTCCTGTGTGTTGTCCCATTCGCTCCCAAGTCGGTCAGCTCGTTCCTCAGCCCATTTCTGTAGGTAACTTTCCATGCCACTGACGCCGTCAAGGATAGCACTGGTTGCGATGTTAATAATATCATCGAGAAGTAGCTGTGGAGAGAATCCAAGGGCCTCTGGTAGTAGAAGAGGCGGCACTGCGCGCTCTGCTGATGGCGTCTGTGAGGGCCCGGCCTGCGCCATGTCTTCCGGTAAGAGATGAGGGCAACTGAATGGGCAACACGGTCAACGCTGTTACCGGGATCTCGGACCGGTATCAAACCAAACTTCTTTTGGTAGATTTTTAGGAAAAGTAACTGCATCTGCTTGCGACGATGAACAAGTCATCTAACAGCGTCCATCAGTGCGATACTTCACCTCAAGAAATACGAATAACCAACCATGGTAAAATTCACACCTGGGTTGCCTTTGCCCTGGAGTATCTACAGGTCCGTGTTACCGGCTTATGCCTGACCGAGAGACACCAGAACTTTCGTTCAACTTCCTTCAGAAAGACGGATCCAAATCTATCGTCCTGCACACACTTCCTGTCCCTCGGAACCCCCAGGAATCCAAGCCAGCATCAAAGGGATCTCTCTCGACTGCAACAACTACCATCCCGAGACTCATCTCTGTCGTCGAAATCATTAAGAGAGAGTATATCAAAATGTTGGAATCGAAGCAACTGCCGAAGCATCTTGGTCTGCACCAGTACAATGAAGTCGGTTCCCTCGAAGACATAAGTCTTGGTGAGGAGGACACCATACTCACAGATAAAGAGGAGACGCGAGCCACCTCGATAATAATGGCTTTGGAGGGGAAAAATTAGTGGGTTCCGTTATTTCACCGTCGCACTTCCTTTCTCATACAGCGCCCCAGTCCAAAGCAAGTACAAACACCTTTCATGAGGATCACTTTGAGCCACTATGAGTTACCTGAGCTTGTGGTAAAGGGCGCAACGTCTGTCATAACATTCGTATCTCCGAGCATACCTTGACTACCAACAGATATCAATCCCCATTGCAAAGAAAGTTGTCAAAATCTGCCAAAGCTAGAGCGAAGAAACGGGAAAGAAAGGTCCTGGAAACGGCGTCGACTGGTAGCAAGGATATGCAACCCAGTTGATAATTTGCTGGGTGAAAGCTACATTTTTACATTATTGACTTCATAATGAACTTCGTAAGATTACAGCTAGACAGAGACTGATGAGACATAGCCATGTATGCGGTACTCCGTTGTATCGTGTCATATCAGCAGAAACAACAGACCAAGATGATTACTGAACAAAAGCTGGGAAGAGAAATGCTCGTTTTACAACTATGGACAGTGATAGCCATGGAGGAATGCAGGACCTTATTGACATTGTCCTCTTTTCTGTGAGATTTCCTTGACATTGTTGCACACCCATACTTAAATAATTTGCAGTAGACTTATCTCAGGGCTTGACAGCAACAGGAGATGGGATTAGCATGTATGATTGGTTCTAATCTCTCTGCTGTGCCATGTCCAACCAGAGCCTGGCTCAGTGAAGCCACCCTTAATATCTATTGTTGCTTGTAGTAGATAGAATGGCATTGTCCAGACTGTGCAGAGAAGACTGAAGATACTTGTATGCTAGAGCATCAGCTCCTTACTACTCACATTGATACTGTCATAACAGAAAATATACATTATGCAAAATGGCTAGTAAGAACTAAAAGTGAAGCAATAACAGCATAAACAGCAGTACAATAGCATAAGCATAGGAAATGAGGGAGCCAGAATACAGAGAAATAACAGAGTGATAGATGGAAATCATCAAAAAAGCCATGATGAGTTAGTGATTTCAAACTGTGCTTGACTGTGAAGAGGGCAAACAACCCATATGCAGATCACATTTATAGTTATCAAATTCCTTCTGCATCCTCACAAGTCTTGCTGAGCCTCCAACCTCACCTTTCTCTCCTCCTCAGCCTCTCACTGAACATCCAGCTTTGCCTGTTCAGCAATTCTCAACAGCTCCTCCTCCTTCTACAATCCAAGAATCAGTATACCCAAGAGACCATGATGAATCAAAAAAAGCACACCTTTATCATGATCTCAACATTTCCCAACCACTTTTCCCATATGTTTATCATCCTTGTGCAGTCTCTCCATGTATTTCCCCACCTGCATCTCAATAATGATGTTGAAGATCACTCTAGCATACCAGTAGCACTGGTGAGTGAGAGACATATACTTGTTGGCAGCTTCACTAGTGACTATGGCAATCACTGCAGCCTTATCAGCCAGGAAGATGGAATTGAGATGGAATGTCAGAGTGGAGAGGACATCAGCATCCCAGGCTGGGGCAACTGGCATGCCATAGACAAAAAAGACATTGAGAGCTAGACTGCAGAGCAAAGAGAGGGAAATTTAAAAGCTGGCATGAGTGACAGATTCAGAGGAAAGGAGATGGCTCTTCTTCATAGAGGGTTTGAGTGAGAGTGTCATCAAGGTGTCAGACTTCAGAGTTTCTGGTGAAAGCCAATTGGGATTGTCATTGATGAAGCACTCTATCTGAATAACAGCTTTCCTGCCAGGAATATTATGTTATGATTTTTCCTATTTTCTTTTCTTTTTTCTTGATTTATTCAGGATTGACCCCTATTTCTGCTTAGTCAGAGCACCTAGACCTGGCACTTAAGATTGTGAAAATGTTTAGTCAGCAGCACTGCCCCAATTCCATTTTGCTGCTGTGAAGTCATGCAACAGCACAATGGCAGAGAACTCTCTTTTATCTTTATGCAGCAGTAACAGCAGTAACAGCACAACAGCAGGACAATACTTTTTGTAGGTATCTTAGTGATGCTGGACAAAATGCTATACAGCACCAGCAAGGACAATTAGGTAGTTATATTCTTAGAACGATAAGAAACTAGTATTTAAATAGTATAGCTCTTGCTGTAGTAGTCTCAGCTTTGAGCTAAAGTTTATTCTTTCACTATTTTATCTCAAGCAACTTGTGACCACCTTGATCACACAAGCCAACAACATATCAGTAAACTCTAACAGTCTAATCTGAAGTGTGAGGTTCTGTTAGTTTATCATGTGTTATTGGTCACATAGAATTTAGGCTTAACAATTAGCTTGAAGCTTTTGGCTTCTCTTTCTCAAGCCTAATTGTGCTGAAAAACTAAATGCCCTCTATGCTTAATCCCTTCAATCTGAACTTCACTCATGAGTTCTTCAAACTCTTGGCTTCTATCATTGGAATCTTAATCAGATTATTGGTGATCATACAGCTGTGCTGTGAATACCAATCAATTACCATCTGGGCTATTTATTACTATCAAGAGTTTCAACATATTCAAACTATTCTCCACAATGTCACATCAGATCTTCCTCTTTACAACATCTCTACCTCTGTCTGATAGTCCTTCTGACCTGCAGAAGGACCCAAAACTATCTCTGGGAGCTCAGTTGAAGAGTATTCTAGGGAAAAAGAGAAGCAGCATCAGCAGCACATATACTCCCTGTGACCACTGTCAGCAGTCATTTGAGATGCTGAAAACCCTTAGACTACAGGATTTTGATGACCCAGATCTGACACTCTCATCCCATCCTCTGAGTGCAGCCACCACAGCATCACAATAAGGATGACAACCTCTATTTCTAGAGGCAGCATTGGTTGCCATGTCAGAGACTCCCTTGATACCATACAGCTGGCTCGAAGGGTTAGAAGCATCAGAGACACTAGATCCCAACATACTATATCAGTATGAAGCAGAAGCATTGACCACAGGACAGGAGTTGATAATGATCCCTATTTCAATGACAACAGTGATGAGGGCCACTGGTAATGCACCACTGCTATCACAGCAGACTGAATAGAGCAGTGCATGGCTAGCTATGCTGCAAGCAAAACAGACAGTGTACAAGTGATACTATATACAGTATAATAAACTGACACTATCAGCCTGGTCCTCTCCTAAGAGGACCAAGTTCAATATATCAGTAATATTTCTGAGTATCTCCAGGAGCAAGCATGGCTCAACAATGAGATCACAAGAAAGAATGCCCTCTTTGAGTGGTATCTTCAAGCATAGAAGGCAGCCAAGTGAAGAAGGGAGATGGGAAGTAACAGAACTAGTATGCTTATTAGTACTATTACTAACAATATATCTGACACTCTATTCCAGGAACCTAGCACTCTCACCACTGAGCCTGATCCCTAGGCAGAACCTGCCAAAAGAGTCATTCACATGGGTGAAGTCCACTAGAGGATGTCACTTGATCTTGACAACAACCACTCATTATCTTACAGGACTGATACTATCATAGAGACTGATAATATCTCTATCAGAGAAGATAGAATATTAGCAGACCAAGAAACTATCAGAGAAGATAATGAGGGTATTGACCTCATAGGTGACATTAAAAGGTTCCTCAATGGAAACTTCACTGCCCTCTTCCTCAACCTACAGTTTTACAGAAACCTCTGCCAGTATCACAGAGTAATGACAGCAGCAACAGTGAGGAGAGCAGCCAAGGAGCAGCAGAGGCAGTCTGAGCAGTAGCCTTCTCTTCGATCTGGACCTGATGATGCTGGATCCAGCATGCAGCCTCAGCATGGCTGTTCTAGAGGTCTATGACTCATGTGACAGTTCCCTCCTTAAGGGAGATATGGGCAGCGAGACTACTAGTGGAGATGCAGATGATAAGAAGGAAAATCTCAATGAGAAAGTTAAAGATCCTCCAACTGACTGGATCAGTTTGTGGAATATATAAATACATGAAGAAAAACAGAAGAAGTTGGTACAGAAAGTGCACTAGAAGGACTTCATAAAGTTGTACTGGGATGGTACAACTACACTATGAACAGATGGCACTTGGTTAGTATTGCTCATAGGACAAAGGTATACTGCTGCTGATCATATTGAGCATGCAGAAATTTTACAATATGCAGCCACTGAGTAGACCATTTTTATTTATAATAAAAGATGTTTAAAACATCAGATGCAGGTATTGCTGCTGTACAGGCCTAAATATAGCATAATGCTAAGATCATGGATGCTGAGTGTGATGCTGAGCAAGCCAGCTAATATGGCCCTCTCAATCTGAATAATATCATCAAGATATTTGTTCACCACTTCAGCCATCTATAGCATAGCATCTTGGCTTTTCAGAAGCTGATCTCAGCTGAGTAGCTATTACCTAAACCTATGGAGACTGCTGATCTGGCAACTTTTTGCTGGTCAGCCACCATCAGATGAAGTTGAGAGCAGCAAGAAGGCTCCAAAAGTTCTAACTGATCCAACAGAAGATGATCTTATGATAATTGCCCAGAGTTGAACCATCAAGAATGAGTGAATTGTGCAAAAGAAAGCACTACTGCTGGGGAGCTCTATTGCCAATGATGGCTTCTTCCATTTATTCTCAGGATCTCTGAGTGGATGAGCAGGACTGTCTTCTAGTGGGCTCCCAAACCTGATGTCCCCCCTTGACACAGATACTCAAATTCTCAACATCAAACCAACCTTTGTATCTGAACTCTGTCTCTTCTGAAGAGTATCCAATGATATTGATTGCTTTCTAGTCAATTGTGATCAATACTTCCAAGTGTTCGCTTTATACTTCTTGGCCAATATGCACAAAGTAACATTTGCAGCAACCCACATGGTAGACAAGGAAAAAACATGGTGGATTCTTATTTCTCTCACATTCTGGTCTATCACTAGATCCCATCATTGATACTCTTCATGGCCAGTCTTCAAACAGATGATCAATAACAAGTTTATCGATCTTACTATGTAAGAAGTCCACAAACAGAAGATGAAGGACTTCAAGATGAGAGATAAGCTGGCTACCAATTACTTTGATGAGTTGAAATAGCTCAGCAAATTGGTGGGAGTTCAAAACAATATAGCCAACACTGAAAGAATAGTTGAATACATAAAGATGAAAGCTTTAGCCTCTTATTTCAAGATCATCTCCAACATTGGCTATGGTATTCCAGTCAGATATGATGAATAGAAGATGCACATCATCATAATATATCAAGAACAACAATGGCAAAAGGCAGAATTGTCCACTCTCACATGAAGTGGACAGAAACATCAGAGACAGAGCACAAAGTCCTTCACCTCCAATGTGACCATGCCTGCCAAGCCCAGTAGCTTGACTCTAACTTTCTCATTCAGTGAGAAGCAAACTGGTATGGACATGATATATACTAGAACAGGTCAGCCAATGGATATGGACCAACTCAAGAAGGAGGGAAAGTGTTTTCAATTGTGGCTAAAAAGGTCACATAATATGGAACTGCCCTTAAAAGAAAAACAAGCACACTCAGAAAGATATCTGGGCACAGATTGCTGAGCTGA